TTTAATTTTAGAGAAAAATCTAATTTTGCCCTTATTTTGTCAAAATGCAAGGCTAACCCCTTACAATTTGTAAGTTTTTCACAAAAATCAAATTTTGCCCTATTTTGATCAAAATGCAAGGCTAACCCCTTACAATTTTTCATTTTAGAGCAAAATCTAAATTTGCCCTATTTTGATCAAAATACAAGGTTAACCCCTTACAATTTTTAATTTTAGAGCAAAATCAATATTTGCCCTTATTTTGTCAAAATGCAAGGCTAACCCCTTACAATTTGTAAGTTTTTCACAAAAATCAAATTTTGCCCAATTTGGATCAAAATGCAAGGTTAACCCAATACAATTTTTAATTTTAGAGAAAAATCTAAATTTGCCTTAATATGGTCAAAATACAAGGTTAACCCCTTACAATTTTTAATTGTAGAGAAAAATCAAATTTTGCCCTATTTTGATCAAAATGCAAGGTTAACCCCTGACAATTTTTAATTTTAGAGAAAAATCAAAATTTGCCCTCATTTGATCAAAATACAAGGTTAACCCCTTACAATTTTTGATTTTAGAGCAAAATCAATATTTGCCCAATTTTGATCAAAATACAAGGTTAACCCCTTACAATTTTTCATTTTAGAGCAAAATCAAAATTTGCTCAATTAGGTCAAAATGCAAGGCGCACCCCTTAAAATTTTTAAGTTTTTCACAAAAAACAAATTTTGCCCAATTTTGATAAAAATGCAAGGCTAACCCCTTACAATTTTTCATTTTAGAGCAAAATCAAAATTTGCCCTATTTTGATCAAAATACAAGGTTAACCCCTTACAATTTTTTATTTTAGAGCAAAATCAATATTTGCCCTAATTTTGTCAAAACGCAAGGCTAACCCCCTTACAATTTTTAATTTTAGAGGAAAATCTAATTTTGCCCAATTTTGATCAAAATACAAGGTTAACCCCTTACAATTTTTCATTTTACAGCAAAAATTTTGCGAAATTTGGTCAAAATGCAAGGCTAACACCTTACAGTTTTGAAGTTTTTCACAAAATCTAATTTTGCCCTATTTTGATCAAAATGCAAGGCTAACCCCTTACAATTTTTCATTTTAGAGCAAAATCAAAATTTGCCCTTATTTTGTCAAAATGCAAGGCTAACCCCTTACAATTTTTAAGTTTTTCACAAAAATCAAATTTTGCCCAAATTTTAATCAAAATGCAAGGCTAACCCCTTACAATTTTTAAGTTTTTCACAAAAATCAAATTTTGCCCAATTTTGATCAAAATGCAAGGCTAACCCCTTACAATTTTTAAGTTTTTCACAAAAATCAAATTTTGCCCAATTTGGATCAAAATGCAAGGCTAACCCCTTACAATTTTTAATTTTAGAGAAAAATCAAAATTTGCCTTAATTTGGTCAAAATACAAGGCTAACCCCTTACAAATTTTAATTTTAGAGAAAAATCAAAATTTGCCTTAATTTGGTCAAAATACAAGGTTAACCCCTTACAATTTTTAATTTTAGAGAAAAATCAAATTTTGCCCTATTTTGATCAAAATGCAAGGTTAACCCCTTACAATTAAAATTTTAGAGCAAAATCAAAATTTGCCCTAATTTCATCAAAATGCAAGGTTAACCCCTTACAATTTTTAATTTTAGAGAAAAATCAAATTTTGCCTTAATATGGTCAAAATACAAGGTTAACCCCTTACAATTTTTAATTGTAGAGAAAAATCAAATTTTGCCCTATTTTGATCAAAATGCAAGGTTAACCCCTGACAATTTTTAATTTTAGAGAAAAATCAAAATTTGCCCTCATTTGATCAAAATACAAGGTTAACCCCTTACAATTTTTGATTTTAGAGCAAAATCAATATTTGCCCAATTTTGATCAAAATACAAGGTTAACCCCTTACAATTTTTCATTTTAGAGCAAAATCAAAATTTGCTCAATTAGGTCAAAATGCAAGGCGCACCCCTTAAAATTTTTAAGTTTTTCACAAAAAACAAATTTTGCCCAATTTTGATAAAAATGCAAGGCTAACCCCTTACAATTTTTCATTTTAGAGCAAAATCAAAATTTGCCCTATTTTGATCAAAATACAAGGTTAACCCCTTACAATTTTTTATTTTAGAGCAAAATCAATATTTGCCCTAATTTTGTCAAAACGCAAGGCTAACCCCCTTACAATTTTTAATTTTAGAGGAAAATCTAATTTTGCCCAATTTTGATCAAAATACAAGGTTAACCCCTTACAATTTTTCATTTTACAGCAAAAATTTTGCGAAATTTGGTCAAAATGCAAGGCTAACACCTTACAGTTTTGAAGTTTTTCACAAAAATCTAATTTTGCCCTATTTTGATCAAAATGCAAGGCTAACCCCTTACAATTTTTCATTTTAGAGCAAAATCAAAATTTGCCCTTATTTTGTCAAAATGCAAGGCTAACCCCTTACAATTTTTAAGTTTTTCACAAAAATCAAATTTTGCCCAAATTTTAATCAAAATGCAAGGCTAACCCCTTACAATTTTTAAGTTTTTCACAAAAATCAAATTTTGCCCAATTTTGATCAAAATGCAAGGCTAACCCCTTACAATTTTTAAGTTTTTCACAAAAATCAAATTTTGCCCAATTTGGATCAAAATGCAAGGCTAACCCCTTACAATTTTTAATTTTAGAGAAAAATCAAAATTTGCCTTAATTTGGTCAAAATACAAGGCTAACCCCTTACAAATTTTAATTTTAGAGAAAAATCAAAATTTGCCTTAATTTGGTCAAAATACAAGGTTAACCCCTTACAATTTTTAATTTTAGAGAAAAATCAAATTTTGCCCTATTTTGATCAAAATGCAAGGTTAACCCCTTACAATTAAAATTTTAGAGCAAAATCAAAATTTGCCCTAATTTCATCAAAATGCAAGGTTAACCCCTTACAATTTTTAATTTTAGAGAAAAATCAAATTTTGCCCTTTTTTGATCAAAATGCGAGGTTAACACCTTACAATTTTTGTTTTTAGAGCAAAATCAATATTTGCCCTTATTTTGTCAAAATGCGAGGCTAACCCCTTACAATTTTTCATTTTAGAGCAAAATCAAACTTTGCCCTAATTTGATCAAAATACAAGGTTAACCCCTTACAATTTTTAATTTTAGAGCAAAATCAATATTTGCCCTTATTTTGTCAAAATGCAAGGCTAACCCCTTACAATTTTTAAGTTTTTCACAAAAATCAAATTTTGCCCAATTTGGATCAAAATGAAAGGTTAACCCCTTACAATTTTTAAGTTTTTCACAAAAATCAAATTTTGCCCAATTTGGATCAAAATGAAAGGTTAACCCCTTACAATTTTTAAGTTTTTCACAAAAATCAAATTTTGCCCAATTTGGATCAAAATGAAAGGTTAACCCCTTACAATTTTTCATTTTAGAGAAAAATCTAAATTTGCCTTAATTTGGTCAAAATACAAGGCTAACCCCTTACAATTTTTAATTTGAGAGCAAAATCAAAATTTGCCCAATTTGGATCAAAATGCAAGGTTAACCCCTTACAATTTTTCATTTTAGAGAAAAATCTAAATTTGCCCTCATTTGATCAAAATACAAGGTTAACCCCTTACAATTTTTCATTTTAGAGAAAAATCTAAATTTGCCTTAATTTGGTCAAAATACAAGGTTAACCCCTTACAATTTTTCATTTTAGAGAAAAATCTAAATTTGCCTTAATTTGGTCAAAATACAAGGCTAACCCCTTACAATTTTTAATTTTAGAGCAAAATCAAATTTTGCCCTATTTTGATCAAATGCAAGGTTAACCCCTTACAATTTTTTATTTTAGAGCAATTTCAAAATTTGCCCTAATTTCATCAAAATGCAGGGTTAACCCCTTACAATTTTTAATTTTAGAGAAAAATCTAAATTTGCCCTCATTTGATCAAAATACAAGGTTAACCCCTAACAATTTTTAATTTTAGAGCAAAATCTAAATTTGCCTTAATTTGGTCAAAATACAAGGCTAACCCCTTACAATTTTTAATTTTAGAGAAAAATCAAATTTTGCCCTATTTTGATCAAAATGCAAGGTTAACCCCTTACAATTTTTAATTTTAGAGAAAAATCAAAATTTGCCCTAATTTCATCAAAATGCAAGGTTAACCCCTTACAATTTTAATTTTAGAGAAAAATCAAAATTTGCCCTCATTTGATCAAAATACAAGGTTAACCCCTTACAATTTTTGATTTTAGAGCAAAATCAACATTTGCCCTAATTTTGTCAAAATGCAAGGCTAACCCCCTTACAATTTTTAATTTTAGAGAAAAATCTAATTTTGCCCAATTTTGATCAAAATACAAGGTTAACCCCTTACAATTTTTCAGTTCAGAGCAAAATCAAAATTTGCTCAATTTGGTCAAAATGCAAGGCTAACCCCTTACAATTTTTAACTTTTTCACAAAAATCTAATTTTGCCCAATTTTGATAAAAATGCAAGGCTAACCCCTTACAATTTTTAATTTTAGAGAAAAATCAAAATTTGCCCTCATTTGATCAAAATACAAGGTTAACCCCTTACAATTTTTGATTTTAGAGCAAAATCAATATTTGCCCTAATTTTGTCAAAATGCAAGGCTAACCCCCTTACAATTTTTAATTTTAGAGAAAAATCTAATTTTGCCCAATTTTGGTCAAAATGTGAGGTTAACCCAATACAAATGTTACTTTTTCTGACAAAAAGCCAACTTTTTTTAAATTTTGGTCAAATTTTGGCCAAATTTGTTTGTTTTTTTCCTGCAAAATTAGCAATTATAAGCAGTTATAATCAAAATTTAGCCAAATTTGATTTGATTGAGAAAATTTAAATTGTATGGGGTAACCCTTGCATTTTATCACTGCATTTTTATTTAGTTTATTTGGTTGACTACTGTGTATCAAGAAGCGCGGAAATAAAATCAAATAAAATCAAAATTTGATTCTCTGAAACAAATAAAAAATCTAATCACGAAATGTTGACACACAAATCATGAAAATTCTCTGATTTATTGACGGGTATTGCTCTTCAGGTGACAACTGAACCAATCCAAATTAGTCAAGGAAAAAAAGCAGTCCTCAAAGGCAGGGTTAACAAGGGGTTGGGCTAACGATCAACGGGCGGGCTTTTAATCAAGGGCTGGTGCTTATACACAAGCAAAGGTCGAGGCTAAAAAGCAAAGGGTGAGGCTAAAAAGCAAAGGGCGGGGCTCATGACCAAGAGGAGGCGGCTAATGATCAAGGGGCAGGGTTAATGCTCAAGGGGCAGGGCTAATGCAAAACAAGGGGGCAGGTCATATGAGAAAGGGGCAGACTAGTGAACAAAGGTGAAGTCCACGAGGAAGAGGCAGAGATTATTCACAAGAGGCGGGGCTTACTTTAAGGGGTGGGGCTTACTAGTAAGGGGTGGGACTCGTGACCAAAGGGAGGGACCAATGAATAAGAGGGAGGGGCTAATGCACAGGGGTGGGCTAATGACCAAGGGGGAAGGGCTAGTAAACAAGGGGGCCAGGCTAATGCACCAGGGTGGAGCTTATCAACAAGGGGGTGGGCTAATGACCAACGGGGCACAAGGTCAGGCTAATGCACCAGGGTGGAGCTTATCAACAAGGGATGGCCTAATGAGCAGGGGGCGGAACTTACAAACAAGTGTGGGGACTGATAAACAAGGAGCAGGCTTATGAAAAAAAAGGTTGGGCTACTAAAGAAGGGGGCAGGAGCAAAGCGGAAATTATTGTGGTTTAAATCCCACAGACGTTTGCCTTCAGATTCCATCATACCATATGCTTCATTACGGTAAACATGTTTTGTTTTAAATTTAAAGTAGGTGTTTCAAGGCACGCAATATCAACAACTTATACAACCTATACTGTAGGATCCCAAATACTTATCAAATAGTTATCAATTTTTGTGTCCAATTTCAATTTAACATTTAAGATATTTTGGTGGTTTTTTTTACATTCGTTGTTGGATGTTTGCTGACTTATTAGCTTAAGGCTCCGAATATTCATGATGTGGACAAATCTGGATAAGATTATGAATATTCAAGTTTCAGTGATGCTCACATAAAGAATTCATGAATATTCACAGAAACCCCAACATTTTTACACCAGTATAAATATGAGACAAATCGTCAATATTCATCAATAGATTATGAATATTGATGGTCAATATTTATCACCTGGACTCAATAAAGACCTACTCAAATCAAATAATTATTCTCTTATACACAAAAAATATATACACATATACAAATAGCCAACAAATCAAAAAACTACAAGACTCATCAATTTTTCCGAACTACACAACTGACGAAACATAAATACTGCATTTCAAAACTGCGATCTAAAACAAAAATATCTCGGCCTACATTCCTACAGCCAAAAAAAAAATTGTGTCAGCAGTGAAGAATGTTACATTTCACAAACATCTTAAAGAATGTAGAGCAGGGCAAAATGTTACTGAAGCATGTTTGAGCTTCGTACTTTAGAAGGTTAAAAGGTCGACTCGGGAATCTCGCAGAACAAAATGTGTCCCCTTTCGACGGAAAGTGAAAAATAGCACCTGCCGATGTGTTTCAACTCTTGAAAGAGTTGCCCACCCTTTCTTGTGTTGACAGGATAGCGCCCGAACAATCTCTACACTATTGCCACATAAAACAAAGAAAATATCTACAAATGTAGACTAGTATTTGATAAAGCAAGGCGTCGTACTTACAAGGTAAAGTGATTAAACTGTTTCTTTGTATGAAAAAATAGCCTTTGTGAAGAAATATTTACATATTATATTCACAACCTTTTTTGTTTTGACCGAATTCATAAAAAAAAAACAGAATCCATTCGGAAAGTAATGATTTTAAAATTGAGAGTTCTTTAAACATATGTTCGATCTCTTCCACTTTGTCTTAAGTTTTTGTGGATCAAGATGTTTGTTTTTCTTAAATTAAAAGTCAAATTTAAAATTGAAATTAAGTTCAAAAATTCCATTTCTGGAAACATCACTTTTTTGGATTCTGCTTTTTTTTCTTCAAAATCACATTCATTAATCTTAAAATTAATCGGAAACAATAATCTTTTAAGTCACTCAGTCACACACCATGCATTTCTATTTAATTTTTAAATAAACGAAAACACATTTAATAAACAAAAAATTTCACTGACTAAAAAAAAACATGATTTGCTCTGTTTAAATTCAATCCTGATTGTCAATTGAAAATCTGTCGTAAAATATATGAGCAAGAACCTGTGGAAATAAAAAAACGACATCGGTATCATCGATAGACAACCCTTCAATCTCCGCACGTATGTTTGAAATCTGGTCGAGAAAACTATTTTCAAACATAGGCACCACAAGATTAATACCAAGAATCCATTGGGGAAATAAGGAAAATAAAGTTTTTCATGTTGCAGACGAAATCCATGAAGGAAAATAAAGTTGTTCATGTTGCAGACGAAATCCATGAACAAGTACCCCCTCAAAGTTGAAAAATGTGACAATTCCAAAGTTGAAGGACCACTGGGCGCCATCTTACCTTGTGCAGGCTGGTACTCATGCATCATACAGAGACAGCGAATCGCATCAGGGAACCAGTGAAGTGTCCTTCAAAGTGCCCTGTTGTGTGCATGAATGGAGTCCAATAACCAGTGGTAGATCTAGTTGGAAAAGCAGTACAGCTTTGCCTCCTATGTTGTGTCTCAAATGATACAATGTATGTCTCGATCCTTGTCAGTGTCTTTTTTCCAAAACAAGGTTGCGTTCAATAATTTATCGACATTAGTATTTGTTAGGTTGCCTACGTAGAAAGCTGAAGAAAGTTCTTTGTAGAACCTCGCCTGGTTCCACTAAACAAGATAAGCTTTTGTTCTTTGTTCTTAATGTTCTTTGTAGAAAGCTGAAGAAAGTTCTTCGTAGAACCTTGCCTCGTCCAGTCCAATAAACAAGGAAAGCTTTTCTTGTTTAAAAAAATTCTTTGTAAAAGCTGGAGAAAGTTCATCGTAGAACCTCGCCTGGTTCCAATAAACAAGGTAACCTTTTCATGCTGCAAAAAGTCTTTGTAGAAGCTAGAGAAAGTTCTTTGTAGAACCTTGGCTGGTTCCATTAAACAAAGCAAGCTTTTCTTGTTGAAAAAAGTTCTTTGTAGAAAGCTAGAGAAAGTTCTTCATAGAACCTCGCCTGGTTCCAATAAACAAGGTAAGCTTTTCTTGTGGAAAAAAGTTCTCTGTAGAAAGCTGGAGACTATTCTTCTTCGAACCTTGCCTCGTTCCAATAAACAAGGTAAGCTTTTCTTGTGGAAAAAAGTTCTTCATAGAAAGCTGGAGAAAGTTCTTCGTAGAACCTCGCCTGGTTCCAATAAACAAGGCAACCTTTTCATGCTGAAAAAAGTTTTCCATAGAAGGCTGGAGAAAGTTCTTGGTAGAACCTAGCCCAGTTCCAATAAACAAAGCAAGCTTTTCTTGCAGAAAAAAAGGTTCTTTGTAAAAAGCTGGAGAAAGTCCCTCGCAGAACCTCGCCTGGTTCCAATAAACAAGGTAAGCTTTTCTTGTGGAAAACAAGTTCTTGAAGAAAGCTGGAGAAAGTTCTTCTTAGAACTTCCAATAAACAAAGCAGGCTTCTTTTGATGGAAAATGTCTAGAAACAAAAATAGTGTTCACTTTCGAAAAAGAAATTAACCTTACAAAAATAACAAGTTGCGTTTACACATGTTGTCCAGTTCTTGTAATATTTTATCAAGCCTCGTGTTTCCTCATAGATTTTTCTGTCAGTATTTCTATATAAATTTCTGTTGTGTAATTATATTCTACAGGATGCAAAAAATAGTTTGTTTTTCAGAAGTTTTGTTGCCGTTTTCTCTTGACGTCCATGGCCTCGATGATAGGTCTTCGCTTCTCCTGGTACCGTTTTCGGAGTTCTTCGATTTCTTGTTCCATCTGAGGGTCTAGGTCTCGTAACCTGCTCTGGAGGTCATCGTAGCTGAGTTGTTTCAACTGGGATTGTGGGAGGAAAAAGTCAGAGTTAGGACATAAACGGTTTGCTTGATTCTTAATAACCCTAACAAGCTCAAGCCCGTCAAACTCAAACAGTAGGTTTTGTCAGGTTTTGGCTGGTTGAGTACCATACATTTTGTTAGAATTTGTTGGACTGAGTACCAAAGGCCTAGGGAGACCCTGTTGAATACTGTCAAGCTCAGGAAAGAAAGGCATGAGAATTGTGGAACTGTTGCATTTTGGGGAATACACAGGCATTTTTTCGTGGGTGAACTCACGGCTGCTCGCTAGCACAGTTGCTGGTCAACTTTGTGCTGTACATACACTACATGTACAATGTATATGCACACTGCATGCAGTTTACAGTGCATGTTGGCCTACATACAGTGCAATAATGCCTTTCATGACTTTCTGTTCCCAACACATTGCTTCATTTTGTTAGGTTTGGTACGATGACTGGCCAGTCACCCTATAAGACCCATCCATACCAAATCAATCCAAATTCAACAGTTTTGACCTGTTGGAGTTTGGCAGGTGTAGCACTGTTGTCAGTACAATGCCTGTTGAAATTTGGCAGGTTTTGTCCAGTAAATGCTGAACCTGTGTGTAGCTCAGTATTTACCGAACCTGTGTGTAGCTGTTGAAGTTTGTTGGGTTCAGTACTGTTTCTAGTGCAAGAGCCTCGGGAGTAAGGGTTAAAAAATAAGTAAATTGTGGGGGCTACTCATGCTTACTGACATGGCTGGCTGGTGCGCATGGGTGGCTAGTGCGTAAAGCGCTCGCCTCTCACCACTGTGGCCGCCTCTCACCACTGTGGCCCGGGTTTTATTCCCGGCTCAGACCATATGTGAGTAGAGTTCTGCGTTGGTTCTCTCCTGAGCCACGAGGCTTTTTCTCTGGGCTCTCTGGTTTTCCTCCCTCCCCAAAATCAACACTTTCGATCTCTGGCTGTGCTCCGTAGTCATACATGAGTCGTATGGCGGCTGCCTAAAGGCGCCTTACATGCCTGCGGCTGGACCACGTTGTAGCCGCGTCCTTTGCAATTCAGCTTCTCAGTTGGGAGTAGGGATGATAAGCCTCCCAGATTATTATTATCTTTCGCAGCAGAAGCTGAATAGCGAAGGAAGCAGCCAAGCCAAAGGCATGTAAAGGTGCCTTGGGCAGCCGCCCTACGATCCATGTCTGACCACGGAGCATAACCAGATCGCTTTTGTTCTTTGGTGATTTTTGCAGAGGGAGGAAAACCAGCGAACTTGGAGAAAAAAATCCTTGTGGCACAGGAGAGAATCAATGAACAACTCTACTCACATATGACTCAAGCCGGGCCAAAGCAGTGAGTTGAGTGCCTCACGCACTGTGTCAAGCATGCCAATATTACCCCCTTTTGGCAAGTGTAAGGGAAGAAGGCAAAATTACCCCTGAGGTAACCTGTAAAAAGCTGTAAATTCTAGTAAACCTTGAGGTAAACCTTTGGTCATCAAGTCTGTGACTCGTTGTCAGAGGGTCAGGGTGTCATATCCTGCTGTTGATTATATGTTGTGTCCTTGAGCAAGCCACATTACCGCAATACCAAGGAGCATGGATTGGTACCGGCATTAGCTAGGGAGTAACCTGTAATAGACTGGCATCCCATCAGGGGGCACGGCAATATATTCTCAAGTCAATTCATGCCAAGGAAACCGGAGACAAACACTGGCCTGATGGGCCATATTGGCTCGGGACAGACTCTACTCACTTACTCTCGTTTGCAAGTTTTGGCAAGTCAGTTGTAGGCCATCAGCCTGGGGGTTTGGCCAGTATCAAATCAGGGCATGAATGATTATAGTGCGCATGCGCAAGGTATACCGCCCCTGGAGTGGTAACAAGCATTTTGATGGACATTTTCACCCAAAAGCTGCCACCACTGCAATGCTATCACATATTTCCCAACTCTGGAGGTGTATACCTTGCCAAAAATCGCTATGACGATTATTCCCCTCATTTGATAGCGGTGGCCAAAATTTTGGACCGAAACTGATGGCCTAATGGACGCAGAATTCATAAATCATAAATCAATCACAAGGCAGATCACAAGCCGATCACCAGTCAATGGCAAAATTGGTCACACGCATCACAGGATGAATAATGACAAAGGAATGCCTTTGTTACAATTCATTTTTACTTACAAAATCAAAATCCATGTCGTGGAACGGTCGGCTGGCTTCCGGTTTGGTCGGCGTGCTTTGTTTTGCCTGGGGTGGGGTGTGCTGTGCACGCGGCTGTTGCTGCTGCTGCTGCTGTTGGTTGAAGGGAGGTGCTGGCGGTAGCAACTGCGGCGTCTCAAACTGCTGTTGCGGTTGTTGCTGCTGTTGTTGTTCCGGCGTCGCAGCTTTGCCTTGCTTGGCCTCGATTTGCCGGTCGAAGTGGTCCATGAAGAGCGGTCTGTAGTTTTGGTTTGCCGAGTCCGTTTCTATTCCTGTATGGCAAGAAGAAATGAATAATTTACACCACGTTTGGTCAAAGGGTCCTAGGTTGTCATCTGAGTCAAAGTTTTGGGCCAAGGTGAGGCTTAAAGGTAAGTATATCATTTGTACCTTTTTTTTTAGTTGAGGCAACAAAAGAGCTAAAAATCTAAAGAAGGGTACCTAACAACTAACCTGATGAAGGTTTAGTTCAGTGAATGCTGTATATTCTGAGAAAACAATATTCTAGGATCTCGATATGAATTCATAAGTTGCCGAATCTTGTTTTGAATTGCGCTCGAAATGAGCGTCCGGGACACGTTCTTATTCAGAAATCCATCAGTTTTGACGTTTCAGGAACTGCAATGGTTCACACATCTCAGCCTTAATCTTTGTTTTTAAAGTTGAAGAAAGAAATTGACTGGTCGAGTAGGGTTTGAACCTGCCACCTTCGGATTGCCGTTCCGGTGCTCTACCAACAGAGCTATTCAGCCCTTAGTTGGCAGTTCCCAACCAAGCATTAAGTATTAACTGAGCATTAATCTATGTCAGATTTGTGGTGAATTTTGCGAAACCGCGGCTTCAATTTAAGCTTTGGTTCCAGGCGTCAGTTTCATGACTCTTAATTCCTTATTTGAATGACACTGACTCAACATTTAGTCAATTTTCTGAAACTGAACATCCAATCATAAAAAAATGAGGCAGCATGTTCATTGGTTCGAGCAATATAAAGGCTCCCAAATTAGTCTTGAGCCGAAGCTGAAATGATGCCATGATTTTGAAAACTTCCTTACTCTTCATTGTGGAGTCGCCATTCAGTTCTTTATCCTCGTTGATGACCATGGTCCCCATGTCGTTCTCGATCAGCGTCCCCGTGTCGTGCAGGACCATCGTCCCCGCGTCTCCGTGATCTATCATGGTCCCCGAGTCCTCATGCATGATCATTGTCCCGCTGTCGTGTTCGATCATGGTTCCCGTGTCGTGTTCGATCATCGTTCCTGTGTTGTGCTCGATCATGGTTCCGCTGTCGTGCAGGATCATAGTGTCCGAGTCTGTTTCCGTGGGGCCAGACGCCGTGGCGGCGGACGCCCCCGATGACCGGCCTCTGGCTACCATGGTACCGCTGTCGATAACATCATCGTCATCCTTTTCATGAAACAAACAACCAATAAGAAAGGACACAGTAAGATTAAATATGTATTATCTACTCAATATATACCAGTATTGTTGACAAATCCTAAAGTGGCGCGGCCCCTAACGTGGCGCACTTTGATTTTTCGCCTCTTGTGCCGTGCTAGAGCAATATTTTTACCTCAAATTTCACAGTAAGTGAAATTTCATCAAGCTCTAAACATTCCCGTTCATACATTGCGTGTAAATCTTGAGTTTGCGTACCCGCTACAAAGTTGCAAAGAAATTCTATTTTGGCATGATTTTCCAATTTTATTTCGAAGTGCACAATGAACCCTTTTAAAAATGAAGCCAAAAATAAGAAAATAACCTTCTTACAAACTTGTAGTTGGGTATGTGAGTGGAGATAACAAGGATTTATCAGAACTTATCGACTTTATTAAAAATTATTAAATGTTAACGTGGGATTTTTTGTTTTAGATTTGTTCAAGTGTGTCACATTAAGGAACACTCGGCCGAATTTGTGCCCAATTTTCGGATGCCACCGTTTTGGAATTTCTGACTTAATTTCATGACACTGAAATTGTTCACAAAGGTTCAACAGCATGTATTATTAAGGAAATGGTACAAGTATTTATTACTGAATGAATTTGAAGTTTGCCAAGAGGTTTGGCAACACTGCATGAGGAAAGTCGAGGGAAACGTCAAAGTGCGCCATGTTAGGGGACTCCACTATACTATCACCTATGATGGATTTTCTTGTATTTGGGAGGTTACGTCAGCACATTCATTCTTTGAAAATCGTCCAAAAACCTCTAGCTGGATTTTGCAGGATCGGGGACGGTTGGAGTTTTTGGAAATTCTTGAGCGACTTTAAAAGCTTCAATTTGAAGATGGGAAGAAAAGGGGAGGTGGGGCTAGCACGGATGAAGTGGGGTGCAAAGTTGCGATTTATATGGATAAGAAAAGCAAAAATCGCCTTTTTTTTTCAAGTAAGAACAGCCAGACTTGGCTAGCTGTAGTAAATCTTAGTCTTTTTTTTTACAAAACGTTTATTTTAAAGTTTCTTGCAAAGCTAAAAATGGTGCAGCTTGTGAACATTGGCGTAAAGTTAGGGGAATTTGATTATTTGTCTTTCATAAAATGTGGATGCTATTTAATGGTAATGTTTCAATTTTCTAAATGATTTCATTACGTGATTTTTATGAGAAATTTATAAAACAAACTACGACAAATTATGGAAGTTTGAAGCAAAGAAAGAACTTAAAAGCAGCTTTTATGGAAAAAAATAATCCACTTTTGTAATTTAGAATGTATGATTTAGTGATAGTACAGTATACATATAAGCAGGTTACATATTTAGCATTTTTTTTGTAGAGGGTGTTTTTTTTAAGAAGGGAATAAATGTGCGCTTGGCCAGTTTGAAACACTATGTTTATTAAGACCGGTTAGGAGTCTGGACGCTGATAATGACCCGAGCCAAACCCATTCATAAATAACTTTTCGGTCAGACAGTCAAAACAAGTCCAAAATAATAAATTTCCAATGATTTTGTTCAACAAGTTTTATTTTACTTCATGTTGTTTGAAACACCCCTCTAGCTATGTTATGGTACACTGTATGTGCCTCTCACGAGCAGTCGTAAACAACTCCTTATATGGAGATTGGTGCTCGTTGCCCATACTGTGCTTTGTGGCACAGAACGCAGCTGTGCCGGTGTAGTGTAAGTTTAGGACTATGAAATAAACTGAGGATTGTGAACGTTCAACCAATAAAAGGGTAAAAGGGACCAGATTTCATAGAGTCCAAATTTCATGTGACACTGGAAAAGTGTTGAAGACCAGCTAGCTGGTGTTTTATCAACCATTTAAGACTGGTCACGTGACAGGCTCTCGACCAATAGAAATGGGTAAACAGTCTTAGGTATTAACATGTATGAATGATAGTTTTAAAACAGAAATGCTGCAAATTGATAGCTTGATAGGGAGAAAACAAAAACAATGGAAAGAAACAATGCACAAAAGAGTGACACAAATATATCTCCTGGGGAAAAAAGTAAACAAATTATAAAAGAAAGCATATAGAGCATTAATAAAATGACAAAACTGAACGGTGACAGAAAAGCAGGAATTTGCAAGCTGAAAACGGATTGCTTTTTGTGTTTGGGTGCATGCAGTGAATGACATGCGATGGCGTCTATCTTGCTTACCGCGCCACCATCAACCTCATCTTCTTCCTGTTAGCAACAAGGGGTCAAAGGTCAAAAAAGCAACAACCAATCAAAAACCATGTAATTTGGCTTTCAAAAACAACCGCCAATCATAAAGCATCTAATATGGCTTTAAAAAAAAAAAAAAAAACAAAAAAAACAAGATTTTACCTTAAAAAAAAGCAACAACTAATACAAAATAGGCAATGTGGCTTTAAAAAAACCCCTCAAACTTGGGTTTTAAGACCTGTGTTTTATGGGATAAAAGACTGAATTTTCAAGGCTTGTTTCAAATCCAAATTTTGGAAGAGACCTCAATGAAAGTTCTCCACAATAATTGATGAACCCAAACTTTGAAATGCTGAAAACAAATTTCATGTAAATGTGCAGACATATTAACAGTTTATTTTTTATGACATTTACCACAACGATTTTATAAAACATCAAAGACCGTGAACTGAACATTATGAAGTGGAAAAAAAATCTGTAGTGACAAATGATAAAACCTTGCACTTAGATGTAGTTTTTTGTTTGTTGGTTATGGGCCAAAAAAGTGGGAGTACATATTTTGTTTGGAAAAAAGTAATGTGTACATGAACAAACAGTCGTGAATTTTTATACGCCCGAGGACAATGCTTTGTGTTTCCCTTGTCCCTGTAATATAACACTCTCCCATAGACTAGGCACATAACCGTACGATCAAGGACCGTTTTCAACAAAAGACCCAATGCTCGAAAACTGAAAGGATCTTTTGTTCTCCCTCTGTGTGTCTGTCCTCTATCGTAGAGCCATACATGCACATGTATATTTCACTTCTTTCTTTTGAGAAATGCAGACTTTGACAGGGAAAAACAAATGATATAACAAATTGCCATTCTAAAAGAGAAAATTTCATCTTAAAAAAAAAATTAACTCCGTATCATCTCAAACATGCACCACTGACTCACCAAAATGGATTTTGTGTACAAAAAAGGTTTTGAATATTCATCAGCATGCATCAGTCCAATAGACTGGACTTGTTGAATAATTCATAAGCAGGCTTTCATCATGCACTGCAGCCCACCCAGTTTGGATATCATTCCATGCCACGCCCACCTCATGAATGATTCAGCAGTGAAAGCGCCTGACCCGTTCCTCATAAATAATTCAACATGACTCATGAATAATTTCAGCAGCCACATGGTGCATCTACAGACCTTGACCATGAATTATTCATCAACCAGGCCGTGCACAAATACAAAAGACACGTTCATCATGAATAATTCAGCAGTCACACGGTGCAACTACACAGACCTTGACTTCCAATGAATTATTCATCAACCATGCAGTGCACACAATACCAATGACACGTTCATCATGAATAATTCAGCAGTCACATGGTGCAACAATATGCAAATGGCATGCTTCTAGACCACCTTACCACTATAGTGTACATATCATGATTGTCACCTTGCACACACGTCTTTTTAGGAAAAACAGACCAGGACAAAAGGACAGTAAAAAGACACAAGAAAATGTATTAGAGGAAAACTACGGAAAGAAATTCAGTCACAAATACTAAGTAAAACTGTTAGTAGAATGACGCTGGACAAAGTTTTTTCAAGCACGGTAGCCACACACTGATCTAACTAAAAGACATTTTCTTCACAACTATTTCAGTTTCTGACCATTTAAGCTTTTTAAAATAAATAGAAAGAAAAATGCGCATAGGAGTATCAAACATGAAAAAGGATGAAGAACAACTATATTCATATAGAGTAGGCCTATGTGCAGTCAATGTCAATTGACGATTTCGAAGAATTTATTTAACAGCAACTGGCATACATTTACATGTATATTAAATCAAATTTTATAAAAATATAATAATCAAAAACAAATCACATATGGATATACAAGTCCGGTCTAGTGGTGGGATTAAAATTTGTTTTGAATTTCCACTTATCGGCTTGGATTTTGAAAACCAGATATTCCAAACTAACCCTAAAAAAAAAATTAAGCCTTTCGTTTTGTTGAAACACAGGCTAAAGAAATTAACTGGAACATTCCCCAATTTGCTCTGATTGTAACTGCATTCACTTGCTAGTGGTCTTCTTGCTACAGTGGTATGCCACCTATAACGAACATCGCGGGATCCATAGAAAATGATCGTAACAGCGATCGTTCGGTACAGTGATTCAATTGAGACGCCGGCACTTTAAATGGCATGTCTGTTTTAATAGCGCGTTCTTGTGCCCTACTTGAAGTGCACATTCGACTTCGGCCAAATAAAAAACAAACATGTTTAGCGTCCTGCCTTTTTGAAAAAAAGGAAGGAGGAGGCCCTTTTTTTCCCCAAAAAACGATCAGCCAGGCTATTTTTCAAGATTGCCGCCAGCTTTTTTTTTTAAATGGCCGCCACTTGGACTCAGGAAATGACATGCCAGCTTTATTTGGGCTAGATGCAACAGAGAAAGAGGCCAACATGATGTCACTGTTGAAAATTTATAATTTTTTCATTTTTTTTTTTCAACAACAGCAAAAAAAAAAGGAGGCGGCCTCCAAAAGGGAAGCGGGCGAGGACACTTAACATATTTTTTGTTTATTTGGCCTTATCAGAGAGTTCCCACCGATTTTTTTTCAACAATATAGCGTGTTTTGAAAAAGGCCCAGTAGCCACTGAATCTCACAACTTATAGCCAATCATTGTGGAGGGCATTGCAAGCAGCACCTCACTTGTCACCTTTTGTTGGCATGACTGTGAGCTGAATGGGAACTTCCGGTGAAATCAGAAAACCGTTATTCGGTTTGAAAAAATTCAGGATAACCGGATTTTTGAAATCTCCGATTTTTCCCACCACCAGAAAAACAAAAACAAAGGAATGCCTTCGTCACAGTGCATTGAATACATAGATTGGATGACTTGTTATGGACTTGTGAGGACTTGCCATTCTTCACAAGTACCTTGATTATTCACTGGATAGTCACATGACTAGACACATGACTAGTCACATGACTAGGAACATGACTAGGAACATGACTAGGAACATGACTGCACATTCTCTATAGAAGCGAAAAGACGAATATCACGACATCAAATTTTGTTTTGGTAAACCAAAGAAACTGTTTAGACTCAAGAACTCATTCTTGTGGGTTTTTTTTTTAGGTGAAATACTAAACAATATTTTGAAGTTTTGCCAAATATAATAAAAGAAATTAACTAAAACTCCATTTCCTCACCGATGCTGCATCTACGTCATCCTCATCGTCCTGAGCCTGTAGCCTGAGTTTCTCCTTCTCGCGATTCTCGTTCGCTTCGTTGATCATCTCCCGGAGTATACTGACCGGCTTCGCTCTCTTGATATACGGGTGCTTCAAAAATAAACAAAACAAAAAAACCAAAACGTTCTTTTCAGACTGAACTAATTGTTGCTATAGCTCTGAATTACGTTTGACTTTGAAACAGGTGAAGAAAGAAATTGACTGCAGCGGGGTTTGAACTAGTCTGAGTATCACCCGTTGTCCAATGGAGCCCTCTGTGTCTCCGGTCCAATGTCTGATATATCTAAGCATGTAAATTCAAGCAACCCCACGCGCCCGCCAATCGGAGTCGACTTTACAACCTGTGACGTCACTTCGATCAGAAATGTGGATTCAGCTGTTGATTGGTCAATTTGGATGCCATGTTTTTATTTACAACACTCATAGACATCTCAAAAACCTAGTCACATCTACTGTGCTTTTACGTTGTAAATTGTGTAAGCAAAAATAGATTGCGTCACACAGCCTATAAGGATATGGTACGCAATGCATGACCAACGTCCTATGGCTTCGAAGGCGTCACATTAATATTTTAAATAACGCGCGTAATGCAAACGCCCTCTTGCGTGTTTACATGACGCCCACGATGAGCGTTCGCGTAATTGACATATTCTATACACGCAGCAGTTTGCCAACAGTTTCGTGTCTAAGCTTTATTAGATGTCTGTGACAACAACAGCTTAGTAAAGACCCGATTTAGAAGGCGCTCGCTTATAATGGTCAGAATTTCGAGGTCAAGACGCAGTTTTGTTCCCCATTTTGTCAATGTCTTTGTTCAAGGGGCGCTAGTCAAAAGCCATAAACCTGTGTAAAACATGTAGCCAGGGATCAGGCCCAAGTCACAATGCTAGCAACATGAGCAATGCTGCAAACCTGGGAAATAGCAAACGGGATCACTCAGAGAGGATACAGCTTTTGGGTGGGAAAGGCAATACCTGTAGTAGGTCCGTGGCTGTCGCTCGTTCCTCGGGGTTCTTGACCAGACATTTAGAGGTGAAGTCAATCAGTTCTGGTGACCAGCCCTCGGGGTCGTGGAATGTGGGCGGTGGCTTGGTGGGGATCATAAAGATGGCCTGCAGATGTGAGAAAAAGGAGAAATTCCATCTTTGAATTGACTCGGTGCGTATACTGTAGAAAGTGTTGTGTGACTGATCATGAGAGACAGGGAAGGACAAATTGTAAGTCCTTACAAGTCCCCCCCCCCCCCCATGTATATCACAAGTCCATCACAAGTCATCACAGTCCATCACAAGTCAATCACAAGTCCATCACAAGTCAATCACATGTCAGTCACAAGTCATTCACAAGTCAATCACAAGTCATCACAGTCCATCACAAGTCAATCACAAGTCCATCACAAGTCAATCACATGTCAGTCGCAAGTCAATCACAAGTTAGTCACAAGTCAATCACAAGTCAATCACAAGTTCATCACAAGTCAATCACACGTCAATCACAAGTCAATCACATGTCAGTCACAAGTCAATCACACGTCCATCACAAGCTATTCAAATGAACTGTGACAAAGGCATTCCTTTGTCATTGGTCATCCTGAGTTGTTACCAAACTTGTGACGAACTCGGTATTTGTCTTGTGATGGACCTGTGATTTGACTTGTTAAACGTGACTGACCTTTGACAGCTTGTGATAGACTTATGATGGACTTGTCATCAACTTGTGATGAATTTTTGACTGACCTGTGACAGCTTATGATTGAGTTGTATTGGATTTGTGATTTGACTGAGGATGGACTTGTGATGGACTTGTGATTAGACAAGCAATCGATCTGGCCTATTTGCGACAGTAAAATGTTGCCTCTAAATAGGGGCTGAGGCATTAGGGAGACATTGAAATGTCAACCTGTCAACCTGCAGAATTACCCTCAGACCACAAATTCAATGCTCAGACTATGAAGCCACGGCACTCCACTTATTTTAACTTGTGATGGACTCAACTGACAGTCTATTGAGAATAGTTTAAAAAACTTGTCGTGGCAAAACAAGAACACAAACAAAACAATCACATGACAAACTACAATGGTTGCCATGGATACAGTCATGTGATTTCCATAGCCTACCCTCATTGGATGAATGTCTGCGTATGGCGGCTTCCCTTCGCACATCTCCAACGCCGTGATACCCAGCGACCAGATATCGGCCTTGCAGTCGTAACCAATCTCCTGGATGACCTCGGGCGCCATCCAAAACGGGGTACCGATGACTGTGTTCCTTTTGGCCATTGTGTCCTACAGAAAGAGAATAGGAGAATTCACATTTTAAAGTCAAGCTAATATTTCTCACTACAGTTTATTGCATTTGAAACACCATTTTCAACCATGTGAAATCATTATTGTAACTCCCTTCTCTCCGGAATCAGGAATCAAGATCTCGATCGGCTCCAAGAACTTCAAAACAAAGCCGCTCGCCTGATTCACCAGAAACCAAAACACTCTCATGCCACACCCCTACTAGCTGAACTTCACTGGCTTGTTATCAAACAACGGGTCGTCTTCAAAACAGAGAGTAGGGTTAAAAACAAAGATTCTTTTCTTACAGTGAGTTGACCAGCAACGCCGAAGTCCGCCAGCTTGGCGTTCCCCTCGTTGTTGAGGAGGATGTTGCCTGCTTTGATGTCTCTGTGAATCTTACGCATGAAGTGCAGATACTCCAGACCTTTAAGAGTTGACTGAAGGATCGTGGCAACCTCATCTTCGGTTAACTGTACAATAAAACAAAGTGACAGAGGTTTTTGGGGAAAATGAGAGAAATTTTAGAAGTGATGGTTCAGCAATTTTGGGCGCAAAAATAAATCAGCTCATTTTCCAAAATCCCTGAGTTAACTCCCACTTAACTCCCAGTATAAGGGTCTTTGAGAAATATATGCTAACTTCATTAAAAACATTTTTAAAAGATGCATGCAGAAATCAGAAAGATTGGTCGCTCCTTACCGTTTTATTTCTCCTTCTCATGATGTCCGACACTGAACCAGCTCCACAATACTCCATCACGATCTGAAATAAATATATAAAAAAATATGTAAATAAATAAACAAATAAATACATTTTCAATTTTCAACACAAATTAAATAAAAAACTTTGTAAAATTTGAGATTGTATTTTTCTACACATTTGATTACAGAGTCCTGATGAAACTGAACATTTTCAAATAATGTTTCAAAAAAAGAAATTTAACCAATATTGTCACGTCAGTGCAACAAGGTCGTAACTCGATTCTGCAACAAAGTCGTACATCGCGCAAAAACGCTCCGTGCAACAAAGTCGTACCTCGCGCAAAAACGCTCCGTGCAACAAGGTCGTATCTCGCGTATCGCGACATCCATTGACTTTGTGTGTACATCCGGGTTATTGTAAGCGAGATACAACCTTTTGACATTGAAAACTCACGTTTCACGTACATGACGTCACACGGCATTTTAGGAGATACATGTACGACCTTGTTTCACGGACACGATGACATGTCAGCTTTAACCAGCCACTGCGAGGGGCATTTCTATGCCCACACCCTGTGATTTGGTTCAGAATTTTTTTTTTTCAGACGGGTCCAGATCAGAACTCAGACACTTTTAACCAATTTCTTATAAAATTCCAAATTTTCAAGGGACTTCTGACTAGCGCCCCTTAAACAAAGACACTGACAAAATGGGGAACCACCAAAAAAGGGCTGGATAGCTCAGTTGGTAGAGCACCGGAACGGCAATCCGGATGGCGCAGGTTCAAACCCCGCTCCAGTCAATTTCTTTGTTCAACTTTAAAATTGAAAATTGAATTGCGTGGAGCGTCGTGGCCTCATGGTCTGGAGCATTGAATTCGTGGTCTGCGGTTAATTTTGCAGGTTATGGGTTCGAGTCCAGCCTGCGGCTATGGTGCGTGTGCCCTTGGACAAGGCACTTTGTCACTCATTGCTTCTCTCCACCCAGGAGTACATGGGTACCTGTGAGGGCAGAGATGGTTATTGTGATTGATTGTAGCTGCCTCGTACCAAAATGGCAGCATCGAGCTGTATACTCCCCAGGGAGCTGAGATGGTATTTGGTATGTTTAATTCGCCAAATGAGGGGTAATAATGATGTAAAGCGCTTTGATCTTAGCTAAAAGCGCTATACATGTATAAGAACCCGTTATTATTATTATTGATTAAATGTCCAACTTCTCACCCATAGATCTGTGTTCTTGAAGTAGCTGCCATAGTACTTGACCACATAGGGGCTATCACACTGCTGCATGATGGAGATCTCTTTGATGATCTCTTGTAAGTCAGTGTCCACGGGGACCTGCTTGATGGCAAGCACCTGACCGGACTCCTTGTGCATGGCCTTGAACACGCTGCCATAGGACCTGAGCAAAAGAAGGAGGGGCACCAGACCAAGAATTGTTATTTAAATTGCTGTGTACTGTACTCGGCTATGGCTCTGGCTCTTGAAATTGAAATGATGCAGTAAATATCCATAGCCGTAGAGAAAACAACTCATTTTTGTGAATACTTGACCGGACTGCTTGTGTATGGCCTTATACACACTGCAATAGGACCTGAGCAAAAGAAGACTGGGCATCAGACCAAGAATTGTTATTTAAATTGCTGTGTCCAAAGTGACTTTCTTTGGCTAGATGGCTTTGGCTTTTGAAATTGACATGATACGGTAAATATCCATAGCCTTAGAGAAAAACACCTGTTTTGGCAAGCACCTGACTGGACTCCTTGCGCATGGACTTGAGGATGCTGCCATAGGACCTCAGCACAGAAGACAGGGTACCAGACCTACAAATGCTATATTTAGTTACAGCTATGGCTTTGGCTTTCAAAATTGAATTGTAGAGGAAATTTTTGTGAGTGCCGGACCGAACTCCTTGTGAATGGTCTAAAAAATAAAAAACTTAATCGTCTCAAACCAAATTAAAGTGCATGTACATGTATGGCTAAATTACAAGTACGGCTTGTGGCTTATTACTTGCTTGTGAGTTAAATGGCGGGTGAGCTAAATGGCTTATGTTGATGGCTCAGGAATTATGTGGCTTACATGCATGGCCTGTGGTTTACGGCTCACGGCATATAACTTACGAGTATGCAAATGACTTGTGACTTGAATGACTTGTGTACCTGGCTTTGGAATTGACCTATCGCGGTAGAATCTCGTGAGAATCGTATCAACGCAGCTTGTGAAATATTGTCCAATTACATGATATACAAATGGACGCGGAACGCGCAAAATCTGAGACAAACAAAATTTAGTGTACACAAACTCCATAGGGTTGTCAAAGGGGCGTGGCTAACTCGCAAACAGCGATAGGTCAATTATGTGGCTTCTGTACCTGGCTTATGGCTTATGGCTTATGGCTTGTGGATTATAGCTTAGCAAATGGCTTATGACTTATGTGGCTTAAACGTATATGGCTTGCGGCTCATGTGGCTTATGTATATGCCCTGTGGCTTTTGGCTTGTGGCTGTGGCTTATTTGGCCCGTGGCGTGTGAGACTGCAAACTCACTGGACAAAAACTCCCACATCAATTCCAAAATTGGACCCAAGTTCCTCACCCTTCTCCTAGTTTCTCCAAGATGTCAAAGACTTCCTCCGGCTGCCTGGTAAGGCTCTCCTCACTCAACCTCTTCAATTGACTGCAATTAAAAGACATTTTTAAAAGAAAACAATGAGAACAATTGGCAGCGACATTTTGTTTCACTAACTCAGTTACAAACCTTACTTCAATGCCAAATTGTCTGACACTGACAACTTGAACCATGACTGTTTACAACTACATGTATGATTGATCCAAAACTATAAATGTTCTTTACTTTTAGACTAAATAGTCCTTCAGGCTATTAGAGGCTAGTAAGGATAACATTTTAGGACAATATTACAGAACAGGACCTACAGCCCCTAACATTTAAAAAAAATATTGTCAGCAAAGTTGAAGAATGCCAAGCCCATGTGTACATGAGTTGCCAGTTGGGTGGTTATAAATGAACGCCAGGTTTAAAGGTCTCGGTTTTGAGGCTCCATCGCAAATAATCTGTCGACAGATCCCGGATCAATTGACATGTTAAAATAGCAAATCGTCCACCGGATTTCGGACATGTGGTAAACGTTAGGACAATACTGAAAGCTCATCACAACACCATCTCACGACCTCGCACCCCCCCAAACTTCACTGTACCTTTAGCGAAGTTGTCAACCTACACCAAAGGTCGCATACTTGAAACCCTTCAACTTTATTTTCAGTTTCGGGTGGGCGTATTCTTTCAGTTTGCCTAGATACGTGTACATGAAGATTGTAATTTTAGAGTTTTACAAAATGTTTATTTTTTATTTAAGTAAATAGTTTACACAGGACCAGTTCTATTACTCCATTATTTGGGAGCTGTAACCTTACTACAAAAGTACATACAGATGTATGTACTTTTGTAGTCCAGGTACATGCACGTTTTTGCAGCCAAAATTTCTTTCAATCCTCTTTATATGATAAAACTGGAGCAAGGTAATTATCTGCATCGGGTCGGGTGGACCAGGCCAAACCGACCCGAAATTGATCTTAACTCCCTCAAACTGACCCCACCTGACCCGACAAAAAATAAGGTAAAACCAACCGAACCGACCTGAACCCGAACCGACCCGAAAAAACTTAATATCTGGCTTGGACACGGTGATCACTTTTTTTTGTGCCTGCCCTTACCCAAGTGGCATGAATTCTTTTGAAAAACCATCGTCTCTCTCTCTGTCATACCGGGGTACTCAGTGGGTTGATCGAGAGTAACGCAGTATCATGAAAACTGTTACAATCTTTCACCGTCAGTCCCGATCCGACTGGAGAATTTAATACCCTGGGAACTTGATAGTATGTTGTGTACGCACGTTGGCCACACTACAATGGGCTGTGGTCACAGTGACTGTCAACAATATTGCATCACCTGAATTTCTCAACTGTTTCGGTTTCTTTTGGTTTATTTTGTTTTTTTCAAGAGATGGCCAAACCGACCCGACCCGACCTGAAATGTAAATGCAAAACCGAAACCAACCTTACCCAACTGAAAAGATGGACAAACCGACCCGACCTGACCCGAAGTCGGTTTCGGGTCGGTTTCGGGTCGGGTTTTGCACATCATTAAAGGTAAACAAAGGGCATTTTTGAAATTTGGGGTTCATCTCTGTTGTTGGCTCCTGGAGATTTTAGATTCCTTACTTCAGATCAACAACGTAGGTCAACTTCTTCTTAACCCTCCAATGCAAACATACACTCTGTGCAAAGTTGCCCTTGCAGTCAAAATCAATCAAGTGGCTGTTTCGAACAGTTCAGAGCTCCCAGCCTACATAAAGCAGGATTGACTGGCTGTGACTGTTTATGTAACTTGATACAGCTTTGCTTTGACTGTAGGTGATTGACAAGCCAGCTGTGCCTACCACTTGCCTGCATTTGTCTGTTGACTGAATTTGACTGGTCACAGTGCTTGCATTGGTGTTTTTTTGACTGCCTGTGACAGTTCAGATAGCGAGAGGGTTATTAAGGAACATTAACATAGGTCTACAAAATGAGGCCAGTTTAGAGGATGTTTATCGGGTTTGAACACTTAATGGCTTTTTCATGATTCTGAAACCAATGCGATGAAGTCAAAGCCGGGAACAAAGCCACGTTTTCACAAACATGATGTATTAGGAGTTCAAAGTTCAACAAGCTTTAAAAAAAATTTTTTTTTATGGCCGTGCCTTCAATATACCCAGTACTATAAAATCTGCAATCCATGCATTTGTACAACACAGAGAAGCTATAAAATGTAAGTATTCGCACTTTAACTTGACTCTGTAACAAAATATTTCAAACCGCTGTGCAATACTGGCTGTGCACTAAATACCACGACTGGTTCACATTCCTCAGTAAATCCAAATTAGTATCACAGACTTGCCCCTCAGTGCGTGAAGCAATCTGCCAGGCTGAATGGAATAGTCTACATTTGTAAATATTTAAACCCCCTCCCCCCCCCCAAAAAAAAGATGATCGATGTAACAACTGATTTAACATGTTTAACCTTGACTTTTAGGTTTGGAGGATAATTTTAGACTTTGACAGAAAAACAAAAACTGGGTTGATGAGTTCCATGTGATTTGCAAAACAAAGTGGAACTTTACCCATACAGTGACACACTATTATGATGTTAGGCCACGTACAAAAATAAACCGGTTTGCCGTCCCCGCCTGCCTTTTTTTTTTTAAATTTATACATTTGCAATATACTTTGCAAATTTTGTCAATCATATTTCTATTTGTTTCCAACAAATTGGTAGTTATATTATGTAGAAAGGATGACGGCTTCTTTGCTTTGGGCACAATTCTGTATCAGCATAACCACCCTGAATCCTTCAAAATCCTCCTTAACAAAGTGGAGGAATTTGGAGGATTGAGGTTTCATGGCAAAAGTGCGTTACTGATTTCGTAGGATGCAATTTGTCAAGGTCTTGGGCCGGACCTTGTGTTGTTTTTGCTCAGCCATGGAAGAATTTAGGCCTGGATTATGCTTGAAATCCTACGCACTGCTCCAGGATGTCACTGGCCAAGCCTCAACATACATGTATTGACAGTCACTGCCGCAGGATTTTGCAGGATTGAGGCAGTGGTAAACGGACCATTTTCAAGAAATAATGGAGGAATTTGCAGGTTTTGGGCTACTACATGTACATGTATTTCTCCAATTGGAGGATTTTGCAGGATTGAGGTTACATCCTAGTAAAAAAGGTCTAGGGAGTTAGGTTTAAAGAATCCCTCTGCCATCTTGGAAAACCTGCTATCTTGGGGGAAACAAGGAGGGACTGTCTTCTTCATTCATTACAAGCCTGGACGAAAAACTATGTTATTTACTCGGCCTCCATTGCTTTGCAATACAGCTTGAAGATGAAACTAGGCTTGTTGATGCAATCTATCCAAAAAAATTAAATTTGAAGAACTACACATTATTAGCACCTCAATAAATTCCCTATAATCCGTCAATTGTACAATCCTCTGTTCTGCTCCAGGATGCCACTGGCCAAGCCTCATCATACAGTGTATTGACAGTCACTGCCACAGGTTTTTAAATTTACTTTAACTAACTCCCTAGGCCTTTTTGCTAGGATGTAGCCTCAATCCTGCAAAATCCTCCAATGGGCCTCATGGAAAAAAAGCATCATCCTCAATCCTGCCAATTCCTCCATTATTTCTTGCAAATATGATCCGTGGAGGGATGAACACTGCCTGAACGCTGCAAAATCCTGCGGCAGTGACTGTTAATATGTTGAGACTTGGTCAGTGACATCCTGGAGCAGTACGGAGGATTTCAAGCATAATCCAGGCCTACATTTATGCATGGCTGAGCAAAAACAAGACAAGGTCAGGCTCAAGATCTTGACAAAGTGCATCCTCTGAAATCAGTAACGCACTTTTGCCATGTACCGGTAACCTCAATCCTCCAAATTCCTCCACTTTGGCAAAGAGGATTTTGAGGATTCAGGGCGGTTAGGGTTAATTCTGCAAAAGTGCTGTTAACTCACTATAGAAATAACAGAACAGTTTTTTTTGACAACTATTAATTTACATGCACTAGATAGTACAAAACATTGAATAGATTTCTTAAACAATCATTTATGATTGAAAAGGTTGAAAGGAACAGTTTGATTTTGATGTTTAAAACAATTAATTACTTCATACCTCAACCACATCAACTTGTACATTTGCATCCGACAACTTTTTGCAAACAAATTTACTGTTTTTCCATAAATGCATCAAATTTTAAAATTGAATCACGCCTCTAGTTTTAACATTTTATTAGAATATTTGCCACATTTAACTCCTGTCAAAACTGGCCATATACATGAATAAGGGTTAACAATAACTATAAGTCACATAAAGTCACACTTATTTATAATTTTACAGATCCTTTTTTTTTAGAGGAGGCAATGTCGGAGGATGGAATTAAAATTTAAAAACAAATCCTTTGACGTCTGTTTTTTTGTGGGATTTTTTTTTTGGAAATTCTTTTCAACGAAGTTTGGGATGGAGGTGGAAAAAAAATACACTAAAGAAAGTACATGTTTTTGGTGACAATACATGTAGTAAAAATAGAACAAAGTGACAACAAATCTCTTTCTTCATTGTATTTCATTTGTCTCAATGCGTTGGTACATTGTAAACAAATGAACTGGCCACAGTTACGGCAGCTGTATGGGCAACATCTGTGGCTAGCGATATGGCACAAAGCTGCGCCTGCGCGAACCGGCAATATATCGAACATGAGTGAAATTGGAAATAATTTGTCCCCCCCCCCCAAAAAAAATGCTCTGAAGGCACAATTTTCGCAAAGGAAATTTGTTATTCTTCTGTGAAATACCTTTCAGATAATGAAAAAAATGAAGTAAAAAAATGAAGCGAGAAAAAAATAAAAATTGGGCAAAAGTCTCCGACCTCAAACCGGTTGCCAGCAGGCTCAATGCGCAATTTCAACTACACCATACCACAATGCGCGCTGCCGGTATTAAACCATTCAATCAATGTATTTATGATGATTTAAAGTCACATTCACACATCATTGTATCGCTAGCCACAGAATTATAGAAGTTGCCCATATGACACTTTTCTGGCTATGTGGGGATATTGTAAACAGTAAGTTGTATACTTTTATTTTCTTTACGACCTACCACTGCAATAAATAATAAATAATTAAATAAAAAAATTAAAAAATAAAAATTGGCTAAAATTGATTTTTTTTTTTTCATTCGGCAAAAAGAAAAGAAGAAAAAAAAGGTAGATCTATAATCCAAAAAATCAAAAAGTATGGCCTGAATAAACACACATTCGCAAATGCTAAATAAGGTTTATAAAATTCTCATTTTTTTACGTTCGTCTTTAATAGATTGCCCAATCCAAATGAACATCCACCTTTCATATGCATTTTCACACAGTAATTTCAATCCACTAGTACACAGGTGTACAAAATTCAAAACAAGTTTAACGTCGGGAAAACAACCACAATTCTTACCTTGTCGACGTCATTTTAACACAAAAGAAAACCTGACGAATCCCACCAGATCAAACCATGGTAGTGGGAGATGAATTGTGCGAAATTACGAGCCAATAAAAGGGACGGAATAAGCGGAAATCAACCGCTCAATTTCGCATGGTGTTTCTGCAGGCGAGTTGGAACTTTCACAGCAGTGTTGATGACATCATATGCGAGCGAGGTCAAAGGTTATTGAAACACGCCCTCTGGGGCATTATTTTTTGGAGGCTCGATCGATTAGACTTGCCCAGTCAGTCAGTTCTAGATTTTTGACCTAGTGAATAAATGAGTTAAATGCTTGATATTTGCCTAGATAATGATTAAGTATTTAATCCATAACGTGGAACGCGTTGCATAACATCTAGATATCCAGATATTTGTCAAATATATTATTAGTTTGGTTTTGGTATTGAGACATAATACGATTACGTAACTGTAGTCTTGGGCAAACATTTACTTTTTATTTATCTTTTTACACAATATGACGTTAGACTCAAACCAAGTCTCTCAAATTGGCATCGTTTTTAATTTTAAATTACTTGTCAAGTTTACGAATTACTGTCTTTCTGATTATCAATATATTTAAACTAAAACATGTTCAGTTAGTTTTAATCACATTTATTTTGTAAAACGTTATTTCTGACATTAATTGTGTATGATACTGACATCACACGCAGAATAAAAACGTCTCGAAAAAAAGACTACCATGTTAAGATTTATAACGCATGAAGCGTGCAGTGTGCAACATCGCATCGTAGCGCAAAAGTAGCATCAATTTCCAGCTGTTTTGAAGAGTTTTTGGAATTGCAATCTCAACAATGGCAGGTGGTGCACAGGCCAACATACTTCGTCTCTTACAAGACGTTGGGAAGGCTGCGTAAGTCGGTGTTTTCGTGATTACTCAGCTTAAATTCCTCAGACCCATTTTTACGCTTGTGAAAAATGTGAATGTGACTTGTGAGTTACATGTAGTTGCGTTGTGGAAGTTTGGAATTTCTCCATGGTCTATTGTATGTACTGACCACAGTTCCCTGAGAAAAGTTAAAAGTGAAGCTTCGTAACCATTGGCAACGCATCTTTGTCGTGGTGCATTGTGTGATTGTAGAAAAAGATCCTCTTTTGATTAACTTAATTAATGTCATATTATCATATATCTGCAGCACCTTTCAAATGTTCATGATTACATTTGAAACTTTGTTTCACCATGTAACATTAAAACTAAAAGTAGTATAGTAAACTTAGTTCCAGACATTAATTGTATATTAATTATGCCAAACAAAGAAAATAAACCAGTTTCTCATGTGGGAAGGGAGCTGCTTCCTTTTTTCCTGGCCGCCTCCTTTAAAAATCCTTCTTTTTTTAATATAAATTCATACATTTGAAATATATTTTGGGATAGATTCCCATATCTGGCCATCACAAATTTTTCCCTTCAGTGACCTATCAGTCATCAGAAAGTGATAATATGTCATAAAAAGTCAAATATAGGCCCAGGGAAAATATGGAAGTATTTAGTGAGAAAACACTTAGAAATTTTCAGACCAGTCTCATAGGGTTTGTGCACAGAGTGACAAGTGATGGCCAGATATGGGAATCTTTCCATATCTTGCAAATACGCATGATAGGGGCCTATATATTGTCCATATTTTGTCTTCATATTTGTTTCCAACAAAATCGTATCTATGTAGAAAGGGTTATCGGACACAATTTTTTATCAGCAAAATAGAGTGAAAATTTAAGAATCCATCGACCATCTTGTAAAATCCGCCATCTATGGAAAAAAAAGGAGAAAAAACAGCTGGCCTCCTTCATTTTTAAAAACAAGGCCAGACGAGAAACTGCTAATTTTTTTTATTCGGCCTTATCACTACTCACATTCACCCTCATGTCAATATCACCACTGTCATAATATTCACCATCATTTCAACATCATCAATCTCATATTTAACATCATTTCAACGTCATCAATCTTATATTCACCATCAAAATTCAATCATTCATCACCACCACTTCATCGCCATCATCATCACCATTATCAACCTCACCAGTTTTAGTCATAACAGATAGATATTAATAACTGCTCAAATGGTTTTCTTCTCAGATGTCGATGCCCCGCCCACTCCCAAGCCTTCCGGTTAAACCAACCCACGATACCCAAGCATGCTTGCTCCTCAACTGGGGCGAGCCAGCCAGAATATGCCTTCGAGGTCAGTATTAAAAGTCCCTTCATGACCACAGATGTTTTAGTAAATTTGCTTTAATTGATGACATGAAAATATACAATTCACTTTCTTTTTTTGGGGGGGGGGGGGAGAGGGTTCTTGCAGCTCGAGTATTGAGAATGTTAACTTACATATTGAACTTGAATTTTACTTTGTTTCTCCTTTTTCAAGATGGCATGTTCCAACATTAGGTACGGCAAGGGAGTCACCCAAGAAGTCGGAATGGTAAGTTTAAAAATACTTTTTACAAACACAAAGTTACTCATTGAAAATATAATTGTACTTCAATTTATCCCTTCAATTATATCATCAGCATTGTATGCTCATCAGTGCTTTTTGAAACCTTGTAAAAAACTTGATCCATCTTGCTGTAAAAGGCAACTATTTTTCTGTTAATTTTATGGAGTCTGTATGTAAACCAGTTTTGAGAAGTTAAATTACATTATGAACTTGAATTTTACTTTCTTTTCATGAATACATGTACATATCATCAGTGCTTTCTAAAACCTTGTTAAAAAAAAATTGATCCATCTTGCTGTAACAGGCAACTATTTTTCTTATAATTTTATGGAGTTTTTATATAAACCAGTTTAATATGAACTAGTATCTTTGTTTAAAAATTCCTTTTTTTTCTTCAGGATTTCCAAAATCTTGGTGCCAAGAAAGTTTGCGTCATGACGGACAAGACGGTAAGCAATGTTAATGTAATTTCTAAAATTTGGTGAGACAATTTTTCTTGTTCAAGTTCATGACAATTTAATTAAAGGGTTTTGTCCAAAGATTTACAACATTTTATTTTATATTTTTGTTCGCACATTATATTTGTTTTTTACAGATAGCAAGTCTGCCTATCATGACGGCAGTGTTGGAGTCACTTCAACGTCATCATGTCAGTCACGACGTGTTTCAGAACGTCAGAGTTGAACCAACGGATGTCAGGTAACAACTAGACTTTTCAATTTAGGGTTGGGGATTCGGGGTGGGGAGTGGTGGGGTGGTGGGGGGGGGGGGTTCAAATTGAATATATTACCCCTGTTCATCAGGCCATGAGACCAGTTTTCTGCAGCAGTGTAAGGATCAGCCCAATTAGATCTCCACCCACACAGCTACCCATTTGTACTCCTGGATGGAGACTGACAATTGTGGTAAAGTGTCTTGCCCAAAAACACAACTATAGTGTTCCCTGTCAAGGTATAAATCCACAAGTCAGAACCCTGAAACCATTGGACTACATCATTCTACAACAGTTGGCATACAGTGCGTAGAAAGGCAATTGAAGTCGAGTGTCTTGCCCAAGAACACAAGTACCATGTTCCCTGTCAAGGTTTAAAGCTATAGTCGATCATTTGCAGCCATCCGAAAAAGTAACTGGCGTATTATTTATGAAAAACATACTCGGTTGAAAGATAGTAAGTGGACTAAACTCCCTGTGAAATTAATCTTTCTAGCAGCTATCATTTTGAAGTAATCAACGAAAAAAGGCCTTTCCAACGGTGCATCTTGAGACGCACCGTAGGAAAATTTAAATTAGTAGTTCGTTTTGTTATTTGGCGCAGCGCGCGCAAGCATTGGCACGACGCACAGGCGCGCGCGGTTGCTATAATTTGTCGCATCAGTGCGCGACATCGCGTATAGCTGCAATTGAAAACAATTCAAAACATGATTCAGCAACTTTTGATTTGAAATTGAGATCCTAGAATGCTGTTTTTCTCGGAATAAACAGCTGAAGCTGAGCTGAAACTTCATCAGGTTAGTTGTTCATTATCCTTCATTAGATTTTGAACACTTTTGTTGCTTCAAACGAACAAAATGCACAAATTACAAATGACGGACTATATCTTTAATGACCACGAGTCAGAACCCATAACCATTGGACCACAGCACTCTACAGCAGTTAACATTCAAATCCTGGGAGGGGAAAAGGCAATTGTAGTAAAGTGTCTTGCCCAAGATCACAAGTAGAGTGTTCCTTGTCAAAGTTAATAACCCACAAGTCAGAACCTGTAACTGTTTGACCACAGCACTCTACAACATTTAATGTACAGATCGTGAGTTTAGAAAGATGTTGTTATAAAGTGTCTGGCCTAAGAACACAAACATCATCGCCCTCTAAAGTTAATGGACTAGTCCAACAATCCTTCTTCCATCAGCTTCAAAGAAGCGATAGCCTTTGCCAAGGCTGGTGGATACGACGCTTACCTAGCTGTTGGTGGTGGTTCCGTCATGGACACCTGCAAGGCAGCTAATCTCTACGCTAGCAATCCAGAGGCTGACTTCCTTGACTACGTCAACGCACCGGTCGGAAAAGGCATGCCGGTCCGGGGGGAAGTCAAACCGCTGCTGGCCGGTAAGTCAAGCTTCATTGCAGTACCCACTGCTACTGTGGATTCGAACCAGCCACCAAATTTTAGCAAGCTCGGTGGTTCCATGGTTCAGACATCTACGCTACTTAGTGGAAGGTCGTGGGTTTGATTCGCACCCAAGCTAGCTTGAGAGTCTTTGTCACAAGCTCTTGGACAACACCGAGTATACAGTGCTCATAAAGTTACTTCAAGAAAGGGCAAAATCCAATACTGGAATCTCTATAATGTCCTTACAAAAATTTAATTGATTTCTTTTTCAGACAACAAAAATCTGAAAAGTGCAGCATAAGCAACAACAACAAATTCTGCTAACTGCTTTATAATTGGAGTGACCTTAAAGGAAAATACAACATTTGCAAACATCAAAAAAGAAAACTACCAAATCATATTGAAATACCTTGCTGGACTGTTACTGAATGACAGTGTAAAGCATCCTGTAAAATCATGGCACCTGGTATACTGACATTTTCAAGAAAAGTGGTATTTATGTATCAATTTCCAACGCTGGTCGGCCGACCAGCGTTGAAAAAAACTGGCTTTTTTTTTCAAATACTGGCCCCAATTGACCATCGCACTTGTTTGCAATTGATTACACACCTATGAACGGGTACAAGCCAGCTAGACTGGTTCCCTGACCTTACATTTCCCCAATGTATGTAAACTGCTCTGTTTCTTCTTATATGGAGTCAGGGAACCAGACTACAGGAAAATGATTGTTTTTTTAGCATTTTCGAACCCAAAACCTCAAAATGTCAGTGTAACTATATTTGCTATATATTTCCAACCCCCAATTCCATCCATTTCTGAAAATTACAGCAAAAGCAAATGATGTATATTCCCTTTAAATTCACAAATTGTACAAGTGAGGCAGCCTGACTTTTTCATTCTGGCAGGATACATTGGTAATTTATCTGTAAACTTTTAGATGTTTCATTGTTGTTTATTTATTTATTTGTTCCTTTTTTTGTCAAAGTTCCCACCACTGCAGGCACTGGAAGCGAAACCACAGGAGTTGCCATCTTTGACTACCTGCCTCTCAGGGCAAAGACAGGTATGCAGATAAAAACGTCTCTTGTTAAATGTGTAATATGCGTCTGTACTGATGACGTCGCACTTTGTTTACATGTGCACTTTCCTATGGAGCCAGTGGGGGCCCACGGTCCACTGAGCACCATAGGAAAGCACACGCGTAAACAAAGTGTGACGTCATCAGTACAGAGGCTTTCTTTTATAACAATCCCTGGTCTACATTGTGACCGAAGAAACGACATTCAGTGATATTCATTTCAGTTTAAAGGGAATGTACATCATTGGCTTATACTTTAATTTTCAGAAATGAACTATTTGAGGGGTTAGTATAATAGATCAAATTATTGTTACACTGACATGTTTGAAGTTTTGTTTTCGAAAATGCTGGAAAAACCAAGAAAAACAAAAAATTTCAAGTAGTCTGGTTCCCTGACTCCACTGAAGATGAAATGGATCAATTTACAGGTGCCGGAAAATTGTATGCTAAGGGAACCAGTCTAGCTGACCTGCACCCATTCATGAACATAAAACCAATTAGCAAACAAAATTGGACTGAAAAAAATGGTAAATTTGGAGCAGTAGTAAAAAATGGTTAGGTTTTTCCTACGGTGGTCGGCCGACCACCGTTGGAAATGTAAACAAAAATACAATTTTCTTGAAAATGACTTCACACCAGGTGCCATAATTTTACAGAATGCTTTAGACTGTCATTTACCAACATTCTGTAAGGTATTTCGTAAAAACTTCGTCATTTTATTTTTCGATGTTTGCAAATGTTGTATTTTCCCTTTAAACACAGCATTTCAGCTCGATTTTCCACTCAAATTTCGAACTAATCAAAACTTGAATAATTGTAAATTGAAGCTTTGCATTGTGCAAAATACAAATTGGGAGAGATTTTATAATACTTTCCATGTGACTACGGCTATGTCAAATTGCCGTGCTACTTTCCAAAGACACACACAGGTCTATTCATTAGCTATAGCTCTTTTTTCCCCCGTTGGCCAACAATTTTGGATTTCCAATATATGTTGTGGTTAAAGCCAGAGTCCATCATTTGCAGTTATCCAAAAAATAACTGGCGTATTTATTGTTGAAAAACATACTTGGTTGAAAGATAGTAAGGGGACTACTCCCTGTGAAATTATTCTTTCTGGCAAGCTGTCATTTTGAAGAAATCAACGAAAGAAGGCCTTTCTAAAGGTGTGTCTCTAAAGAAGCACCATTGGAAATTTCCGTTAGGAGTTCGTTTTTTTCAATAGGCGAAGTGCGTGCAAGCGTTGGCACGACGCACACGCGGTTGCTATAATTCGTCGGATCGGTGCGCGACATCGCGTAGCTGCAATCGGCTCAGTGAGAACATGTCTCGGGCGCTGAATTCAGGCCCAATTCAAAACATGATTCAGCAACTTTTGATTTGAAATCAAGATCCTAGAATGTTGTTTTTCTCGAAATATACAGCTGAAGCTGAGCTGAAACTTCATCAGGTTAGCTGTTCAGCACCCTTCTTTAGATTTTGAGCACGTTTGTTGCTTCAAAAAAACAAAATGCACAAATTACAAAAGATGGACTATACCTTTAACCTGTTGTATTTGTCTCTTTTCCCCCCAGGGATTGGTAGCCGAGCGATCAGACCACTGCTAGGCATTGTGGATCCTCTGCACGTCATGCACATGCCGGCCAGAGTGGCTACCTACAGCGGCTTTGATGTCCTCTGGTAAAAATCAAGCATTACATGCCTATGGCTTGCAGTAACACATGTCTATGGGAAGTGGCTTATAGCTACTTCCATAGGCACATGTGTAAACACAGCCTTATCCATGTGTGATATGATTATCGTCTATGGCTATGGCTATTGCTTTTCACCATAGTTCACCAAAGACCAAAATTGAAGCCATAGCCACAAAATACGCAATTCACTGTAACACATGTCTATGGGAAGTGGCTTTTAGCTTCTTCCATAGGCACATGTGTAAATACAGCCTTATCCATGTGTGATATATGATTATCGTCTAGGGCTATGGCTATGGCTTTTCACCATAGTTCACCAAAGGCAAAAATTGAAGCCGTAGCCGCGAAATACACAATTCTTCTCTGGCTTATGGCTGCAATTCACAATTAATGGTCCTGCAATAGAAAATTTGCTTCATGAAATCAATGAAATATACCTTTGTGTAAAAATTTACCTTCATTTTGCTGTCTCTGTATTGTCAGTACCGGGGTGTTCAGGGCATGGTTGGTTTTATGCTAATACAGATTTTGCATATTCATGTGCAAAACTGTGATGTCATCAGAGGCAGAAACTTTAGTAATTTAGTACATTGTCAATAAACCGGTTGCTTGAATGTCTTTTTCTGCTGTGATTTAAAAAATTGTTTTGGTTTATTAAGTATACGACAGCCAGACAATAGGCAAGCTTTAATAGAATAAAGATTGTCGGTACATATCACAACATTCAACATTTCAAAAGCCCGGTTCATACTCGGCGCGAAAGTGAATGCAATGCGAATTTGCCGTCAGGGGAGCATTCGCTGCGAAATTCGCCGGAGATGTGTTCAACTTTTGTGAATTCGCAGCGCGAAAACCTGCCATGACGTCACAAATTCGCGTTTGCTTTCGCGCCGAGTATGAACCGGGCTTACTGCAACCGGATTTGTGCTTTTTCTTAGTCATGCGTTGGAGTCCTACACGGCGATCGCCTACGACCAGCGAACACCGCGGCCAAGCAACCCCATCGAGCGCCCCGCCTACCAAGGCAGTAATCCTATCAGTGACATCTGGTCTATGGAATCCATGCGAGTAATCAAGAAGTACTTCAAGAGGTAAAAATACAACCCAGAACTGTCTGATCCTCCCCCAGCCTTCTCTCTACTGTCCACCCCTTCTCCAACCCCCCCCCCTTCCCCGCCCCTCAATTGTTTTGAAATCATGTTCCTGTCAGTGTCATATGGCACCAGTCTAGCTTTGGACACCACCCCCTATTGTTTTGACACTTTCCATGCCGTTGTTTCGCAGGTCTGTTAAGGATCCAGAGGATTTTGAGGCGCGGTCGGCCATGCATCTCGCTAGTGTGTTCGCTGGAGTGGGATTTGGGAACGCCGGTGTACACTTGTGGTTAGTCCGATGCAAAACGTGTTAAATTGAAATCTGTTGGGTTTAACATGCATATCTAGAGATTCCTGTAAGTGATAATGGTCAACCAAACAACCCAAATGTCGGAACCGTTGTTTAGTGAAGTTTTGCAAGTAGCACTTTCAATATCTAGGATATGAAAGCCCAATTCATAAGCTTTCGTTTAGTAAAGAATCATTCAAATGGCTCTTGTAAGTTTCAGGTTTTTTTTTAAACACAACCACCGTTTTAAAGTTCTGTCCACGGATCACGAAAAGGTAAGTGTTCTGTCAGCAAAACGAAAACAAGTCACATAGGGATGTGTGTGAATTGTTTTCGATTTGCTGAAAGAACGCACACTTTTTTGTGATCTGTGGACAGAACTTTAAAATGGTGGTTGTGTTTTAAAATTCCGTTACTTGAAAATTACATGAGTGATATGAATGATTCTTGTACAAAAAGAAAGTTAATGAATTGGGTTTTCATATCCTAGATTTTGAAAGTGCTACATGCAGAACTTTACTAAAACAATAGTCCCAACATTTGGGTTTTGTTTTGATTTTACCGACCCTGTATGATATAGTTGGACAGATTTTTGTCTTTGTCGCAGAAATTGTTTATTGTTTTGGATTTTTGGCAGTCATGGAATGTCTTATCCAATCGCTGGAATGGTCAAGAAGTTTCAGGCCAAGGATTATACGACAGACCATCCCATTGTGGTAAGTCCCTACAAGTATGTGCATGATTCCTTTGTACAACAAGGTGTATGTATCTTAGACATTTCACAGAGAGATGATGGCAACGTCCAGAAACATTTAGAATAAATTCAACTGCATTGAAAAAAGTCATGTCAACTTGGGGAAAAGAAGGATATCGTTGGACTTAATAAATCTTTAATTTTTGCAAAACTGAATCTGTGGATTGGCACAGCACTTCCACGATATTTTGGAGGTCCTCAATTATTTGTTTTCTATTGACAGCCCCACGGTTTGTCCGTTGTCATGACAGCACCAGCCGTCTTCCAGTTCACCGCTCCGATGTGCCCGGAGAGACACCTCAAAGCTGCGGAGATGCTAGGTAATCAAACAAAGAACTCATCTGTCACAGTTAGCTCAAACTGAATCAAGACAAAAAACGAATTCTGTAGATGTTAGCAGAGAGTTTACACGGCATGTGTTATGTGCATACACATACATGTAGACACATTTTTCAGAAAGTGCTTGATGCAACGTCTGACCGAGCTTCCGTGGTCACATGACCAAAAGTCGTGATCTGATTGGTCAGTGGGCACTGTTTGATCGACAAAGGAGTGGTCCACTATCACAACACTGTCTTTTTTAAACGATTTTTCATTCAAGGCGCTGATATCACCAACATCAAGAAGGAAGATGCAGGGAAAGTGGTCGCTGACTTGATGCGGGAGTACATGTACGATTTGGAGGTTGACGACGGCTTGATGGCATTGGGCTACACCAAGGATGACATTCCGGACCTGGTCAAAGGAACGCTGCCTCAGGTAAAATGGAAAAAAAAGTTGAACAAAGACATTGACTGGAGCGGGTTTGAACCTGCGACCTCCGGATTGCTATTCTGGTGCTCTACCAACTGAGCTATCCAGCCCTATGTTGGTGGTTCCCCAATTTGTCAATGTATTTTAGTTCTGAAAACCATTGAGACCTTGAAAAGGCCAGTAATGTTTTTGAGCTGGTTTGGCAGCAAATTATTCTTTTGACAGAGCTTAAGTCTGTGATGACTTGGTCAACATTTTTAGAATTTGTTTGAAATAAAAATTGGTAGGTCCCTAATAAAAAGTGGCTGTACAATAAAAAAAAAAATTTATATTTTTTTTAGAAAAGAGTGACCAAGCTGGCACCGCGAGAGCAGACTGAAGGAGACCTGGCGGCCATGTTTGAGCAGTCCATGAAGGTGTACTAGAAAGATTATCAATCGATACATCCAGCAACTGATAAGGAAAACGATCAATAGATTGCTAATTGTACCAATCAATAAATTAATCGACCTTCCAATCAATAAATCGATCGGCCTTCCAATCAATAAACTGATCAGCCTTTCAAGCTATAAATTGATTGGCCTTCCAATCAATAAATTGATCAGCCTTCCAATCAATAAATTGATCAGCCTTCCAATCAATAAATTGATCAGCCTTCCAATCAATAAATTGATCAGCCTTCCAATCAATAACTTGATTGGCCTTCCAATCAATAAACTGATCAGCCTTTTAAGCAATAAATTATCAGCCTTCCAATCAATAAATTGATCAGCCTTCCAATCAATAAATTGATTAGTCTATCATCAATAACTTGATCAATCAATAAATATCAACTAACCACTCAATTTGATCAGTCCACTGATCAATACTTTGATCAATTAACCAATCAATACACTGCTTAATCAACTAATCAATCAATCGATCAGTGTACCAATAAAACAAATTGATCATTTGACCAATCAATAAATTGATCAGCCTCAATGTGTTTCTATCAATTTGTGGTTGATTTACACAAATTTTTTTGAAAGATGAAATTATTGATATTATAATCAAGGTACTTGTATAAATTATTATCAATTTGTGTGCTATGTATGAAAAAAAAAGCAGCTTAAAAGTATTCCATTATCTAAAGTTTTTTAAGATGTTGATTAAAGCTTAATTTTACAATTTCATTTACCAAAAATTTTGGTTTAGTACATTTCCTCAAAGAATTGTACAAATGTGTCGACCTACTTGTCGTAATCATGTTTTTTAATTCAAAGATTTCTTTGATATTGTTAAAAAAAAAAAAATTGGGGGGGGGCACCAAAAAAGAATCCAATTTTTTAAATATTTAAATGTGCCAAAATGAGATATTATGTTGATATTCCTCTTACATTCTTTCTGAATAAATAGTTTCCAAAAAAAATGAAATTATCTGTTCTATTTGCAGGGTAAAATGTATTTTTAGCATCACAAATTTGTAAATTCTATTTTGAGTAAAGATACATTGAATAAAGATATTTTGAATCAAAATAATCCTGTTTTGGAGCAATGACTTTTTGGGGGGATTGTGGATAAATGAATACAATCAAACAGTGCAATACGTCACATACTGTGAGTTTATTTGGCCTCATTAAAGAATACTAAAGATAAAGGCTAACATTGACGGAGCATTGCTAAGGGCATATCCATGGCAACGGAAGGACTTAAGCCACAAATGCTTGCTACTGGCCCTGAATGGTAAAAAAAAAATTAAAAAATTTTGAACTTGGGCGCATTCCATACAAGAACAACACATTTACAACATTGCTAATTTTCACAATCTTTGTGAATTTACAATGGCAAAATTGTTCATTAACGTTCGCAAAATGCGCGTGTTGTTTTTGTTAATAATGGAGTGCTTCCAAGATATTCTGAAGAATATTACAAGATTTACCAAAAACTCTGCTGATCTTTTTTTTTCTTCTTTTTTTTTTTTTCTTGGGGGAAAAAATTAGTGTTTCACACACTTGCCACGCATTTTGGGCTAAATCCTTCCGTTGCGATGAAGCAGCCCTGAACATAAAACATTACTACAATTCAATTTGAAAAACGCATGCGACTTGTTTACAATAGAGCGCCCCCTGTTGATCGCAGAAAAAGTGCAGGCGAAATCTCAGTGACTTCACTACAGCTGTTTTTGGCATTCAAATTTTGCCTTCAGTTCTTGGACAACTTGTATTTTGTAAATTATGCAAGGATGATATTTCGAACGGGCAATTTTGGTTTCTTTTCTTTTTCTTGACGAATTTCAGTTTGAAAGGGCATTTCAAACGCAACAAACACATGATCAACACCAACTATTGAAATCTCTGAAGACAAAATGACCCCAAATGTCAACTCTAGCCTATTATTATATAGGGATGTGACAATTCTTTTTTGTATTGCTTATATCGATACGAAAATGCTTCAAAATGACACAACAATACAAACGTGGTATCGTTTCACCTCTAACCTAACTCCCTAGGGTGATTTACTAGGAACCTTCCTCATCCTTGCAAATTCCAACGCCATATGGTAAACTGTGCACATCAACAGTTGGACTCTGTTTATTTGTGGTATGCCTAATCCCACGTAAAGCACAGTCAGTTTACTAGTGCAGTACTCATCCTAACAGATTCCAACAAACCCTGGTGTTGGAGTTTGGCTTGTTGGGGATCATTAGGGTTAATTATCTACAATCTATTTCAAATCAGTTCAACAAGAACGCATTATTTCTGGACCCACCTTAATGACAATACACATTCAGCATTCTGTGGTTAATTTTCCATTTTAAAAATATTATTGAACTTTACTGTATTACAAGTGCATCAATTTTCTCTTAATTTTTTACTTTGGCATATTTTTTATTGTCTAATTATTTTGTTTTCATGCAGACGAAAGAATACTTTGCCAAACGTACACGGAATAACAATATTCATTCTTACAAGAAGCGTTGCCTTGTTTGTTGTTCTGCTATTTACAAAACAGCAAACAAGCAAAACACCGAGACTTTTTTTCTTCAAAATCTGTCCAATCCTAACATAAAATACAAGCAGTATCGTTCTAATACTTCACTACAATTCAAGAAAGTTATATGGTAACTCTACAGAATCCTACGTCTACCAAAAAGCCATTTTCCCCGAACATCTAAGAAATTTTTTCCACTAGTAACATTTAACTTCGGCCAAATAAGCTTCAAGACTAAATAATACAAGAACTCAAATTTCTTTTTTTTTTAATTTAAGATTAAACGAGATGATTCATTTTAATTAATTTGCTGTGAAAAACAGCTCAATTTTTCGATTATTTACTTTAGCTTTCAAGTTCTTGTAACATTTTGTATTACTTTTTAATTTCTCGCACCAATATGAAAAATTCTCACGAACCGCTTTATTTTAAGGTTCTAGATTAAGAACAGTAATTGTACCTCTAAATATAATTCTTTTTTCCCAGACGCATTTTTTTTTACTGCAAGTAAAATTTGGGAAATTTTTAATTTGAGAAACCTTCCAAATTTTGCTCAATCAAGAGAACCAATTCTGAAAATCTTTTTGCAAATTTATATACTTGATAAGATTTGCGCTGGCCATCAGCCTAAAAAACAAGTTGCAAATTTCACCCCCCCCCCCAAAAGCCAACATTTCTACTCATCAAACATATTTCTGCTTAACAAACATATTTGGTAAGCCTAAACTTAAACTGGTAACCATCCCAAGGCAATACAAGAGTATAATTGTTTTGACTGGTAACCGACAACACTACAACAGCGAAAAACAGTTTGTGCTTAATAGCGGATTTCGGCCCTAAATTTGGCTTACAGCACCAACAGAGATCCCCTCCTAGATTTGTCTCTGCCACGGCTATTTTTAACCATCAGTAATATACTTAACACCATAACACCCCTCCCCCTTCCCTTCCCCAAGCCCCTCCCCCTCCCCAAGCCCCACCCCTCCCCCGACCCAACGCCTCCATATTTTCAAAATTCATCCCACAACCCAATTTATTCATAAGCCACACATAATTTAATAATTTGAACAGATCCAATTTCTTAATTCCAGTATTTATTGATTGCATTCACTTTTCATCCCATTCTGTAATACTGATTGAAATCTTGTGGCCACTTTCAAAAAAAGACATTTTGTTAACACATTTTTTTTTCTTAAAGCTATAGTCCATCATTTGTAATTAGTGCATTTTGTTCGTTTGAAGCAACAAAAGTGTTCAAAATCTAATGAAGGATACTGAGCAACTAACCTGATGAAGTTTCAGCTAAGCATCAGCTGTACATTCCGAGAAAAGCAGCATTCTTAATTTCAAATCAAAAGTTACTGAATCATGTTTTGAATTGTTTTGAATTGCAGCTATACGCGGCGTCGCGCACTGATCCGACGAATTATAACAACCGCGCGCGCGTGTGCGTCGTTCCAATACTTGTGCGCGCTGCGCTGAATAACAAAACAAACTACTAATTTAAATTTTCCTAGGGTGCTTCTTAAGAATCACCGTTGGAAATGCCTTCTTTCGTTGATTACTTCAAAATGACAGCTTCCCAGAAAGAATAATTTCACAGGGAGTTTAGTTCCCTTACTATCTTTCAACCAAGTTTCTTTTTAACAGTAATTACGCCTGTTACTTTTCGGATGGCTGCAAATGATGGACTATAGCTTTAACACCCCCCTCCCCCAACGGAACGAAGTCATAATGGACTATTTTATGAAATCTTGTTTGTATATCTGACCCAAAAATTGACTAGAGTTGAAATCATATTTTTGTCTGCTTTTTTGAGCAACAAACTTACGGGTTGGAGTTAGTTCCTACTTCATTGTGGCATTCTGAGGTCGTTTGGCACTAGAATAAAATAAAAATCAAATAACAGTTTTTAGAAAACTATAGAACTCATTTGTCAACTTCCGATACCCAGGGAAGCTAATATCGACTATCCACCCCGAATGAACCACCTTTTAACGAACCATGTTGTATTTGTTACTACACCTCATACATATTCATCAAAATTAGTTGAGTTACACATTAGTTTTCTCAGCATAATGTTGCTTGGGTGTGCCCATCTTTATAAAACCATGTAGCTAGGACGATGTCCACGCACACGTGCTATGCAAGTATATTTGAGCTGCGCGTGAAACATCGCGTGTGCGCTTGATAAACAGCGTAACTTAGGTCTGACACGTGATTTGGAATGGACCAATAAGAACTCGGCTCTCATTCATGAATACATATGAGGTACAGTAATTGCATCCACTAACCAATCTGCCTCAACTAAAATCCACCAACTCTTGATTCTCGACTAATATCCACTAACATCCAAAATAACTTATTTTCAGCTAAACTTACTTTGAATTTTTGGTCAAGTCTTCTTCCTGGTCTATGCCGGCCAGCGAGCGGAGAGCGGCGATGGCGGCCACGTCGTGCGAGGCCTCCAGCGTTGGGCCGGCGCCGTGGCAGACCAGCTTGGGATCGGTGGACACGGCTACCAGCGACAGCAGCTCGTTCTTGTTTGCCTGTGTGGATCAACAAATGAGAACAGAGTTCAACACCCTGGCCAGTATCACGGTGCTGCTGAGCGGCACCAACACTCTTGGGTGGAGAGAGGCAAGTTGGGGTAATGTAGCTTGCCTGAGGACACAACACATGGCAAGTGGCAGGATTCAAAACCCTGACTCTCTGATCACGAGTCATAAACCTAACCACTAGGCCACACGCTCCCTCTCCAGATGATCAATATAAAAGCCTCCACTTTACAATGACCACACTTCAGTCTTGTAGCCAAGTAAATTTCCATGTTGAGCACAAGTGTGAGTCTGAGTGCTTTGCCATGAGTACAAGTATGAGTATCTTGCAATGAGTAACAGAAGGAGTATGAGTACTTTTCTATGAGTACAAGCACATTTCCAGGGGTACACATGTTTCCACAGACTTTCTGCTATCACACTTGGCATTACACATATGCAAAAGCCTATCAACAGCACGAAATGAGTTCTTTCCCTTCACAATTAAAAATTCCACACAATTTCATGAGTACGAGTACGAGTACGAGTACGAGTACGAGTACGAGTACGAGTACAAGTTACAAGTACGAGTAAGTACAAGTTACAAGTAGGAGTACAAGTACGAGTGAGTACGAGTACGAATACGAGTATGAAGTCAAGTACGAGTACGAGTAAGTACGAGTAAGTATGAGTACAAATAAGTACGAGTATGAGTATGAGTTTGAGTATGAGTACGAGTACTACAAAATTGCCACAAACACACCTCAGGGAAGTCAGTAAACTGCAAACCCAGCCCCTGCACCAGAGCCAGGAACTCCAGCTGCTGACGCTGGCGGACGAGTTTCTTCTCCACGAAGTTGCCCGGCCGGCCCTTCATGATGGCGTTGGCCGTCGGGGAGCTGCCCTGGGTCAGGAGCTCGCGGGCGATGTCGGCGGTCACGCTGCTCAGCGGAGCGGCGGACTTCTTACCGATCGGGCCGCCGGTGACAGGGGCACCAGGAGCGCGGTTCAGCTGGCCTGCGACTGTGGAGTAGAAGAGAGAGAGACCAATGTGTTGCTGAGTTTGGAATGAGGAATCTTGTGGGTTTGAATGTGACATCAGTTTGTTCTCAAGAGTTGGCAGCCGAGCCTATCATGCACAGGTGCCGCTCACTGCACATGTGGGCAACAACATGTACACCTCTCCAAAGCCACACTGCATGTTCCAGACGCACCTATCACACACAGGTGCACACATATTGGACCTTTGTGCACGCACGTCGGACATTTAATCACGGTTGTGATTGGTCAAAGCGTTTTGGGATCTGTCTATAGGATCACAACTTTCGGTCAGCTGTACGCAAACCAAAGCTGGATCTAGGATTAAAGGCCAAATCAAAAACAGTCCTCTAAAACGGTGGCGCCAGGATTCCAAGTTTGTAATCGTTCTTTTTCTGAGTCTTGGTTTCAAAGTCTTTGTTTTTTGGAGTAGCTTACCTGGTGTGACCGGTTCCTGTTTGACGGAGGAGGCCATGGGCCCGGGGAAGCCCGCCACGGTGTTGATGCCAGGCATCATGGGGAGAAGCCCCGGGGCAAGTTTGTGGCCTGGGATGGGCGACTCCAACTTCTTCTTCTCTCCAACTACCGAAGAACAATTTTTTGTTGTTGAATGCATCTCAAAAATCCAAGCAATTGCAAGTTAATGGCAGACACCAGGTTTTAACGAGACAAGGCAAGATGGTTTCAGAGCCCACAATTTTTTTTATTTAGTTGATTCAGAACTAGCGGGATTCGGGCGGCATCCGCTAGCTGGGTGGAGTCAAATGCTATTGTTATACCATGATAATAGATCGTTAATTTTTATTGGTCCATCATCGATCACGTGTCATGCGACAAACACGCATGTACAGCGATGTACGCCGTGGGCGCGTGGTACATGAGTGATGTTCCCCACAGGGTACATTTTTCTTTCCCGCTGTTAAAAATGTCGTTTCCACCGTGTTGTTCTGCATTTGTGTGACCTCGGGTACAAGGTTGAAGCTATGCTGGTACTACGTAAATCGATGTATGTTTTTACGAGATGTGCCACGGGGGACAGTGAACTCGTTCGTCACCAGTATTCGTCTGCTTTTTTTTACTGTGCCAATTTTGCCGTAATTTCACCGTAATAAATGTCGGCAGATGACAACAGATTGCCTCCAAAGAAGAGGTTTATCTCACTTGACCACCAAACATGTTGGGCTGGCTAATTCAATTGTACATACAAGTAGCAGTGGGATATTATCAATGGCTTTTGTGGTAACAACACAGTTTGTACTCCATCTGATTTTAGACAGTTCCGATGACTACAGGGTGAGTCAAAAGACACGAAACCCAAATGTCAGGACCATTGTTTTATTAAAGTTCTTCATGTAGCACTTTCAAAATCTAGGATATGAAAGCTCAATTCATAAGCTTTCTTTTAGTACAAGAATCATTAAAATCACTCATGTACCTTTCATGTTACGGACTTTTAAACACAACCACCATTTTAAAGTTCTGTTCACGGATCACACAAAAGGTGTGCGTTCTTTCAGCAAAACAAAAACAATTCACGCACATCCCTATGTGATTTGTTTTTGTTTTGCTGAAAGGGCACTTACATTTTTGAGATCCATGGATAGAACTTTAAAACGGTTGTGTGTAAAGGTCCGTAACTTAAAAAGTACATGAGTGATTTGACTGATTTTTGTACTAAAAGAAAGCTCATGAATTGGGCTTTCATGTCCTAGATTTTGAAAGTGCTACATGCAGAACTTCACTAAAACAATGGTCCCGACATTTGGGTTACGTTTTTTCTGACTCGCCCTGTATTATTTGTGGATTTGCTTGAAGGATGCAAGAGTGGCTCACCTTTCTTGTCTGGGTCTTCTTTGAAGGTCACCTTACGATCTCCTCCGCCACTTTCCTCACCCTGAAGTCATCAGATATTTAAAAAAATATCTTTAGTTAGCTTTTCCATTGGAAATTGTTGCTAAATAACTGCTCTGGAACACAAGCAACAAAGTACAACAAAACTCTGCACCAACAACAGTAAAACAGAACCGCACAAAAAGTCAGGAACTCATTTTGCTGTGGAGTATCTCTTTTAGAAAAGATATTGTACCATGATTCTTTAACCAGTTTGTGGCTGAAAATTTCTATTTTCGAAAAGGCAAGACATAGCAGCCAATTTTTATATACATGTACAGCCAAACACCACAAATATTGATTCGCAAGAGTCATTTTAACAGCATTTGTACGATATTTGTTCCACAACAGGCCGTGCACAACGGACAAGTTTAAGTTTGACACACGGTCCGCCTCCACATACTTCTAGGACTTTGTATGTCTTTACGAAACAAATGGGGGATTAGTGTGTTTAGACGTCATCCGGAGGTGAAAGTCGAGCCATTTAAACTCATCAGCCGTGCCTATGTATACAAACAGCCAGATCGTGTTAAAACGAACTGGTTAAGAATTATCTAAACAGGACACCAACACTCTACATCATCCATTACAAAAAAAACTGAAGCAAACCAAACACTTTGCTGTGGGGTAACCTCTTTTTGAGAGGATATTGTTGTAAACTGTCTTGCCCAGGAGCACAGGCAACATCACATGAATGTAACATGACAATCTAGCAATTCATCTATACAGACTACCCATATTCTATATCACAAACAGTAAGCATGCACACACAAATTTACTGTCTTCCTGATTTTTAGTCTTCCTGATTCTACTGACCTCAATGTTAGACTTGAGAGCTGATTTGCCAGGGGTGCTGGCCGAGGCTGGAGGGTTGGAGGAGTATCCCATCTCCCTCAGCATCTCCTCGGCCGCCGCTCGCTTGGCCGCCTTCTTCTTGAGGCCTTTGCCAATGCAGGTTTTGTTGTCGGCTGCAACCTGTTGGATTCAAATCACGGTTTCTTTTACTTTTCCTTGTTACAGTTTTATAATTTAAGAGTGGCCATCTGATCTAACCATAGGCTTAGGTTTGGAGCAGTGTGGCAGTTGAGCCCATCACAGATCCACTGCAAGTCCATCACAAGGCAATCATTAGTCTGGTCACAAGTAAATTATCACAAGTCAATGCAGAAAGTCTGATTACAGGCAACAGGGGATGAACAATAACAAAGGAACGTTTTTTTATGAGCTGACTTGAGCTGACTGGATGACTTCTGATGGACATGTGAGGACTTGTGAGGATTTGGGAAGATTTGCGAGGACTTTTAAGGACTTGGGAGGATATGTAGGCCATCAGCCTCGGTCCAAAATTTTGGCCACCGGTATCAAATGAGGGGAATAATTGTCAAAGCGATTTTTGGCAAGGTGTACACCTCCAGAGTTGGAAAATATGTGATAGCATTGCAGCAATGGCAGCTTTTTGGGTGTTATCACCCTTTTTCAAAATGTCCATCAAAATGCTTGTTACCACTCTAGGGGCGGTATACCTTGTGCATGCGCACAATAGTCATGTATGCCCTGATTTGATACTGACCAGGACTTGTGAGGACTTGTGAGGACTTGTGAGGACTTGGGAGGACCTGGGAGGACTTGGGAGGACTTGGGAGGACCTGGGAGGACCTGGGAGGACTTGGGAGGACCTGTGATTGCTTATGAGGACTTGGGGAAATTGTGAAGGCTTGTGAGAGCTTTGGAGGCCTTGTGAGGACGTGGGGGACTTGCGAGAGACTTTTGAGGACTTTGGAGGACTTGTGAGGACTTTGGAGTACCTTGGACGGCTTATGAGGACTTGCTAGGACTTGTGGGGACTTGCGATGACTTGGGGGACATGTGAGGACTTGGGAGAGACTTTTGAGGAATTTGGGGGACTTGTGAGGACTTTGAAGGACTTGTGAGGACTTTCTGAGGACTTTCTGAGCTTGCCCTACCTGAATGGTGAATTCCCGGCGGCGACTACGCGGTCCAGGCCTCCCGGGGTGCTCATTGACTGCCTGGTCTTCTGCGACAGTGAAGACTGGTTCCTTCTTGTTGATGGCCTGCAGGATCTGCACCAGACGGCTGATGGGGTTCAGACCCGAGGCCTCGTACTCGGGATTGGTGGCACGGGTCTGAAGAAAAAAATTCGAAAAAAAAACTAACAATAAGCTTAGTGTTTCATGGAAATTAAAAGATTATTGTCACCAAGTTTGGTTGAGATTGAAGTCTGACTTTTCATATGACAGCACTAAACAGTTAACCTAACCAAAATGGAACACACATACACACGGACAGAAGGAATACACTATCGCAAGATCCCCCTTTCTTTGCTAAAGCCAGGGGGACAAAAATGACACACTCTTTGTACTAAAAAAAATCAGAATCGACACCTATGTACTTTAACAGTGGCTTTCCTGCACGATTCGTGAATCCACTGTTACACTGCAAAGCAAGCTGTTGGATTTTAACTTTTTAAAAAATTGTAGATTAGGAGGTTTTTTTTTTTTTTAAAAAGAGACAAACCTTAATAAGGGACTTGCTCTTCTTCTTCTTGAGCTGAAAGTAAGGGCGAGGGCGCTCTACTTTTGGCATGGTGGGCAGCATCTGCAGGTTCTTGATCATCAGCTCCGCTGCTTTGCGCTTGGCGTTCTTCTTGGAGTTGCCCGTGCCTTCCGTCTTGTACTCCCCGACGATGCACTCCACCTTGAAGTTCTTGAGATGCGGGGGACCTTTCTCCTCCGTGACCTGGGCGATGCAAATCGAAAAACAGCGATTAATAAGACTCAAGGGTGGGATTCGAACCAACAACCTCCAACTGAAGAACAGTTTGTATTCAGAGCAAAAAATGATCATGAATGAATGGGAATTTTGCATGTCATAGTCACAGCATGTATTCGCACCGCCTTTTGGCAAAAGCTGGGCACATCTCGGCCCCCTGAATGCCGCTGTGAACTGAATGATTTGTGATGTTAAATTTGCTTAACCCTAACCACCGGACCACCCCAACTCCATCAAAATCCATCTCCCCATTTTGGTGGATTTTAGGGAGTTTGGTCCAGAAGGCCTGGTGTGACTAACTATTGATGGAGTTTGATGGACTTGGGCCTAATGGCCTGAAGCAGTGCTAGGGGTATCTGATTGATTTTGCCTAGCTTCCTGTACTGCTATTGTGATAAAAGGCATGTGTAGCAAGTCCATGAATGTCAGTGGTGGATTCGATTATGTCATGTACATTTTGTACAGTTTTGTATTGGACGCACAGTGAGTGATGGATTTTGATGGACTTAGTCCAGTTCCTAGTAAAGACGCTTGGGAGTTAGGGTTAACATTCACATTTGAAGAAAGTATGATCTGGACATTTCAGGTGCTGGCATACGAAACATCAAACTTAAACTAGTGAAAGGTATGAAGCAATACCCTGGAGGTTTTCAGAATAGTAACTAGAGGGTGCATAATCATCAACGGAAAGGTCTGGTACTATCGTACAAATATTGACTGCTTCAAGTCGTATGGTCAAACTAGCCTTCAGAGGTCATCCGTGGAGCATTTTATTTTCCCGAGACTAAGCCTAGGGAAAAAGGAATGCTCCATGGATCACCGAGGGAGGCTAGTTTTACTACACCACAAGATAAAGCAGTCAATATTTGTTTTATAACACCTCACCCGCAGATTCTGCTTGATTTTAAGAGGTACCTGATTAATTAAACCTAAATACAATTCATATGTTTTCCCATTTCAATACGAAATTAGTTGAAAATTTACTTGAACCATTTCAAACCAACTCTTCACGAAATGTTTGAACCCAGCTCTGTAGCGCTAGTGCTTGGGAACAATACAAACACCTGTATACATTAGCACACAATATACCGGTTGCTATGAGTATGGTACTTTGGCTGCTATGCGAACAGTTTTTTTTTGCCGTGCACAGCACACCCACCCACGAATACCATGTGACTCGCTCTCGGCCAATCAAGATACAGAATCTGTGGAAGAGTCGTTATAAAGCCTATTATGGTCTTTGTATTGGCAATTTCTGACTTCCTTTTGCATAATGTAATCAATCAGAGCAAAAAGTATGTCAGATGGAACAGAATCTTACGTTGAAGTTGACAGACAGGTTGTGCTGGTGGGCTTTCTCGTAGACGACGCTGATGTCAGACTTGAGACCATCTTCCTCCTTGTCTTTGACTATTAAGAAACAAGAAACAAGCATCTTATAACATGTGTGACTTCTAGGTTGACATGAGAGAAGAATAACGAAAAATACTCATAGTCTACGTGGACAGTTTTCTGGCTTAATTAACCCTAACCCTGCCAGATGCAACACAGTGCATCAGGTGGAAAAGTCTGGTGCACTTTGATGCATTGCAGCTATCAACACCAGTGCATGAACGGCTGCTTCTGAGACAATGAGAGCTAGTCCCATTGAACAATGCCACAGTTGTATCCTGCTGCATTCGGTGACCACAGACTCTGAGGCAGTTTGGCCTTGAGACTTTTGACCTGATGGATCTTGCTACACTGGGCAGGCTTGTCATTTAGACAAGTGTTACATGTTGCTGTGTTTGGCAGGGTTTCTAGCCAAAATACCATGCAGAATTAGGGTTAACGACCAAACCAGAATTTTCTTACCTGAGTTGGCAGGAGGGTCTGAGGTACTAACGGCCTGAAAACAACCATAAAAAGAGGCAATTTTTACATGGCCATTTCAACTCTCAAGGGAACAGTTTCAGAATTTGCCTTAAGCAGAGTTTTGAGTTAAGCAGGGTTGTACCGATGTCATTGTTATACCACTGAAGACAATGGATTCTTTGTTTGACTTTAGTTGAGTTATCAGAGTTTGACTTATCGAGATTTCACTGAAAGGCAATTTTTCGTCAACAAGATTTTCAAAATTACTCTGAGCTTTCATTCAGCTCTTTTACCTCGTCCTTGCATTCCGGTAACGGATCGGCCTCGATGGATTTCAAGGCCTTCAGGGCGGCGTTCTGGCGAGCGTCTTTGCGGGTGCGGCCTTCTCCAATGAACTCCCTGTTGCCCACTGCGACTTTGATGTAGAAGGTAGGGCGGGGTCCAGGGTACCTGAAACCAGTCAAGATCGCAATTCAGAGTTTGTTACTAACTTTGTTAAAGAACACTTTAAAAAAAATGGACTCACAAGTAACACGGAAGGACATATCGTAAGTATGATGAAACATCAGAGAGATGAAAATTGAATTGTGGGTTTTGCACATGTCTGCACTAGTAAGCAGGAGGTCGTGGGTTCAAGTCCCACCTGAGTTTTAGCTTGTAATTAGCTTGTATTACGCCAAAAAAAATAAGTCAGTCTCTGGTCAGTGCGCGTGTCGATTTTAATCATGCGCGTCGATCTTTTTTTTCCAAAATGTTCCACGGTAGCTCCAACAGCATTTTTTTTTTACCAAAGAGCACCAAGGAATGGGAAATTGCACCAAGGCAAATGATCGAAAGCACCAAGGCAAATTATGGAGGACACCAATGTACATGAGGACACCCAAAAAAGCAAAATAGTACCCCACCTTGTCTGTACAATCCAAGCTTGAAGAAGAAAAAAAAAGAAGCCGCGTGGCCGCGTCAATTCCGGAACTTTGGTCTGACCAGAGACCGAATATTTTTTTTTTTTGGCCTTAGCTTTTTTTTAGCCCCGGGCCAAACCCGATTTTTCAACTTGACATTATCATGTACAAGTACTGGCTCTCAGAACCTGTGCAATGAAATCCAAACTGAATACTGAAAATACATTGAAATGCCATGAAGATGATATCAGGAATGAAAAAAAAAGATGAAATTGTGATTTCACTGACAAAAATTACATTTTAAGAAGCAAAGGTTGAAGGACAAGTTTTGAAACCACTTACCTTGGAAATGGTGAGCGTGGTCCCCGGAAGTCACCCGGACTCCCCGGTCCCCGCGGCTCGCCCCCCATCCCCGGCCCCTGGGGTCTCATAGCCCCCTGCATGGGCGCACCACCAGGCCCTGGTCCCCCATGGGGCCCCTGGGGTCTGGGAGGGCGGAACCCCCCACGCCCCCCAGCGCGGTAGTAGTTGGTGAAGGGCATGGGGTCAGGCCCCAGGGGACTGTAGTGGATCATGACGCCGGCTTTCATGGCCTTGCTGTTGAGCTCGACGGTAGCGGTCAGGGCGTTGGGGTTGGGCTGGGTGGATTTGGTGGTGCGGGGCGGTCTGGGTTTCGGGGACGGGAGGTTGCAGTTCAAGAGGGCGTGCTCCGCAGCTTTGTGCTGGGCTTTCTTGATGCTGGTGCCCTGTCAAGGAAACCAACTTTGACCTTTCAATTGTGTTGCACGTTATTAGATTTTCAAAAACAAAATATTACTTTTACAAGTCAGCAATCAAAAGCCACAAAATCTCGTCACAGGTATATTGTGACATGGGTGGCTAGTGCGTAAAGTGCTCGCCTCTCACCAATGTGGCCCAGGTTCGATTCCTGGCTTGGACCATATGTGAGTAGAGTTGTGCGTTGATTCTCTCCTGTGCCACAAGGCTTTTTCTCCAGGCTCTCTGGTTTTCCTCCCCCCGCAAAAAATCTACAATTTTGATCTGGCTGTGGTCCGTGGTCATACATTTGTCGTATGGCAGTTGCCAACGGTGCCTTTACATGCCTTCGACTCGACCACACTGTAGCCGCATCCTTCGCAATTCAGCTAGCTGCGAGTAAGGATGATTAGCCCCCATGGTGAAAAGTATATCATAAGGCAATACGCAAGTCTGATCACACGTAACAGGGGATGAACACAAACATAGAAATGTTCGAGTCTCAGTTCATTTGAATAGCTTGTGACTTGCGACTCGGTGACTTATGACTGGCTTGTGATGGACTTGTGATAGGTAGACAGATTCCAGCCACGTCCGAACTACTTGGCTGCTGCTTAAAATTACACACGTACCAATAGGAAGCGGCTTCAACCGGCTGCAGCCGCTCACCATTGACACGTGTATTATTTCAAGCCGTAGCCAAATAGCCTAACTTTAACCAATGGCCCAATTTCATGGAACTGCTAAGCAGAGAAAATCTGTTAAGCACAGACATTATCTGCTTAACTGAAAAAGGTTACCAGCCAAAGCATTATGCAATGTATATTGCTTCCGACTGGTACTCTGCTGATTCGTGCTTAGCACACAAATTTGCTAAGCAGAATTTATGCTATTCCTCAAAACTGAACACTTGTTTGTACCAGTGTTTCCCCTGGCTAATGAACTGAGCGAGGTGGTAACAATTCAAGTTGATGATTGAAACGAAATTTACAGTCTGCAAACTGAAAAGAATGCAGCGCTCACAAAAATGCGCGATGATTCCAAAAACACATCGAAATTGTGAGTTCTTGATACATGGAGGTAAAGGAAAATGCTCATATATTACACAAAATGAAAATTGATATTTCCTTTTTTGCCAATCTTCACAGCGAGGTGGTGATATTGGCAAAAATTGAGCGAGGTGGTCACTGAAAGTAGCGAGGTGGGCCACCTCACGTTTGAATGGGCAGGGGAAACACTGGTTTGTACCATGGATCTTACCTTGGCTTCGAATTTCTGAGTTCCAAGCACCAGCCTGACGGTGAAGGTTTTCTCATGGGCGGGACCGGTCTCCTCCATGAGCTCATACTGGGGCTGGAGGCGGTTGAACCGCGCCAGCTCATTCAAGTGGCACATGGGTGTCTTCTCTTTGGTGTTTGCCATGTTCTGGTGAAGGAGAACAAAACCGGTTCATGACAGCTTAACGGATTAGTTAAACTAAATAAGTTAGTGCAACCTTGAGTTAACCCTCTACCCCAAGCCCATCAAACTCCAACACTTGGTTTTGTCAAGTTTTGGCTGGTTTAGTACCTTACATTATGAACATGTTGTTAGACTTTGTTGGACGTGGTACCAAAGGCCCAGGGAGACCCTGTTGAATTCTGTGAGGTTCGGGGCAGAAAGGCATGGGACTTGTGGAAATGTTGCATTTTGGGGAAGGCACAGGCATATTTTCGTGGGTGAGCTCACGGCTGGTCCCTAGCACAGTCACTGGTCAACTTTGTGCTGTATATATATTACACGTATATATGCACACTGCCTACAGTTTGCAGTGCATGTAGTCCTACATACAGTGAAATAATGCCTTTCGTGGCGTTCTGTTGCTAACACATTGCTTCATTTTGTTAGGTTTGGTAATCTCACCAGCCCTTCACCCGACCATGCATAGACCCATCCATACAAAATCAATCAAAATTCAACAGTTTTGACCTGTTGCAGTTTGGCAGCTGTAGCACTGTTGTCAGTATGAGGCCTATTGAAGTTTGGCAGGTTCAGTACTAGTAACTTCTGAACCTGTGTGTAGCTGTTGAAGTTTGTTAGGTTTAGTACTCTTTCTAGCGCAAGAGCCTAGGGGGTTGGGCTTAATGTGCGAGTACACTCCAGAGGAGGTTTTTGCACAGTATAGGAAGATAAGTTATGCAAACCTCAGTTGGACCTGCCCCTACTGCTCCAGCAGGACCCTGTACGTAATTCATAACCATCTACAGTAGTTAACCAGAAAGTCAAACTTGGTGATAAGAATGATTAGTGAGTTATGCTAGTTATGTGCCTCAGTTGGACCTGCCCCTGCTGCTCCCGCAGGACCCTGCCCATAATTCATAACCATCTAGTTAACCAGAAAGTCAAACTAGGTGATAAGTAGGATTAGTGAGTTATGCTAGTTATGTATACCTCAGTTGGACCTGCCCCTGCTGCTCCCGCAGGACCCTGCACATAATTCATAACCATGTAGTTAACCAGAAAGTCAAACTAGGTGATAAGTAGGATTAGTGAGTTATGCTAGTTATGTACCTCAGTTGGACCTGCCCCTGCTGCTCCCGCAGGACCCTGCACAGCCTGACCAGCAATCTGGCTGGCCGTGTTGGGTACGGACGGTGCTGCGCCAGTCTCAGCGGTCCGGACTGGCATCGGGCCGCTGGCCACTGGGTGAGAGGACGACATCTGGGACATGATCGCAAGATTTGCTGCCAAAGTAAAGAAAAGTGAATTGGTTATTGTAAATTATTTGAAAAATTGACTTTTACTGAATTTGAGAAGCATTAGAGTTGATGAATCGAGAAGAAATGAATCCCAAAATATTTTTGTAAATAATGCAGTAGGCTACCTTGAAGCCACTGTGTGCATAGGTCTACGTTGAAAAATATGAATTTGTGACTGAAAAATATTTTACAAATCTTTTTTTTTTTAAATAGGCAGTGGATATCTAACTGGCACGGCTTTCTTTTAGTAAACGATATTAAGCCGGCACGGCATTGAACATGCGCAGTGATCGTTGTTTTGGGACTTAGACATTTTTACCGTGATTAATCTTAGTCTGGTTCCACTTCATTCATTCAGTGAAGTACTTATACCGCATTGCTAATTATTTATACATAAACATCTAACATGTCTAACATTGCAACAGTTGCAATTAATACACCAATGCCAGGCCTACATTCTTGATTTTTTTCTTCCCTTTTTTTTTACACAGAAAAAACATAAAAAAAAGGCAGTGGATATTTTGCCGGAGACGGCAAACCTTCAGTAAACGTTAGTTTGCCGGATATGCACTGAACATGCGCAGTTACTGTTTTTTTGTACTTGAACATTTTCCGGTGACAAATTTTAGTCTGGCTCCATGCCAATATTATCGTTGTATTTTTGTATTAACAAGATGGGAATCAGACCATTTCATAATTTCAGACTTTATTTCCCTTAAAAAAAAATCCTCCAGAGCCACAAATCTGAAAAAGAAAAAGTAATACTCTGCAATAAAATGTTTGAGACATATTAAAATAATAAAAGAAGAATATTCTTATTTATTTGGGGATGGGAAAAAAACCCTTAAAATTGTGGCGGGGGTCAGGATTCGAACTCGGGACATCCCACTCACCAGAGCTATTGCTTAACCACTGCACCGACTGTGCTACACAACTTTGGCGGGAATTTAATACATGTTATAATTCAGCCCTATCTTAAAGAGTACAGCGCCCTCTGTTGATATGGATTGCCGCCTGCAAACCTTTAGTACAGTCGTTTGACCGGTTCCGCAATCGCAAATCGTCTGAAGCGTCTTGTGGCGAAAAAACGCGCTTTCACAGGAAGCTACCTATCTATAAATATGCGCAAATTACTCACCTACTTCATGATATGAATAGTTTTCTGTGATCGTTTGAAAGCGAAATTTGCCAGGACATTTTGTAGAGGTCGGTGCTTTGACCGGTTCCGCAAATGTTTTCCGGTTTCGCAAACGGCGCCCTCTGCGAGACTGGACTGAAAATATTCCTTGTTTACTGGCCAAATCTAGATCGTTTTTGCCCCCAAACCAGCCAAGAAAAGATATGGATTATATTTCCCTGTGCATGAGCCAAGGTCTGCCATTATAATGCGTCCAAATTTACAAAATGTAACTCCATGAAAATGTTATGGTTCGTTGGATTTTTTTTACGTTTTAATTATTTGACTTGCTTCAATCCAATTAAAATTTAAATGACTTTCTTGCTTTTTGTGCATTCTGTCTATCATCTTGCAATCACTAATATTTTGCTTTTTTGTTGTCTTATTTTTATTTAGACACACTCTGACGTTGGATAGAACCAGACACAAACCTCGTACCGAATTGCTCCAGTTGGTTGTTTTTTTCTCACATAAGCACAGACCAGCTATTTATGAATTTGAATTAATATTTTCTCCAGGATCATTTTTAATTCCTATGACACTAATAAGGAAGTTACTGCGTGGCTGGATGAATTGGAACTGAATCATTGTCTGCAGGGGAGCACTGTTTATTAATATTATTTGTTTATTTAATTATTATTATTTATTTACTTTTGTTTATTCCCTGCTTTTTTTTCATTTTACTTTTTTTTTGTGGGGGGGGGGGGGGAGTGTTTCAATTTGTTCAGGGTAACAACACAATATGCTTAATTTTGTGTGCACCAACATCCAGTAGGGGGAACCTGATACATACAGGCCAGATACATACAGGCCACATACATATTGTTTCACATTCAAATTAAATTTCACAAACAAATTAAAACAAGTTGTTAAAAATGTCATAAATCCTATGGCTGTTTCATAGCAATGCCAATTTCTAATTATAATGTTCAGTTACTCCTCGTACGTTGTTGCACAAATTAACTCTGTACATGTATCATGCTTGGGCAACTGTATTAGCAAACCTCATCTACTGTTCGGTGATGCTCTTAAAAGAAAATGTCAACACATTCATCACGAATATCCCGATAACCCTTTCAATATATTGACATGTGATACCTGCATGTGTAAATGTAATACAAAACTAAAGCACTCAAAAGCTACCCCTTTTAAATCCAAAAATATACGTGTCATATAAATAAATGGTGATGAATCACAGAAATAGACATGTTCTGTGAGTTTTTCATGCAAAGTAGCATAGTTTTTCAAACACCTCACTTCTCTTTCACATGTACTGGTTAATAAAAATGTATGTAACGCCTTTAAATTTATTGCCTTTATGACACCTGCATGTCTGTTTAATTGTTATACACAAATAATTTAAGCACTCCAGAAGCTAGCACTATACAAAAAACTTGTCACATAAATAAATTAATTCAAAGAAATGGTGATGAAGACACACAGCTACATGTACTTTCACTATAATATTCAACTTCTTCTTGACCTTCACAGGTAAAACTGAAAAAGATGTGCTGATGGCCTCTTATGGCCCATCAGGAGGCTGGCGTAATCTTCTTCTTTGCCTTTGCATTGTCTGTATGAAACAGAAATTTTATATAAAACGTTTAGTTTATGACCAATTGAGACAAAAATGAGAAATGGTTTATAGTATTTGACAAATTTTGTGCTCCAAGAAAACAATCAAAATTTGTGTCTCTGTACTGACGAGAGACTGGTCTTCATTATGAAATATTAGTGGACCTATTTTTCTTTTTGTTTAAAAGGGTAAAGAGTAAGGTTAGAACCCACCGAAAAAAGGATAATTTTAAATTTACTAAATTACTGGAAATGTCCTTTGGGTTAGAAACATATTATTATGCACTATTCTTAATTGGTCCCCACAAACCTCACCTCCTAGCCTGGGCTGACTCATGCACCCTGGATGTGGAGAGTTGTAACTCTAAAATGGATTCAAACCCCTTAGGCACAACTGCTTCAACATCAAGTATGGGGTGAATTTTTTTAGAGCAAAGGAAAAGCGTTTAGTGGGAAGTATTAAGAAAGATTTTTGTATTTTAAATTTTGAAGTCCAAATTTTTTTTATCCAAAACCTACAGTGCTGTCCGGGAGCTGGACAGAAACAAAATCATTTTGTTTCAATTTAGTTTTTAATTTTTTGCACTGAACACCCAGAAATGATCATCAAATTCGACATTTTTAAACGAGGATTAATAGAAATTCTCAATTTCTTAGTAAGTTGTAAAAAAAAAAAAGATTCATGCCAAAATAAATAAAGTGCACCGCGCTAGGGGGCCGTCATCAACAATACTTGTCAATAGCAGCACTGGTTAATACAGTCACACCATGGCCAATGTATTGTATAGGCAGTATGAATGCGTTTGCGGAACCGGCCAAACGACCAGCAGTTACTCTGGTGGGTATAGAAAAAAAAATTCAAAGACTTCAAATCTTATATTTGTATGGTGGAATAATGAATAATTTCCGAACAAGTTGCATCAATCGCCATGATTTAATTCCCCTGAACAATCGTGTAGCAGGCCGACAAACATGAAATCACGCTTCCGTGCGCGTTCCATTTCGGCAGTTCGTTAACGGCAAGTGACGGTCGTAGGGGATTTATTTTTAAATGTAAGTGAGTATCCTAAAACTAAAACCATTTTTGAAAAGTAGATTGAATAACCTTTCCATCGGTACCAAAGTTTAAGTCCTTGGCGTTTTCGTCTTCCTGAAAACGAGAGCTAGTTTTCCGAAATTGCGGAACTGGTCAAATTGCGGAACCGGTCAATTGACTGTAAACGTTAGTTTGCCGGCGTTACCTCCGGCAAAATATACACTACCTAAAAAAAACATTCATGTAATTTTTTTTCTTATGCCAGATATTTACACTTGGTAGTTGATTAACAAATAATGAAATATAACTTTACAGTAAAACACGTACCACCCCCTTCTCTCCAATTACAACTCGCCATGCCCGCCCCATTCAAACGTGCACAATAGCAAACCGCAAACCATGATGAACAACGATCGACCATGTCGACGCAGTTGAAAAAATTAAACATTAAAAATCGCCGGCTTTTACCTTAAATATCGGTTCGATAACACCAAAACTTGTAACCACGTAGCCTGCAAATCCAAACTGTGAAGTGGAGAGGGGTTATACACGCGACATTGGCAAACACTAAAGAAAACTTTGCGTGCAAAAACACACGTGTATTTCGTTGATTGAAGAACCCAGGCGCAGAGAAAGAACTGCCCTGGTAAAATGTAAAACACATGAATTAAAAGGAAATACGTCACAGTTTGGAAAACATATTACAACGTGTAGTTGAGGTATAACATGAAATAAATGTTATCGCCATATTTTGATATTTTCCATATGAAATTTACATTTTTTAATACTGGCATAAATACATTCATGCAATACAGTGCTTAAAAATCGATAATTCGCCAGAAATTTTATATACAACAGAAACCACTAACTACATGTTCATATCATGACAATGAAGCAGAAATGTTTGAGGAAAAAGTTGCAAGAATTCAAAATAATAATGTGTCGCTTGACCTTGATTTTGGTGAACTTTTGTCAGAAATAAAGAAATGTCCATTTCTCATGTTTCATGTCAGTTTGTGGTTGTATTGATATATATGTATATATTTTTAATAACCCTTCCTCAAAACAATGACATATCTAAACTCAATAGGTTACCGGGAGGTTTCCCGTTTCAATTCCCGTCGTGCAATGCGACAAAGAAAATGGCGGCCTTCTGAAGGCAGAAGTTGTGTACATTGGATACGCAATTTTGAAGACTGTTTTGGACCCCTTCTTCGTCGCAAGCCTGGATCTAATTGTTTCAGAGAAGCGGGGTCGACGCAGGGAATAATCATGGCGTGGTCTGGGGAACAAAAGAGGCTGGAAAACAAGAAGAAGAACCTGGATTCCAAGATTCGGTTTAGTGCGTGGACGCCGATGAATCACACGCCAACGAATGACAAGGTCATCAGCTCAGCTCAGCTGTTCATCATGTTCATTCAGCCATGGATTCAGCTAGCACACGAATCCATCCATGGAAATTTTAAACATGGGAAATTAGTGGGGGGAAGACACGATATCTACGCGTTCGGTATAGAGTTAAGAAATATAAAAGCTGAATTTAAATGCAGGTTTTCTTTTTAGTCATCAATTAAAAAAATCAATTATCAATCTAGTCCGAGTAACTTGGACCCAACTTATCGCCTTTTTTAACATTTGGACATGGTCTGGCGATAGTGGGGTCCAAGCTAATACCGCGACCTGGACAACATCATCCTGTCACTGTCCCAAAAACCAACATTTTCCAACAAAAAACATCAGATTTCACCTTCAAAACGGCCTCCAAATAACTAGATATGCCTCCTGAGGTACAAGTAGACATCGATAATTAAGATGGTTGTACTGAAGTTTACTTACGATCCGGAAAAAAAGTGAAATTTTCCGTCCATTTCGGAGAGCTCCCCTCGCGATCTTGAACACGTTAAATTTCCGATCGTGTTTAATGTTTGAACGACGCGATTTCTTCTACATGCCCAGCGTACATTCGACGGTCCCCGTATCCCGAGTGCGATTCCGTTACCGAGCACGCGCGATGCATCGATTATGATAATGAGTCACGTTTGTAAACACATACATGTGCATTTCGAACTGTAAAAGGGAATTGGGAACCAGCTTGAACTGGTATCCGCCATAAAAGCTGCGCTAGTTCCCGACTCCCTATTATCGTTTGAAATGCACATGTGTTTACAAACGTGATCCAGTCTACTCATTATCATAATCGATGCATCGCGTGCGCTCGGTAACGGAATCGCACTCGGGATACGGGGACCATCGAATGTACGCTGGGCATGTAGAAGAAATCGCGTCGTTCAAACATTAAACACGATCGGAAATTTAACGTGTTCAAGATCGCGAGGGGAGCTCTCCGAAATGGACGGAAAATTTCACTTTTTTCCGGATCGTAAGTAAACTTCAGTACAATCATCTTAATTATCGATGTCTACTTGTACCTCAGGTGGCATATCTAGTAATTTGGAGGCCGTTTTGAAGGTGAAATCTGATGTTTTTTGTTGGAAAATGTTGGTTTTTGGGACAGTGACAGGATGATGTTGTCCAGGTCGCGGTATTAGCTCGGACCCCACTATCGCCAGACCATGTCCAAATGTTAAAAAAGGCGATAAGTTGGGTCCAAGTTACTCGGACTATTATCAATCATGAAGAACAGCCACAATTTAACATGATGTTGCTAACAAATCAAATCTCTCTAATTTTGTATGTGAATGTTTGTGTTGAATATATTTTGTTTGTAATACACAATTGTATTTTTTTTCCGTAATAAGTTGGAGATAGGAGTGATGAAAAATTCTACTTCCAGAGCTGTAAGGTTTTTACAAACCTTATAAAATACAGATGAGATAGACCAATTAAAGTTGCTGTAGCAGAAAATTCTCAATTTTTTTCGGACCTCCAAACTCTCCTGTCATGAAATGTTTGGCCTTTTCACAAGTATTATCTTGATGAGGATAGGTACCTCTAGGGTGGGTTGAAATCCCTAAAAAGTCAAACAAAAATGTGAAATCTACCAGAATTTTATTCACCAGGATCGCAGGAGTCTCGCACTTGGCCGTCTGTCATCGTTTGCCGTCGACTGAGGGCGCTTTAATTCTCTTGACCAACTGCAGCACGGCTTTAATTTCATAGCGCAAGGCACGGAAACACTGGCTGAATGAAAGCCGGGCTGAAGTTGGTCAAGATAATTAAAGTGCCCTTAGTCAAGGGCAAAGGATGACAAACGGCCGAGTGCGAGACTCCTACGATCCTGGTGAATGAAATTCTGGTAAATTTCACATTTGTGTTGGACATTTTAGGGATTTCAACCCACAGCAACTTCAATTGGTCTATCTGTAAAGTTAATGTGGCTGGTTTGTAAAAACCTTACAGTTCTGGAAGTAGAAAAATACTCAAAATTGTAAAAGACAATTTGAAAAATTGAAGTCTGTAATAAATATCTTTTTTTTAATATTATTATTCTTTGGAATTGGAGTGGTTCGTGAAGACAGGCTTTTAACGTTAAATTTTTAGAGTTATAAATACATTGTACTTTATTTAATCTCATTCCTGAACTTTGAGTGCTATTTCATTTTTCCGAACATGATTTCATTTTGTTTTGCCGCATTCAGGTATATGAAGAGAGAAAAGACGTGCTGAGAAAATGGGTAAGTTGTAGGGCAGGTAAAAAAAAAGAAGTTATCGTCCCACTCGCATCCTTTTTTGAAGCCGCATCTGGGTTTTTTTTTTTTTTTTCTCACCTCAAAAAGCTAACTTTTTCTTGTATTTCACTTTTATAAAATAAATAGCGCATGTTCAACATGAATATTTTGACTCTACTTACCATAAGGATAGCTTATTAAAAGCTGGCGGTCATTTTGAACCGAAGTTGGCTGCCAATCTGAATTTAAATACTTGACGGCCATCTTGGAACAAAATATTTAAACTACAAAAAAAAAGGCTCTCATCCTCCTCTTTTTGAAAAAAAACCCGGATGATCAACTGGTTTTTTTTTAATTTAACTTGGCCTAAATTCACAAAACTTACATTACATGTATCAGATCTTGATATTTTACCAGGACAGCACAATTTACACCTACCAATGATTTTTTTAACGTTATTTAAAAAGATCAAAATACATATTTCGTTGATTGTTATTTCACTTTAAAGGGAATGTACAACATTTGCTTTTGCTCCAATTTTCAGAAATAAATGGATTTGGAGGATTAGTATGTTATAGCAAATATTGTTAAACTGACTTGATTCACGTTTTGGGCTTGTAGACGCTGGAAAAACCAAGAAAACCAATCATGCTCTTGTAGTCTGGTACCCTGTCTCCGCTTTACATGAAACAGAGCAATTTATAGACTTTGGGGAATTGTAAGGTCAAAGAATCAGTCTAGCAGGCTTGAACCCCTTCACAGGTGTGTAATCAATTGCAAAGAAAATGCGGAATAACTAAATATGAAAAACAAGGAGCAGTTTTTGAAAAAAAGCCAGTTATCTCCAACCGACCAGCGTTAGAAAAATACAGTTTTTCTTGAAAATGTCAGCACACCAGGAGCCACGATTCTACAGGATGCTTTCGACTGTCATTCCCTAACAAATCAGTAAGGTATTTCGTGATAATTTGATCATTTCGTTTTTTGATGTTTGCAAATGTTGTATCTTCCCTTTAAAACAAAATAAAAAAAATCCATTTTTCAGTTTGACAGGTGGAGTGACACACAGCGCCGTGCATCCATCGTTGAAATCATGGAGCGCTGTAGCTTGGGACAGCTCCAATTCATGAAGCAGATCGCTGTCGCCAAATTGCCCATAGTCTGCCAAGATTTTACAAGGGAACTTCCCAGAGCAATCTGCCTGTATATCTTCTCGTTTCTGGATCCCCGAAGTCTGTGCAGATGTGCTCAGGTAGCATGATAACTGTTATGAGTACGACCCAACTATGGCAAAGGTCCCAACTATAGTTGGGACTGTCCCAACTATTGTTGGGATGGAAGTCCTAACTATAGTTTGGAGTTGGGACGATCCTAACTGTAGTTGGGATTGTCCCAACTGTAGTTGGGAGGATTCCATAGTTGGGGTGTAACGTAATCACGGGGAAACCAGATGGTCATGACATACAATTGAAACCTATTATTTGGACAGTCCCAACAATAGTTTGGGAAGTCCTAACTATAGTTTAGAGTTGGGTACAATACTAACTGTAGTTGGGACTAACCAGTTTGGCTGGGATGATCCTATATTTGGGGTTTAGCATAACCATGGGCTAATTGCATGGAGCTAGTAAGCATCTATAGAAATATGCTAAGCACACAAAATGTTGCTTAATAGCAAAAAACAGATTACCTGTTAAATTATCATTGGCTGTTTATTGTGACTTGGTCTTAACTGATTATACTGGAAAATCCCTCAAATAATAATGCATTATAAAGCCATGTAAAAAAAAATAGTTTCTCGTCTGGACTTTTTGAAAAAAGGATAGGGTAGCTCTTTTTTCTTAAAATCGCGGATATTCCAAGATGGCGGACGGATTCTTCCATCTTCTTGACTCTTTTGCAGATACTTTTGTGTCCAAAGGAGTGAAGAGCCATCACCCTTTCAACCAGATTTTGAACTTGCATACATAGCTACAATTTTGCCGGAAACATACAAAAAGACAATGTATGATTAAAAAAGAAAAAGAAAAAGGAAGCTGGTGGAAAAAGAAAGTAGGCGAGGACGAGAAACTGCTTTATTATTTTACTTGGCCTTATGTTGCAGCATTGTTTTAGTTTGATTTGAAGTACTGAAAATCAGTAGCAGTATCTCATGTACAGTAGGTTTTGGTTCAATACAGAAAATCTGCATTTGATAGTTCACTCAAGGAAAATAAATGAGAATAAAATTCATTTTTTTCCCCTCCTTTTTTTGTCCGAAGGTTTGTTGGTACTGGAAGTACTTGACCGAGCTGGACCAGATCTGGATGCCTAAAGCGCTGCGGCTGAGCTGGTACCTGACCTTCTCTCCAAGTCCCTATGAGACGGGTGTGTGGAAGAGGCACTACCTGGAGAACGTCAGGGGTTTGCATTACGTCAACCCTAAGGTGGGTGGAGCCGTCCTGCCTGTCAATCAAACACAGAGCGTTGACCAATCAGATCATGACTTTAAATCAGGTGACCATAGTAGCTCGGTCTAACTTGGTCAGAAGCAGTGTGAGAATTGTACAAACTAACTAGGTTAGGTTAGCCAAAGCCAGCACGGTCCATTGGGTGTTTTGCGGCTATGCCTAGTAGCATTGACACACTACAGTAATCCCTAGCCATAGATAAAAATGCGTGTTTTGGGCTAAGCAAAATATCTTACCAATTTTGAGTCTGCATTTCACTTCCATTTGTAGAAAAGAAAGCTTGCAGAAATAAAATCTGGCCAACGTTAGCAAATAAAATTTGCCAAGATGGCTACACTCCAAAGATGATATCCTGAGTGTTTCACCAACCAAATTTAGGTCACAATATTTTTTTTTAAATAGAGTTTTGAAGCAATTGAGAAAACAGTCTAGCAATATATTTTAGAATTCTGGTGTTTATTTTCCTTTTTTTAAAAACTTTACTTATACAAGGTATCAACGAATTGGCTAAACACAAAGCCAAGTTTGTACTCGTTATATTAACACTGCTTTTCTTTATCCGTAGGAATCCAAGGTGCCAGCCAGTTCCGAGCTGAACGGTAACACGGCCGACAGCCCCACACCCGACAAGACCAGCAAACGCTCCGCCCCTAAGCTGAAGAGTAAGCCCCCTAAGCCCCTGGAGCACAAGCCTTGGAGGGCCAATGCACCGATGGCTGAGGATATCAAGAGAAATAACTACTTGGATAACCCGGATGAAATCCTTCTACAGAGGTGAGGGAGTGGCTTAAAGGGAATATACAACATTTGCAAACATCGAAAAATAAAACTACCAAGTTTTTACGAAATACCTTACTAGGATGTTGGTAAATGACAGTCTAAAGCATCCTGTAAAATTATGGCACCTGGTGTGAAGTCATTTTCAAGAAAATGGTGATTTTGTATAAATTTCCAACGGTGGTCGGCCGACCACCGTTGGAAAAACCTAACTATTTTTTAACTACCGCTCCAAATTCACCATTGCTTCAGTCCAAATTTTGTTTGCTATTGGTTACATGTTCATGAATGGATGCAGGCCAGCTAGACTGGTTCCCTTACCTTACAATTTTCCGGCATCTATAAATTCATCCATTTTATCTTTAGTGGAGTCAGGGAACCAGACTACTCCACCATTTGTGTTTTTCTTGGTTTTTCTAGCATTTTCAAACAAAAACTTCAAACATGTCAGTGTAACAATATTTGATCTATTATACTTACCCCTCAAATAGTTCATTTCTGAAAATTACAGCAAAAGCCAATGATGTACATTCCCTTTAAATATTTGGAATTCTTAGCAGCATTGTAATGACTCGAGTCAATGATTCAACTCGAGTCCGACTCAAGTCACAATTTTTAGCGACTCAACTCAACTCAATTCCCAACGGGTAATGGTCTCCACTGGACTCGAGTCACTGCAAGCAAATGACTCGACTCGACTCGAGTCCCTCATCAGAAGACTCGACTCGAGGCAGAGCCTAAAAACACTCGAGTCCCAAAACTGCAAAAATATATTTGCAGTGACTTACGGCACAAAGTTATTTATGTTCACATACTTGGCATTACCGTCAAGTTGTGGCCGCTAATTGCACACAAATATACCCGTATCACAGATTCCCACCTTGTGGTTTTATAAGTAGCACACAAACTATGCATAGGTATCCTGGAGCCAGACTTTAAAAGCATTTCCTAATTCTTGGTTTCATCATCGGCTTCGGGCGATTTCTTATTAATTAAGCCCGTGATGGAACTCTGGGTAAATTTATGTTTAGCTTTCGAAAAATATTTAGATATATTTTTATATAATCGGAAACAGTTTTGTATGTTGCAATTTGATTTTGATGTTGTCAGCAGAAAAATAAATGAAATACTACATGAAATAAAGTATCTGTATTTGGCAAATGTTCTGATATTTCATTTCTTGTTTGTAGGCAGAAACGTCTTGAGAGGAACAAGCAGATGAGGGAGCGACGGAATTCAGCCTCTGCCTCAGACCTGACCAAGGACCCAGAGAGAGCAGCCAAGAAGACCCAGGCCTCGGTCAATATGGCTTACAAACTCAAGAAGGCCAAGTCGTCATCGGTAAGATTCTTGAAGAGACTTCAATTTCTTGATAGGTTGTTGACGGGGTTGTAGGGAATCTTTTTCCAGTGTTGTGAAAAAAAATTACTTTATATTGAGTGTTCCCTTCACCCTGTTTTTTAGTTTGTATTTTTTACGAGAATATGGCTTACAAACTCAAGAAGGCCAAGTCGTCATCGGTAGGATTCTTGAAGAGACTTCAATTTCTTGATAAGGTTTTTGACAAGGTTGTAGGGAATCTTTTTTCAAGTGGTGTGAAAAAAAGACTTTATATTGAGTGTTCTTTTACTCTATATTTTATTCTTGTATTTCTTACGATAATTTAAAATTTACTCAATCAGACCTTTCTGTAAAAGAGCACCTTGCAATAACATTGGTTATTAATTGCAAATTTGAGTACAAAAGTCCTCATTGTAAAAGTGGAGTGCACTTTTTGAAATTATCTGAGAAGTTTTAGAATTGATACAACAATTGAACTTTAATCTGACCCTTCAAACAAATTTGGAAAACACAGCTTTACAGCTTCCAGATCAAAACCACAAGCCGTGTGATACCAGACAAAAATATCATCTTGCAATGTTACATCTGTTGTGAAGTACAGCGATAGTTAGCGATAGTTACCTAAGAACCAGTGTTCAACAAATGTCATGCAAATATTATTGTTTTTAATCATCTGTTTGCTTGTGTAGCATCTATTTTCTGTGTTGAGTAAAAATAAAATTATGTCTTAGAAGGTCAGTGGTTATTAAAAAGATGTACATGTTTTTGCAGCACAATATCTTAAACAGATATTGATTCAAAACAAATGTTGAATCTTTCAGTGTAACACTTTTCTTCTTTAGAATATTGCCAGCGATGAAAAACCTGCCTCCAATCTGGCCCCCGACAGGCCCATGTGGGCCCAGAACACGGAGAACCTGCCCCCAGACATGCTGGTGACGGCCGACACCATCGGGGGGAAGGATGCGTCCAGACGACCCCCGCCTCTGGCCAAGAACATCCCCCGATCGGCTGCGGTCAGGAGGAATGATAGAGACTTGCCAGGTAAAGTGCTCTTTTTATCCCCCTGGCTGGCTTTTAAGTCAAGAAAGGGGGATCTTGCGATAGTGTATTCCTTCTATGTGTCTGTATGGGTGTACAAGCATTACATTCACTGTGTGGACTTCCGAACAAAAGAGGTCCACATAAACCAGGTAGCAGCGACGTTGTGTGGACTTGCCCACGTCCACACAGTGTTTCCCCTCTCTGGAAAACAGGTTTAGAGGCATTTTGGGGTTAGGTTTATCCGTGGCAAATGCAGAGAAACACTAAAGGGAATCATAGAAAAAAAATTGGGTTGACTGAGTTTTCACAGTGTGAGTAAAATGATTTTTTTTTTCACAGGTTTTTCTAAACTACACGAAAACAAAGGAATGTCCACACTACGTATGTAACGTTAACGTGTGTGTGTCTGTGTGTTCCATTTTGGTTAGGTTTACTGTTTAGTGCTGTCATATGAAAACTCAGACTTCACTCTCAACCAAACTTGGTGACCATAATCTTTGGGTAGGGGAACTTCAGATGTCTTGAGACATTTGAGGTCAAAGGTCATCTAGGGGTCAAATGAGGTCATTGTTGATTTTGGTTAGGCCAACTGAAAAGTGTGCTTACTAAACTGACTATAAATACTGCCAGCATGCCAGGGGGATCGCGCAAGTTTAACTTGCAGTATTTTTTTATTAAATGCTTGCGATCAAGTTAATCACAAGTCAATCATGAGTCAGATTACAATTCAATTCAAGAACATTTCGAGATTGAAAGATCCTCAGCAAAATCCAACAGAAGGAAAGGCAAAACTGAAGATTTTTTCTTTATTATTTCAGAGAAGTCAGTCGAAAGTCAAAATACTGCCAAACGTCAGGGCAGAATCCTTGTAGGGAATTTGTGTGTTTGGGAGTTATCAAAAACTCTGTTTAAGACCGGTTGGAGTCTGGATGGGTGATAATTACCCAAGGCGAAGCTCCAACCAGTCTTAAACTGAGTGTTTAATACCGACCAAACACACATTTATTCCCATTCATAAATACCTTTTCGGTCAAAAAAACAAATCTTTCGGTCCAAAAATCAAAACAAGACAAAAACTAGACGTTGCCAACCATTTTGTTCGACCCCTCTGACTATAATATGGAATGTCCCTGTACAACTCCTTACCTTATAAGGAGATTGGCGTGCATGTTGCGCATACTGCGCGATGTCACAGAAAACGCAGCTGGGCTGGTGTAAAGTGAATTTCGCACTATGAAATACTGATATACTGGTAGTATTGCGCATGCCTACGTGAGGAATGCGAATGTTCAACAGATGAAGTGTTAAAAGGCACCGGATTTCATGGGAGTCAAAATTTCATGTGACACTGGAAAAGTGTTTAAGACCAGCCAGCCATGTCTTTATCATCCGTTTAAGACCAGCCACTTGACGGGCTCTCGACCAATGGGAATGGGTAAACTGTATTAGGTATCATGAATATGTAATTAACAAGTTACAATTGTTTTTGTTTCATGGCTAAGTAATGTATTGTTACCTGTTTTTGCATGACAGAAGGTGATCTGTTTCCAACTCGAGGATGGCAGCAAGTTGACTTTTCTGATGACGAAGGATGACCTCGCTAAGGGACAGTAGATAATAATATTAGATTAATTAACAGCCGAGGGAACAGTATTAAAGAAATCACAGAACAGAGAGATGTTAGGCCAAAAAAAAGTCTTCGGTTTCTGGTATGGAGCTTGCCCCAAAAGTGGTGCGGCAACGCGGCTCCCCCCCCCTTTTTTTTCTTCAAATGTCAGCTGATGACTGCAAATGGTGCCCGACTAAATTTAGTGCAAAATATATGGGAGCCCAAAGAGGCCACGTAAAGCTTATACTCGATCGTTACCCCATCTAACAACACGTTCAAATTGTGCAGCAGCAGGATTCCAGTCAAACCTATGAGTTTGGCGATTTTGAGACATCATAATACATTGAAAAAAAACAACTTTTTAATTTTGCTGACGCGCATGGCTACGGCGACGTGCGCACAGACAAGAAACCGGAGCCTTTTTTTTTTGGCCTTACAAGCTAGCTTGTTTTTCTGGCTGAATATTTTGATGGAAAGTCAAAAGCAAAGCTAATAACTTGTAACTGGCGCCATTAACTGCGAAGTTTTTTTGGACTTACCAGGATATTCAAGGTGATATCGTGAGGTTATTGTGAAATTCTGTGATTGGTGAAAGTTGTTGGAACAGTACATCATGGTCCTACAATTCTGAATATTTTTATTATTATTTATTGAAATGTGCAAAATATGTAAATAATTGTGCCTTAAAACAAAAGTTACCATAACAAAATCAGTGATTGATAATTTATAGTTAGAAAAAAATCAGCATTGTCGATAAACTCTTCCTTGACTAATTTTTTTTTTCTGAACCCTTTTTTCTTTTTTTCTGGGCATTGTGATTCTACTTCCTGGAATTTTACCTTTTCATTTTATGGTAGTATTCCTCAAATTTTGAAAGGGATTTGTAAATAATCGTGTACAAAAATATGCTTTAGTGCAATGGTAATGTGGGTATTTCATTTTAACATGTTAACATGTGGATGTTGACCAAATCTAAAAATAATGTTGACAACATTTTAACAATGTAAGATAAACTTCTGCCATTTATAAGCTTTATCAATGTAAACAAACAGAATTATTTTCAATAAGGGATTTTGAATTGGAGAATTTGAAGAAAAATTGTAACTCAGCAAATTTGCTTATTAAGCATAGAACAAAAGCCAATATGTGTTTTTGTTAACAATATCATCACCGTTTTCACGAAGAGGCGAATTTAGTATTTCACTGTCTGAACAAACATTTGAGATAATCGTGTTTAAAGTTGGTCCTTTTTTCATTTGACAATTTGAAACTTAAAGATGCATAAAATATGCAGGATTTAGGTATCAGAGGAAACAAGAGCTTCTAATCTTCCTCAATGTAGAAAACTTTAAGAAAAATAGGTAATTAGGTTTGCAGAATTAATCAATTAGGAAAAGTGGCTGTTTGTGAAACGAAAAAAATGACCAATTAGCAAATTCGCCCCTTTGTGAAAACGCTAAAATGAGTACGCGCAGATTTCGCCCTGCGGCGGTCTGAGTCAATGCATTTTTTGTACAGTACGCGCAGATTCTGCCCCACTGCGCGTGCGCCTTAAAATTCGCCCCTTTGTGAAAACTTTTATTGCCCGCGCCTGAAATTCGCCCCTTCGTGATAACGCTTCATTGTATTACAATGTATTTATTTACTGAAAATTTATTACTACCATACAGTGCGGAAATTTGCCCCTTCGTGAAAATGCAAAACAGCACTTGTGGCAAATTCGCCCATTCGTTAATTAGGTCAATTAAGATTTTAATAAATTTTTTGAAAGTATAGCCTCACCAGGTTGAAGATATTGATATTTTTATTTATTTTCACAAAAAAAACCAAATTTCAAAAAAAGGACGATTTTTCATGAAATTCGCCCCTTCGTGAAAACGGTGACGATATCAACACATTTTTTGTACTTTTAGGTTTTAAACAGGTCTGTAAAATCGGAACTTGACAAAGGGATGTTACCGTAAAGTCTGTCTAAGTTAAGTAGGCCTACTTAGCCACTTTTTGAGCACCACCCGAAAACAGAATAGCCTGAACTTCTTGACCTGAACTTTATTGAGAATCACACAATTAATTGTGGAAAACACAATTTTTTTTATGTAGCTCAAATTAGTAAAAAGTTAGTGATGTCTGTGAAATAATTGGTAATTTTTTTCTAAAACTATTCCAACCCAAGCCAGTTGATGTTTGAAATAAAATGCATCATCAGATATTGTAATGCTGCAGCTCATTTGTTATTTTCCAGTTTGAATTGCAGCTGTTTTTCTAAACTCTCCCCACCCCCCCCCCCCCCCCCCCCCAAAAAAAAGAAGAAATAACTTACCAAAATCTGAGTTGTAATTGCTCCATGAAGTATAGTTCCTTTTGCTGTAAGCTAAGTTTTTTTGTGTTTTTTTACAAGAGAAAATTTTCTCCATATTTAACTCCATAGTTGAACCTCGGCACCAAAGTACTCGGGGAAAGTTTTGATTAGCTTTTTCTTGTCGTGGAGGGCGCGATTTTCTCAGACGGTTAGTCTCTTGATCGTGAGTTATTGATACCGACAACACCGGCACGTATTAAGACTAGTCGCGCGTTGCGTGTCTTGTAACTAGACACACCGCACGAACATTGTGTAGTGTGTTGTATGGTTACCAGTTTAAACATCATGTTGACAAAATTTCCCGCGAAACTCTTTGACATTCATCACTGACACGACGTGATGAAAAGGCTGATCGACAAAAAATCCTTACTTTAATCCTAAAAAATGCAGAAAAATACCTTGTTTTCCTACTTCTCCAAGAGTCCAGCGGTAGCTAGGAAGGCTACATCGCCGGTGATCGCTGACGATGTCGGAGAACAGAAGTCGAAATCGCCGAAGGAAACGGCCAGCAAGGGACTGCAGTCTAGATCTAACGGGAGCGGGAGCGGGAAAGTGGGTAAGGCTGACGGGGCGAATGGTGGGTTGATGCCCGGGCGCGTGTTGGACAAGTGACCGGTGGTTGTGGCTGCTGGGTGTGCTGGAGATGTTGTTTGTTTATAATTATCTTTGATTATTACGAGATTATTACGATCATTATTGAATATGAATAACAAAATGACGAAAGCTTTTTCACCCATTAATTGAGATTAAATTTTTCAATCTTTTTTTTGGGGGGGGGGGGTGGGGGTTGAAGAAATATAGCCTAGTTAAAACTTTGATTTAGCATTACAAAATGTGCAAGATCTAATGATTTGATTTTAAACAGTTGGAATAGATTTTTGGAAAGAATACTGAATACTGACTCCACTTTTTTCATCACCATTCATGGCCTAGTTATTGTTTATCTCAATGAAGCCTTGAAGGTCAGTCATTGCAAAAAAATTTAGAAATCTGGGACAGAGAAATTTTTCCAATTTTGTTAGAAAATACTTTGAAAATGCACTCTCCATAGACTTTGTAAAAACCAAAGAAGTGGCGTCTGGATACATTCCTTCCGATATTCTGGTCTTTATAATCAAATTTGATGCCAGTTTCATGCTAAAAAGTAAATGATTACCCAAAAGTTATGCACCAGTCCTCCCTCCCCCACCCTCTCCCCCCCCCCCCCCCCCCGGCTGCCCCACCCAAGACGTGGTGATAAAGACACACATTAACATGTCATGAATAGAAAGTTTTACAATGATTTGTTGATTCTTTGATCTTGATACTCACTGATTGTCTCTCAGATCACAAGTTCCACGTCGGCGATATCGTCTGGGCCAAGCTAGAGGGTTACCCCTGGTGGCCCAGCCTGGTATGCAATCACCCGACCCTCGGCAAGCACGTCAAGCAAGGCAAGAAGCCACAGGTGCATGTGCAGTTCTTTGACGAGCCCCATAGCCGCTCCTGGATCCCAGAAAAGTAAGCAAAATTGTTGTAATTATATATAAGATTGGGAGTGGCATGGCCTAGCTGTTAAGAGCACCGCACCGGACTTGTGTTCGGTGTTTCAGAGGCAGCAGAATGTGGGTTCGAGCCCGGGTCTGGACACTTGTGCCCTTAAGCAAGGCACTTAACCATTACTGCTTCGTCCTTCGGATGGGACGTAAAGCTGTAGGTCCCGTGTGTTGTGTAATGCAATGCACGCAAAAGAACCCAGTTACACTTATCGCTAAGAGAAGGGGTTTGCCCCGGTGTTTCTGGCCTCCTGTTAAAACTCCCCTGCGGAGTATTTAGGAGAAGAACCAACCAAGTACCAAGTTTCACAGATGTTTGAATAAAAGCCTAAGTCCCATCATGTTTAGGATACAATGCATGGTGGGATGTGTTTTCAGTGAGATGCTCCCAAAGAGTACCACGTAATCCAAAGATGGCAGCATCCTTGAAATGGTTCATGATCAGAAGGTCGGGGGTTCTAATCCATCTGCTGATAAGATGTGTCCTTGGGCAACCCACATCACCCAAACTTGCCTCTCTCCACCCAGGAGTATGATAGTTACCTGCAGTAGCTGGGGAGTAACCTGCGATGGACTGGCATCCCATCCAAGGGAGGGGGGGGGGGGATAGAAATATTCTCAGTCGGTCCATATAAAGGAAAAGAGATAAATGCCAACCGGACAGGCCGTTCTGCTTACCAGGTCTGTGAGTTGAGTTTCTGGAGCTGCTAAGCGCAGAAATTCTGCTCAGCAAAAAATTGATTGCTTACATTATCTTCTTATTTATTTCAAATTGGGTCATACCTGAATTACAGATATGTGGAGTCTTTCAAGTTGCAAGACTTCGAACGCGGAGGGAAGTTCTTTACGCAGAAGCTGGATGTCGTCAAGGCCGTGAAGGAGGCAAAGAGCGCCCTCAACATGAAAGTAGAGGAGAGGCTGAATCTCGTCGTCTGCATCAACTCAGATGAGGAGGAAAAAGTAGAAGAAGAAATGGAATATACTGGTAAAAAGAAAGGAATGCTGCCCTCTTGTGTTGAGTTTTGGAGGTCATGGGTGCAAATTATTTCCTCTGAATTTTGTTTTATTTTCTCCGTAGGAACGACAACCAGCACCGATAAGACTGGTACCAGCGACAATGAAGATGACACGGATGAAGATGAGGGTGGGGATATTGGGCACAAGACCAAGAGAAACGCACCGAGGGCGACTAGAAAGACCCCTCGATCGGTGGCTAGCAGTAAAAAGCGGAGACGCATCATCATGCATTCAGACGATGAAAGTTCCGGTAAGAACTGGTTCTAGAACTTAACAGAGAGGAACCACAATCACAGTTCATTTGAATAGCTGGTCGCTTTCTTAAACTGTGATTGACTTGTGATCGACTTAAGATCGACGTGTGGTTGACTTACGATTGACTTGTGACTGACTTATGATTGAGTTGTGATCAACTTATGATTGACTTGTAATTGACTTATGATTAAGTTGTGACTGACTTACGATTGAGTTGTGATCGACTAATGATTGACTTGTGATCGACTTATGATTGACTTGTGGCCAACTTACGATTGAGATGCGATGGACTTATGATTGACTTCAGATCACCTGATGACTGAGTTGTGATGGCCTCATGACTGACTTGTGATCGACTTATGTTTGACTTGTGATTGACTTATTATTGAGATGTGATCGACTTATGATTGACATGATCAACTTATGATTAGCTTGAGATCGCCTTATGACTGACTTGTGATCAAATTATGATTAACTTGTGATGTCTTGTGACGACTTGTGATGGCTCGACTTCAACTCCGATCAGATCATGAATCCGTCCTTGACATTGCGAGATTTGTTTGGCCTTTTCTGTCACCAGGTGATGATTACAAACCAGATGAAAGTGACCATGATTCGGACAGCGGCAGTTCAGGCGTGGATGAAAACGACATCTCAGAGCCTTCCTCAGAATCTGAGGCTGGAACACCCCAGGTAGGTCACTCCTTTATCAGGAAAAGCAGTTATCAAGGTAGAGTGCCTTGCCCAAGGACACAAGCAATTCAGTTACAATTTAATTTCACATAAATTTTGATGTTTGCAGAAGTATTGGATGAGAATATTGGGTGCCACTACCACTCCTCCATGAGTAAAGGTTCTGGTTATGGTTATGGTTTATTTTTATGCCCCGCGGCGAAGCCGAAGGGGCATACTGTTTCCGCCTTGTTTCATATCATAGCACAAACAACATAATAAACATGAAACTATATAAAGAATGACAAACAATGATACAAGGGATCCAGGTAAAAAGCATAGGCTTGTACAAGACCTGGAACCCGTAATTACAAATTAAGCTAATAAATTAATATGTACATACAATAGGCTGAATTCTATCAGGTAAATACACTTATACTAATTAAATTGAAAAGAAATGAAATTAACAGCAAAAATATTCACATTCGTATGAATATAAATAGGCCTATACAGTACTTACTTACATCCGTACATTACAAGGAAATAAATCAATTAATTACAATACAGGAAAAGGAGGAAGTGGGAAAGAAGCAAAAGTGGCCAAGGAATTATAAAACAATACTCAAGTTTCCAACAATCTGTGAGATGACATGAATTTACAATTTTTGGGGATACTTAATTACCAGTATAATTTGTCAGTAGCAACGTTTTCATGTAGTTTTTGAAGTTCTTCATTGATCTAAAGATAGGCATTGGTTTGAGGTGGTTCCACAATAGAGGTCCCTGGTTTCTGACAGTCGATAAGTAAAGAGATGTTCTAGCTTTATGGAGATGAAGGTTTGAGGCTGACCTTGTATTATGGGAGAAAGGTCCAGAAGCCAAATTATCAAGCCATGCAAGCAGAGCTTATCAAGGAAAAGTGTCTTCCATATGGACACAAGCAACGCAATATGCATTTCTTATTTGATGACAGAAATCTCGGAAGAGGAAGCGGGGAGCCACAACCACTCCATCCCTCGGCAAAGCAAGGAAGGTCCTGAAGCCCAGCTTTAAGGTCATGACCCCTGACCCTAAGGAGACCTCGGAACCCAGGGGCACCCCCCAGCCAAGGAAGATGTTTGCCACGCCCACCGTCAGCTCCAAGACCAAGTCTAGGCTGTCTAGCTTCCAAGCCCCTGAGGTTGGTGCTTTCTCTGATCAAATCAAGAATTATTTCGTGATTTTCTTTGAAAGTTGTTTTTGCTTGACCATCAGGGTCAGCTTATATTTCCTCCCACCGATTGAATCACTGACTGAGATACAGATTGATTGATTGATTGAGTCACCTACCGAGTTTTCGACTGACTGACTGACCAACTGACTTTTTGGTGAAGTAATGAGTATAAAACTTGTCCTAAAATGCTGTCAAACTTTCGCATTCAGCTCAACTTCGCAAGCCTGGTCTTGAATTATTTATCCAAAGGTTGCTCAAAGGAATTGCAAAATCCACACATTGGTATGTTAGATTTGAAAAGTATTTTCATGCTCGGGAACTAATAATCCACTAATTTATTTATTTGTAACAATATCCAGGCGAGTCCTGGGCCCAGTGCACCCGTCGATTCGGAGGAGAGTCGTTATCCCCATCAGCGATATGAGTGGCTGAAAGACGGCCATCGAAAGTGAGTAAAAAATTCATTCTTATAGACATTTTGATCCTAATTTGCCAGAATTTTTCTTAGGAGCCTTGTTTAATCCTCCAAAATCCTCCGCTGTGCAAACAAAACCAAAGTTCAGCATTTTCTATGTACATGCAATTTCAACGAGCATTGAAAGTAATAGTGGCTGGGCTCAGCATTCATGAATCCTCCAAAATCCTCCACTGTGCAGGAACCCAATGGCACACTCTTTGTACCTACCAAGTTTCAAGGTGTATCAAGCCCCCATGTAAAGTAATAGTGGCTGGGCTCTACTTTCCTCAATCCTACAAAATCCTCCACTGTGCAGGAACCCAATGGCACACTCTTTGTTCCTACCAAGTTTCAAGGTGCATCAAGCCCCATATAAATAATAGTGGCTGGGCTCTGCCTTCCTCTGTCCTACAAAATCCTCCAAATTTCTTGATGGATTTTGTAAGATCCGGGAGGGATGGGGCTAATGATGCAGTTTGATTGGTTAACAGCTAGTCACATGGTTATATTTGACTTACTTTTTCAAAACTGAGGAAATCAAAATTTCCTAGAGTTTCACTGAAAACAACAAATTCCTGACAGAAGAGAGTTTCAACATGGTGGTCATCCAAAAATTTCTCCTTTTCTTAACATGCGAATCTTCATCTTCTTCACTGTTCAATGAACCCCTGAAAACAAAAACAAAAACATTTCATCACTCGTGTGCACAATTTCTTGCTTTTTGTCTTTACAGAGATCGGAACGGAAATCCACAAAACCACCCTGACTACGACCCAAGGACGTTGTACGTGCCCAAAAGCTTCATGGAGAAGACAACTCCTGTAAGTAACTCAAGCAAGCAATTTCTTGAGTCAAACAGCGCTGTCAAAGTGAAAGACGTTGCAAGTTTTCTGAACAACATTTTTTTATCTGTTCCATTTTCACTTTATTCAGGCGATGCGACAGTGGTGGGAAATGAAGTCGCAACATTTTGACACTGTTTTGTTCTTCAAGGTGAGTGAAAACAAAAACTCTGTTTTTATTTTGTGTCCTGCTTTTTAAATTTTTTTATGAGCACCAGGTTTAGGCCGAGCTATAAGCACTTGTAAACTTCATCCTAGGTATTGTAAGACTGAGGAGTAAACACCGCAAAAAGAAGAAAGTCCACACTCATTGGACAATTTGTTGTCTTTTGTCTTTGCAGAGATCGTAACGGAAACCCCTCAAAACCACCCTGACTAATTTTGAATGTGATCGTCTTATGATGAAGTCATTTAAATAGACCTTTGGGGAATTTTGTTAGCTACATATTGATGGCCTGTTTGCAACCAAAGACTGTAAATCATTCAAGATTGACAACGGTTTATGAAAAATGATGCAGTTTGAAAAGTTGCAAATTCAAAGATTACGCGACGAGAAATTGCTAAGCGCAAAATTATACACATGCCCGTAATTGGCCCCTATCGACTGCACAGTGTGCCGGTAATTCAATTCCGCGTAGTCCGGTGCATACAAGCACTCTGCGATCGATATTCCCTGCCGTTCGTTTCGGGCAGTGTAACATTGTCACGCAGCAATTTCCACTCACGTACCCTTTAAATTTGCAACTTTTCCAACTGCATCATTTTTCCTAAACCGTTGTCAGTGTTGGACGATTTACAGTCTTGGTATCAAAATGTAGCTAACAACATTCCCCAAAGGTCTATATAAATGACGTCATCATAAGACGATCAGATTCAAAATTATGACCCCTTCAATGAGTGTGGACTTTCTTTTTCTGTGGTGTTTATTATCTTTTCATGAAACAAATCTGCTTTTGTAATTTTTAAATTTTTTAAAATTTTTACTTTTGCAGATGGGCAAGTTTTACGAGTTTTATCACATGGACGCTGAAGTGGGCGTAAAAGAGTTGGGTCTCATCTACATGAAGGTAATTAAGAATTAATTAGTAAAACAGTTGTTAGTTTTTACAGTTTTTCATTGGTTTCAACTGTGCCGATAGCATAAATAATGTTGAGCAAGGAACTTCAAAATAGTTGCAAAATCGGAAATTCAAAGCTGAATCAAAAATGTGTTTTACATCCTTTGTGTCTTTAAACTTTATGTCGATTTTTTTTTTCAATTATTTCAGGGTGAAAATGCCCACTCGGGCTTCCCGGAGATAGCCTATGGTCGCTATAGCGACACGCTGATACAGAAAGGCTACCGCGTCGCTAGAGTGGAGCAGACGGAGACCCCGGATATGATGCAAGAACGAGTCAAGAAAAGTAAGTATCTGATTGGCTCGTTCCAAACAATTGCACGTCACTATACAAAAACGAGAACAAATCACATAGGTATGTTATGTGTGTGAATTGTTTTTGTTTTGCTGAAAGAACGCACACCTTTTCTGTGATCCGTGGACAGAACTTTAAAACGGTGGTTGTGTTTAAAATTCCGTATTTTGAAAAGTACATGAGTGATTTGAATGATTCTTATACTAAAAGAAAGCTTATGAATTTGGCTTTCATATCCTAGATTTTGAAAGTCCTGCATGCAGAACTTCACTAAAACAATGGTCCCGACATTAGGGTTTCGCTTTTTTTACTCGCCCTGTACATTGAGATTTTTTAAGCTGGAATTTTAAAGTTTAAGGATGTGTAGATAAAAAGAAATTGTTGGAAATGTCCTTTAAAGTGCAATTTTTGGGTTAATTGACAAAAAGAAAAAATAAGGCTCTGCAGAGCAGAGCCTTTCTGACGTTGTTCACCTTAAAAAATCATAAACATTTACAAATTGTAAAAACTTGGGGCTCTGTGCTTATTTAACGAAGAATCTTTAACCAAGACAAAAGGGCATTTGCTAGGATTCCGCAATGATTGAGACGTGATAAGGCCCTTCATTTGTTTATGATGGGTAAAAAATTTGTTTAAATTTTGTTATTGAACTAAAATGCAATTTTACATGAGATATTTTTCTCTTTTCTTTCAGTGTCCAGAATGGTGACAAAGTACGACAAAGTTGTCAAACGAGAAATTTGTAGAATCTCCTCGAAAGGTTAGTTCTTGAATTCCCGTTGAGGACTTGAGTCTTGCTATGCAACTGCAATTTGCTGTTTAAATTTTGTAGTTTATTTCCAGAAAAAAAGGGGGAAAAAGAATTTCTCTACTTGAAGATTTTGATGCAAAGTTTGTGTTGGTCTTGTCGTGATGTAAACTATTGATTTGCATGTCAGGCTGAAGAACTGATGAAATCTTCAATTAAAGCTGAACTTGACGACACAAACCAATCAAATTTATTTCTTTAAAATTCCAGTTAAATATCACCAAACAATTTTTTTCAATTCAAAGAATCAAGGTTAGTTAAAATTGATCGCAAGCAAACACAATTTTATAAATGTTCACACGATATTTTTTTGTGTTGGGAATTTGCAAGAGGGAATTTGCATTCCAACTCGGCGAAATTTTCCTGCGACAGTTTCTTGACTTCAAATTTGGTTTGCATGAAGCATAAACAGAGCTGAACAGTACCCAACTTGTAGAAGATAATAAATAGGCTAAAACAGAGGTCTGCTTGAATTCTTAACCACGCAAACAATGAACTTGTCCCAAGTACTTTTCATCATAAACGTCGTAAGGTTAACAAGCTATTATCATTCTATTTATTATTTTTTTCGAAAACGAGGAACGAGAACTTTCAGTTTCATCGACGGTGACACTTGCGTCGCTCAGCACAGCTATCTTTTGGCTGTCAAAGAATTGTTTGACGACACTAGCGGAGGGGAGAGGACATACGGCGTCTGCTTTGTCGATACGTCCATCGGAAAGTTTCACGTAAGTTACTAGTCCAGTCGTCCATTTTGAATAATACATTGGTAAAGATTTCCCTGAAAAAAAGTACATTTTAACCCTAACTCCCTAGAGGGTATGCAAAATCGTATTGAAATTGGAGGATTCAGGACTGTTAGGGCTATTGATGTCATTTAATTTTATCTCAAATTTGATTTCAGCTGGGGCAGTTCCAAGACGATCGCCACAGTTCACGATTCCGAACGTTGATTGCTCACTACACACCTGCCCAGGTAAGAAGGAAAAAAAGAAAAAATGTGTATTTTATTTATTATTGTTATTTATTTCTGGTAATGAAACCAAGGATTCCTCAAAAGCGCCCTAGGCACTGTAGCTCTCAAGCCTGAAGAAGCCTGTAGAAACTAGAGAGAAGACAATGAGAAGAAATTACAGTTTTAGAGGCGGGAGGAAAACCCCAGAATATTATTCTGGGGAAAACCCACAGAATCAGGCAGGGACTGAAATCCCAATCCACATGTGGCTAGGGCGGGAATCGAACCCGGGTCACAGCGGTGGAAGGCGAGGAAAGAATCGCTATGCCAACCTAACTCCCCAGCGCTTTAGTACAGCACAGGAGCCAAAAGTAGTAAAAGTAACATGCAAAACAAAATTTAAATTTATTTCCCCTTCTAACCAGGGCCAATGTAATGAGTCTGCTTGTCATAAATAAAGAATCTTCACTCGATATAGCAGAAAATTGTGTGCATTAATGCCAAGCATACTTCATGGGTTGTAGGAATTTTAGCTCTTGCATGGGTATATATCTAGAAAGGATTCAGCTTGGTAAGCATGGAGTTTCTGCGCTAACACAGAATTGTTATCAAAACGCACAGCAGATCAGCATTGTCGTAAAATTTGGTCCCAAAATTGAACAGACAACATGCACGGTTTCGAGACGGCTGTAGGAGGGTTAAGTCACACAAAAAAATGTCAAAGATAAGAATTCAGTGTGACATTTAAAAAAAAATTCAGCCCTTCCCATGAAAAATCGAATGTTTTAGTTATTTGTAATAGTTCTAGACTCCAGTAAATGGAAAACAAGTACGTTAAGTTTGCCTTTCTAAAAACAAATTTATCAAAGTTGCTCCAACTACATTTTGGTTCAACGCATCTCTGACACGCAAGTCTTAAACGAGTCTTGGGTACATCTGATGAAATGGATAAATATTTTATTCTCGATATTGACATTTTGGCCTAAAATTTTTCAATAACTTTCTCAATTTCTGATCAACTCCCTAGGTTGTCTATGAGAGGGGCAAACTGTCCCCCAAGACCCAGCAAATTCTGACCAACAGCCTGCTGTCGGTCATCAAGGAGGCCCTGGCCCCAGGCACGGAATTCTGGGACGCGAGCAAGACCCTGAAGACGCTGTCCGAAAGCCAGTACTTTGTGGACGAGGAGGGGAAGGGGCAGGGACTAGATGGGGAGGAGGAGGGCGGAAGAGGAACCATGCCTGCTGTGTTGCTGGACATGGTGTCTGAATGTGAGTTATTGCAAGACATTTGCACGTTAGTCACAGTGCAGTATTGTACAGTAAACATTTGTTAGGCGATCCATGAATTTCTGTCAACTTAGTACGGGAATAAGTTTGAAAAATAACTTCACCGACAAAGAATTTCTTAGCTTAGTGTTAGTTAAATTTCACCCAATCAGTAGATTTCTTATTCAAATTTCTGTTTTTCTAACAATACAAAGTTATTCACTTTTGAATAAAAAAAAATAGCAGGCATGCAACTTTTCCTCGGATCCACTGATTTCCTCGTTTTTTTACTTCTCATGAATGCCATTACAAATTGAAAAATCATGTTCAAAGTCTTGTGAGATATGGAGTTTCCTCGTATTTTCTAAATTCCAAGTTGCATGCTTGCACTACTTATGGAATAATTACTTCATATATTTCAAATTACTTGTGGCCAACAATTATTAGTTCTCGCAAGGAAGCCTGGTTCCTGCCCTCCTTTTAGAATCAATTATCCAGGAGTGGAAACCAGTCTACTTGCAGAGCGTCACTGTTTGTGGGCAAAGAACCCAAAACAAAACCTTTTTTCCCAAGAGGCTAACGCCCAACATAAACAAATGTGTTGGAGGAAAAACTTTGATTTGTAACGGGGCACAGATCGTTTATCGTTGAAATTTCGTCATTTTTTTCCCAGCGGACGCTCTTGGACATTCAGCCAAGGAGGGTTACGAGTTGGCTGTCAGTGCCCTAGGGGCGTGCACGTGGTACCTCAAGAAATGCTGCCTGGAACAAGAACTGCTCTCCATGAGAAACTTTGAGCTATACACGCCGCTGGACGTCGATGGTGCCGTCAAGGAAAATGTGGTGGATTTTGCCTCTGGAAGACAACACATGGTAAGGGTTATGAATATGTAAGAAAGACTTGTGAATATGTAATAAAGACTTATGAATATGTAATAAAGACTTATGAATATGTAATAAAGACTTGGGAATATGTAATAAAGACGTATAAACATGTAATAAAGGCATATAAATATGTAATAAAGACATATAAATATGTAATAAAGACGTATAAATATGTAATTAAGATATATAAATATGTGATAAAGACATGTAAATATGTAATAATGACTTATGAATATGAAATAAAGACTTATAAAGACATTATGAAGACTTGTAAATATGTAATAAAGACTAGTGAATATGTAATAAGGACTTGGGAATATGTAAGAAAGACCTGTGAATATGTTATAGAGAATTATGAATATGTAATGCAATAATTGGGAAAACTCTGTGAATTGGAATCATGAATATGTTAGGTTGAGAGCTATCAATACGTAATAAAGACTTATGAATATGTAATGCCATTTATGAATATGTAAGTTAATGCGGAAACCCTGTACATGTTAAAATTGAATATTTTCTATCGGATCTTTCTAGAACTATTTAAATTTCTTCCGAACAACTTTTACATTAAAAGTTCTGACCAAACTTATATTTAGTTTTTTTTTGTTTTTTTTTCATTTGCAAAGGTTCTTGACGGAGTGACCCTGTTCAATTTGGACATCCTGGAGAATGGCACCACGGGAACTCTAGAGGGCACACTTCTAGAAAGACTTGACCAATGCTGTACGCCGTTTGGCAAGAGGCTGTTCAAACAATGGCTGTGCGCCCCTCTGTGCAACCCTAACTCCATCAATGACAGGTATGTTTGAAGCATTGTTTTCAATTTCTGACACTGATAAATTTTTGCTTGTAAAGTTTGTTTGTAGGTAAAAGTTATTAAAATAAATTCTTAAACATTTTCTTTTTGTTTTAAACTAGACTCGATGCGGTGGAAGATTTAATAGATATTCCTGACAAGATGGCAGAGGTCAACGAACTCTTGAAGAAGCTGCCTGACCTAGAACGACTTCTCAGCAAGTAAGATAACACAATAGTGATTTAACAATGAGACCATCTTGGTATAGTTCCCTAGGTTCATGTCATGCTTATCAATGGATTCAAGTGACTGGCACCAGACTGTGTAGGATATGAACAAGATTTTTTTTTTTTTCATTACGATAATTTCATTCATCTTGGTACAGTTCCCTAGGTTCACTATATGCATTAAATGTACTCCAGCTTATTGGCACCAGACTGTCAACAGAATAAAGTTTTTACTTACTTTTTCTTTTTTACTCATTAAGTTTGGGTGAAAATATTGTATTTTACTGCTTGGGTTTGGGCTGTTGAAGCAAGTTATTTTTTCTCCAACAGAACAATTAAAGTGCCTTAAAAATGTTGTCGCATCTTGAACTCTCAGCTGGGGAAATTCACACACAAACAAGTTACGTTTCTCTTTTGTAGAATTCACACTTTAGGTTCAGCCCGACGAAGTCGAGATCACCCAGACAGTCGAGCGATCTTCTTTGAGGACACCACATACAGCAAACGCAAGATTCAGGACTTTATGACGGCATTAGGGGGCTTCAAAACCACCATCCAGATTGTTGAAATCTTCAAGAATTCTACCTCCAACTTCAAGTAAGCTTTTATAATTGATGTCACAAGTTATTTTTTGGGGGGTGGAGCCACTTTAGAAACTATAACAACTTTGGAAAATGATTGTATGATTGAAATATTAACAAGAAAAAGCAAAATTTTTGAAGGTGTTGCTTGTATTGTTTGCAGTGTAAAAGTAACATAGAAGTTTGTTGTATTCGCAGGTCCAAACTTCTAGGGCAAACGGTCAGCTTGGCCAGCGAAGGAGGCCACTTTCCCGACCTCACAGAACATCTTGTGTTCTTTGAAGTAAGTTGGATGAGAAATTTTGTAAAGACTGTGCGCAAGTATTCCCTCCATGGTCACAAGGAGAAAGTTGGTGAGAGTCACCTAATGCGTTGATGCTCAGGGACGCTAAAGGTTTGCGCACATTTGGAGTAAAATTATCCATGCGTACTTTGTGCCATGGCTGCCATACGTGCGCGAGCCATGCGTGCACGTAGTGTGTCTTCCCCACCAGAGCTCTGACGAGTGTTCGCAAAGCGTCATCTTCTGTTCGTGCATAATTTGACACATTGGATAGAGAAAGTAAATCTCGGACATGACTGTTCTATCTTGTGTCTTCCCAGAATGCATTTGACCACAACAAAGCCAAACAGGTTGGCGCCATTGTCCCGAGTAAAGGCGTCGACCCCGAATACGACAGTGCCATCGCCGGTATGAAGGCAGCCAATCAGAGACTGGATGACTACCTGGAGAAGCAGCGCAAGAGGCTTGGATGCAGGGTGAGTCCGGTACCAGACCATCAAAACTGGTTAAATGAAACTTTATCGTTCTTGTGAAGATTAATTTATAAATTGTTAATTTGTCTTTTAATTTTGGTCACATTGGGAACCATTCAGGCCATTACGTACTGGGGCACGGGCAAAAACCGCTTCCAGCTCGAGGTCCCGGAGAGCGCCCTCGCTCGCCACACGCCGCAGGACTACGAGCTCCAGTCAGCCAAGAAGGGCTTCAAGCGCTACTGGACGGCCGAGATCACGGAGATGTTTGCCGATTTGTGCGCAGAGGAAGAGCGACGGGACGTGGCGCTGCGGGACTCCATGCGGCGGGTGTTTCACGCTTTTGACGAACGGTGAGAATTTTGTGATTTTTTCTTATTCTTGAGAGTTATCTTGAGCCAATTCAGTTCTGTGCTCCAACTTTGACTTGAATTTGACATTTCTTCTGTAGCTATGGCGACTGGGATCAGGCCATCCAATGCCTGTCAGTTCTTGACGTCCTTCAGAGTCTATCCAACATCAGTCAGGCCGGCGACGGACCGATGTTCCGACCCGAAATCATCCCACCAACTCAGAATATGCAGGTCCGTTAACAAAGTTTCCAGATCTTTACGATTTCTGTAATTCAGTTTTTGTTGCCACAACTTCTGGCAATGTGAAAAGGATTGTGTGAAATAAATTTATGTAAAATTTTTTCGCAATAGACCTTTTAACAGCCTTTGAAACCAAGGAGAACTTGGGGAAAAAAATAATAGTCTGGTAGCATATTGAGAAATAGATGTCCTGAAATAGCTATGATTCTTGGTTCTAGACACAAATGGCGGCAGCATGTTAAACTTTTTTCTAACCACACAAGTATAAAGAAACATAACAAAACGGCAGTCAAACATCAGCAAAACAATTTGTAGAATTATCAAAAGATGGACTATAGAATAATGAATTTATTACAACTTCTTTAAAGAGTCTAGAAAATATTTTGATTCTTGCTTTGAATAAAATGTTAGGCACTTATCTTTGTTTTTCTTTCTGTGTACAGCCATTTATTGCCATTCAAAATGGCCGCCACCCGTGCATCAGTCGCACATTCACTGGCGGCGATTTCATCCCGAACGACACTTACATTGGAACCGCTGACGTAAGTACAAAATATCAATAGAGAACGATGATCGTAAACTAAAACAATTGATGTTTGCAGAGCCTAATTTCCAATTTTGATGATTTTTATTTTAGGATAATGCCATGGACACTGACTCAGCAACGGATACCAGTTGCTGCGTGCTGGTCACGGGTCCCAACATGGGGGGCAAGTCGACGTTGATGAGGCAGGCCGGTCTGATTGTCATCATGGCCCAACTGGGTTGCTACGTACCCGCCGAGGGGTGCCGACTTACCCCCGTGGATCGGGTGTTCACCAGACTGGGTGCCAGGGATAATATACTGTCTGGTGAGTTGGGTTGGGTTGCACTGGGTTCAACTGGGTTACTGCATACACATTGAGGGGTGATGATTGGGTTTCTCTGGGTTGGGATGGGATGGGATGGGATGGGATGGGTAAAGGTGGGTTGCTAAGTACCCGCTGAGGGGTGCAGAATTACCCCCGTGGATCGGGTGTTTACGAAACTGGGTGCCAGGGATAATATACTGTCTGGTGAGTTGGGTTGGGTTGCACTGGGTTCAACTGGGTTACTGCGTACACATTGAGGGGTGTTAACAGGGTTTCTTTGGGATGGGATAAGCTGGGTTGCTAAGTACCCGCTGAGGGGTGCAGAATTACCCGTGGATCGGGTGTTTACGAGACTGGGTGCCAGGGATAATATACTGTCTGGCGAGTTGGGTTGGGTTGCACAGGGTTCAACTGGGTTCAACTGGGTTACTGCATACACTTCCAGGGGGTTGACTTGGTTTCTCTGGGCATTTGTTAGATTCATAAAGGCTTTATATAAATTTGTTGAGTTGTGGGTTGTGTTGGGTTCTTTAGTCCTTTCAGCTGACACGAAGGTGTTCCCTAGTCTATGTAATAGACGCTCGTTGAATACGAGCGTCTATCACATGCGTGCAGATTCCACGATTAATTATGCAAGACGGCCGCGTAGATTGGCCAAGTTTTGACCAATCAACAGGCGTCTACTATATCGTACCAGCAGTTCGGCTGGCTGGAAAACATGGCGCATACGAGTAGTCATCGCGTTCGGTACGTAACTTGTTGTTTTTTTGTTTCCCCTCGCAAGATTTCAATATAATTTACGACAATTTGATAGAAGCATTTGAGTTAAATTGGAGCGCAATCATGTCTCGTCTGGCCGGAAATGATGTTGTCAGAGAGCTAAGCACTTCCGAGAAACATCTTTCCATGTCTCTGTTGACAAAAGTTGGTTTCATGGAGGCCGCCATGTCTGCTGAGTCAGCTGACAGCTGTTGACTAATCAACATCCTCCGTCACAATCTGGACGGAAAATGACTGTAAACGGCTGTGATTGGCTGATGTGCTGCGTTGCATAATATTTGCATGCACGCAGGTATCAGACGTTCGTACGGAGCACACGGCTCGCTCCGTAGAACGGGTGATACTCAGACTAGGTGTTCCCTTGGTGTTGTATAAATCATTTGAGTGTTCTTACCTTATCGAAAAACTTGTTTCTTTTCAGGGGAGAGTACATTTTTCGTTGAGTTGAGTGAGACGTCAAGTATCTTGCAGCATGCCACACCTCACTCCCTGGTTCTCATGGATGAGCTTGGTAATAATTTTGTGTCATAATTTCTTTCTCCACAATTATCTCCCACTGGATACTAGAGTTGTTTTAATTAATTAGGAACAGCCACTTATCATGGTAGTTATTTTGTCACCTCTGAACAAAGAATGGCCATTTGTCATTGAAATATTATTGCCAGCCACTTACAGAAGTAATTCCCCCCCCCCTCTGGACAAGGAAAAGCCACATATTGTGATTATTTTGCCCTCTTTCAGGACAAGGAACAGCCAATTAAAACAAATGTAATACACGATATTTTTTTATTCTCCCTTTCTGGATAAGGAACAGCCACTTACCAAGGACAGTTTTTTTAAAGTACTGTTCTCACCCAGGATGATAAACGGCATTTTATAAAAAAAAAAATTTTAAAAATTTGTTCTCCATTAGGAAAAATGGTCTCATAAGTACTCCTTTTTATTTTCTTTCTCCAGGAAGGGGAACAGCCACCTACGACGGAACAGCTATTGCCAGCGCTGTCGTCAAGGAGTTATCAGAGACCATTAAATGTCGCACGCTCTTCTCAACTCACTATCACTCGCTGGTCGAAGAGTTTGGTCATGATGCGAATATACGACTGGGTCACATGGTAAAAAAATTCTTAAATTTTGTTGGAGGGGGGAGGGCGTGTCCTACAGGGCGTGTCCTGTTCAAGCACGGAGTCAATAATTTGATATTAAATGTTCAGCAATTTGGACCCAACAAACGTCTTCTATGTTCTTTTTGTTCAGGCCTGTATGGTGGAGAATGAAAACGAAGACGACCCTAGCCAAGAAACCATCACGTTCCTGTACAAGTTTGCTGCGGGAGCTTGCCCAAAGAGTTACGGCTTTAACGCTGCGAAGCTAGCTGACATACCGGATGAGGTAAGCTGGTTACCGTCAGCTCCTTATATTGCATTCCTGGTTAAACAGGGTACCAGGGAAAATTGTACCAATCTTTTGTTTTATATCGTGTATATCTGTTCAACAGAGATGCCACTTTTCCGGTTTTAACCGGAATTCCGGTTTTTAAAAAAAATCTCACAAAATTCCGGTTTTTCCGGCCGTCAAATTAACCAGAAAAAGAGAAGAAAAACTGTGGAAATGCGTTGATTTTTACCTCGATTTAGTACATTTAGGCGCACGCATGGCACAACGTTGTTCGTTGAAGTAGTCTTAAAAACAGTCTTTGTGTATGTTGTTGCCGAGCCTGCATGCGATACAAACGGCCAACGTACTTAATTGCACACAGTATACAACGGCGCCTCGCGCGTGCTTCACCGCGTGCGGGCGTGTTGTGTGCTAAGCACACGTAGCATTCAGCCTGGAAATCAAGTCTATCATTTCAGCTATCGGTGGTTTCCGATCGCAGTGATTATGTGAATACAAAAAATGCGGGTACCAACCATGTTTTCGTTGAGCGCATCGCGTAGTGCAAGGATCATGTACACCGACAGCAGTGTTGTGGAATCATGCATGTTTCGTGTCGAATATTACGTTGGAAATTCGGGTAGGCAGAATAAATATTAGGATGGAAAAAGTCAAAGTGATTGAACGAACCGACAGCTTTCAAGGCCATAGAAGCAAAATTAAAAAAATAAACAGAACTTGGCTTGGCTACAAGATAAAGATGACAGCGGGGACTTTGTGTCGGACACGGAGTGGCTTTTTCACACACACAAAAGTCCGTTTTTTTCAAGCAGCCGTTCCGGTTTTTTTCAAGCAGACCCAGTTCCGTTTTTTTCAAGCAGACCCTGTGGCATCTCTGGTTCAAAGACGGCAGTGTGAAATTCAGAAGCCAGGTCTGGATAAGAATTGGTTTACTATGGGCTCCTTGCGCCAACCAAAGAGGGCGCCCTTTTACCTAGCAACGACGTCCCATGGGCGAGACACATACATTTCGCTGGTTGATGTGCGCACACCGTTCCTTGTGTGTGACGCATGCACACCAGGGATTTGTACTATGTACACGCAGTGGCCGCACTTGGCGGCCAAATATTGCAGTCAGGCAAGATGGCGTCGTTCGGTCACCCCCAACTATACTTTCTTTGCCGATGAGAAGGTAGTTGTGAACGGAGCGGATAGTGTGTACCGAGTATAGATCAGTGTGGAGTGACGTCATCCGATGAAAACATCGATTCATTTGCACGCCAGTTTTCATCGGTTGCTATGTGTCACCATTCAGCACTCCAGACTCAAGAACCATTGAGTTTCAAGAACATAGGTCTGGGAACTAGATAAGCCAATGTAAAAAAATCCCGGATGTCCGCTCCCACCTATTGATCTTGTTTGCATTCAAAAATTGATTTTGTGTGACTTATACATGGACAATTTTAAAGCAAAAGAGTCTACTCTGAGATATTAAATTTGGTTAAACAGTGACAATGCACAAATGATTTTCTGGGTCAATTTAAAACAATGGGCCGGCTTCTTGATGAAACAAGGGTAAAGGTGTACAGTAAACTCCGGCTAAACGGACATCGTACAACTCGTCAAATCGCTCAATTCGGCCGTCTGACTAAAGTCCCGATTGTCCGTAATGCATTTCCATTGAATTTTTTATTTCTAAGTCGGCTTTTATAAGTCGCCATTTCGCTCAAGTCGTTGTGCTACTCTCAGTCCCCTTTCCATAAAAAGCATTACAAAATCCTTTGTGTAAGTCGGCATTCAACAAATCACGCATTGGCATCGACTTCCTGTACTGCGGTTGGCAAAGTGTCGAGTGAAAAGTGGTTTCGCACGGCCCGTGATCGCTGCATGCATCGGTGTCGAAAAAGGGTGTCCTGCTCGCATATGTATCGTGAGCACATCAATACAAGTGTTCCCTCTAGGCTGTGCGCATGCGCTCTGTCCATTTTGGGGGTCATCTTATTGAATGACTACTGCTGCAGTCAATGCGTGCGTGGTATATACCGGACCACGCACGCATTTCATTCGTCACTGTGCACGTACACTTGTATCGTGGTCTCCACTATCAATACCCAAAACGTGATGATACAATTCGAGGATTAATTTGCTGGATTCAACCCAAGCATTAAGGAGATAATCCAGGGTAAATCGAAGCCAATTAGTGCAATGAATCATGTGTGCAAAAGACCATTCATGTAAGTCGGCAAAATGACGACTTACAGCAGATATCGGCAACAAATTCGTAAGTCAACAAATTCTCGGGTCACGAGAGTTCCAACTTAGCTAGAGTTTACTGTAGTTTAGGACACCTCTATTTTTCACTAGTTCCGCTCAAAAAATGACTTTTGCAAAATGACCGTCAGTTCCAAAGGACTTAACTAGCCTCAAGCAATCTTTAAAAAAAAATAGATTAACTCAAGGTTTTGTATAAGATTTAATCAGTACTTTGCAACTTTCCTACCTGTTTTAGCAGTTAGAGACGTGCGAGTACCTCACTACACAATCTTTTCGTTCTCTTGTATGGGAACGGAGTTCTGACCTGCACTTTTACTGAACAGTGCAGGGACATGAAGAAAGCAAGAAGTTGCAAGTTCTCACATGTGTTGCTAGGATATAGCGCCCTCTGTTGTCATGAACAAAAAGGACAGGCTGGCTATCTAGGCATTGAATAACCCATCAATTTTATGTTCAATTCTTGATTTTCTTTTTAAAAAACAAGATTGCTAAAAAATATTTATAGATTTTGTTACTTTTAATGTCTTTTATTTTTTATTTCAGATTGTGATGGTGGCTAGAAAGAAGGCGCACGATTTTGAGAGGTCCGCCGACAGACTCAAGGCATTCAGAACACTGCAGAGACTGGGTCCGGGCCCAGACTTGGCCAAGACTTTGAAGACCATGCAACAGATGATCCAGGGGTAAATGGGCTAGAATGGATGGGGTTAAAGGTGATATGTGACTATGTCAAAATCTCAGCACATTTCAAGTATGAAAAACTCCACTTTTTTTGGGGGGGGGGGGGAAGGGAGGAATTGGAAACACATGAGCTCAGTACTTTGGCCAGTCAAAAGTTTGGCAACTTTTCTTTCGAGTATTTTTGTTTTTCATTTAGTTTGCTGTAAGTAAAAAGCGCTAACATCTATGCAAGTTTTCGTTTACATGAAATTTCTTTGTGTCGAAGTCAGGAGACATAATTTGTTTAATTTGTTCAATGAAGCTTGTTCAATAAACAAGTTTTGGGAGGGTCTTTTTTTGGCCCAATTTTCATGGTTAAACTATGGTTGAAAATTTTCAAAAAAAAGGAAAATGTATTCATTGTTGCAAAATGGTATTTCGCGGTGAAGCAGTTATAAAGATACGTGAATGAATCAATTTTTCTTTTGCCTTTTTTTTTCAAAATTTTCAAATTTTGTGAATTATTTTCAGTTTGGTGAGGTAATTGTTCAATAATTCAATGTAATTAGGAAAAAAATCTTCCATTTTTCTAAATTGTAAAAACCATTGTGCATTTCATTAACCATCTGCTTTGATAAAAATAAAAGAATGAAAAAATCAATTTCCTTGTACTTTGTAGCTGCTCCAATTTACAGGTTGAGGTGTATATATACATGTATATATATATATATATTTCATCTCTTTTTTCCACAATTTTGTTTTGAAAAGGAAGGTTAACTGATACCTTCTTTCTGCTAAACAATTTTTTCTTATATTTTTATAATATTTACAAATGTATCTCATGTCTTTGATGATGCAAAATTTCTTTAACTTTGTACATTTTTAACGAGAAAATCCAATGAAAAATTGAAAGAGAAACGAGACACAAGCCTTGCAAACAAATATCAATGACTTTGCCACCAGTTGTTTCAATTTCAAACATTTTTTAATAAATATTTGGTGAATTAAAACAATCTCCATCCCCTCCGAACGTTGATAAAAAAGAAATTAAAATCAGCACTGCACTTAAACGGGTCAAATTAAAAAAAAAATACAGCAACTGCTTTACAGAAAGATTGCTCTAAAACTATCTACAAAGATTGTCAAAGTGGCATAATTGATAAGGTCCCGTCTCAGTTCATATCCGGGACGAATCCGGACAAGTTGCGGACTTTGTATCGGGTACAAGTTGCAGGATTCTAAACAACTTTCCCGCAATGAAGTTATCAGTATTGGTGAGTCAAGAAGTTGCTAATGAAAATTTCCCCGGAACATGTCCGGGACAAATGCAGAGCTTCTTTCGGTCAGAGTGAATGATTCTACCCACAACTTGTCCGGAACTCGTCCCAGATTTGAATTGAGACGAGCCCCAAGTAAACAATATTATGGACTTATTTTAATTTCAGGAATGGAGTTGAATGTCCAACATCTTTGTAAAAAGTGCGACAAGTTTTTCGGTCCAACATTTGGTAATGAGCATTAACGGTCAAAAATTGACATTCTTAACTGAGGAATTACATTTGATTCCTTATTCAAGTTATGACAAATGAACTGTGGACGCATTTTTAGGATGACTGTGGAAATGATATCCCTGCATACATCTTTTTTTCCTTTTTGAACAGAAATATCTCGACCATAGGCTTCAAAGCATCAACCAATCTTTCATCTGCGAACAATTTCATCCATTTCAAAAGAAAAATATTTTTGGGAGGTCCGTACATACTTGGCGTGAATGCAAATACGAAGGCAAATTTGTGACATACATGTACATGAACAGCACATACTCAAATGCAATAAGCCAGATCAGTATTCCAAAATAGTCTGGTGCACGACAAGATTCAACGATTTATTTTTCGGGATAACTGCGGCAGATGAATGCACACAAGGCTACGGGGGACGTGGTAACCGAATTGGCATTCTGTGTAATATTTCATGCAATCGAAAAAAGAGATTGAAAGTTTCATTCGCACAAAAGTTTGGACACACAAACGCCAACATGTAAAAACACTTCGCTGTCCAAACATTTTTTTGCAAAACGTTACTTCAGAACATGATGATCTCTTCAACTTTGCTGGTACCTCGATATGCTTTTGCACGCATACGATGAAATGTTTATCCCGAAAGAAAAATCGTCAAATGTTGATGTGCACATGTTCAGTTGGAATTTACTAAACTGGCTTATTTCACAAACGTTGAAACACATTTCAACTCCGTCGAATCTAATTCTTTCCAACTGTTTCCTGACTCAAATTCACTTCTAGTTTGCATTCACTGGAAGTACAAACCAGACTTTCTCATAAACTAAGACCAGAAAATGAACCACTTTTGTATTGTAACTTTTTTTAACAGGCCACCATTTTCCAAAACAATAAGCCTTTTCGGAGTTGCAACTGCGCGCATTCGTAACCTGTGACAACGCACATTGTTTGTCTCAAATGCCCTTTGACAGTACCCACAATGCACAAACAGCCTTTTTGTAAAGTCAGTGGCGCGATGATGTCAAAGGGCATTTGAGACAAACAATGCGCGTTGTCACAGGTTACAAATGCGCAGTTGGAACTCCGAAAAGGCTTACTGCATTATTCACATTAGACTGGCACCAAGTCCTTTCATATTCTGAAAATTCTCGACCCTGAAATACATACAATTCCCGTGTCAATAATCAAACGAACACATATCAAGTACTGTTGGAAAATCATAATTTCAACTTTAAAGATTCTCTGAACCTTAAACTTTGTAACTTCGTCATACCACATGAGTACTATAGGATATATAAAAAAAAATTCTCATAAAATTTCCAATTTCAATAAAAATTTTGGATGCCTCAAATAATTCTCCATTTAATCAATATATATAATTTGATTTATATAATTTCAGTGAAAGAGGGTTTCATACATACATAGCTTATCATTTATAAAGTACTTTGAAAATGATTGTACTGAGAAAAGGCATTTCGTTCAATAGAATAACTGATTCTTAAAATGAAAATTAACAACTATTCAAAGTTGTTTCGTGGGTGTAGGCCTTGTGCATTATCCTAGCATTCATGACACAACACCTCAATTTTTAAGTAATTTTTTTCTGTGTTTGACACTAAAAGAGCGATACTCAAAAGATCAAAGCTTTAGATCCAATGAAAATCCCATACAAAATATCTAGGAACTGAACAACTTCTTGAATTTTGTATATTTATGAAGGAAAGAATGTTGTATCTAGACGCCACTTCAGCGGTTGTGTACAAAGTCCATGGAGAGTCTAGCCTTGGTCAAGGCGCTAGTTGTTATTCATCCCGGCCGTAGCGCGGTAAACGATATCTTCGCTAGCGCTATGCATGCAGTGCATTAAACATACAGCGCGAACAGCAACCTCACGCGGCCACCATGTCTATGCAAATCAGTTGGACCCAATCTAGCGCCTTGGTTCAATCGTCGGCAAAAGCTTATGTTTTTCTTTATTTTGCGATGGATTTCTAGCGCACGACCTCGTATGCGAATACAGATAAGTGTAGGCGGGGCTAATATGTGGAGTGTCCGATCACACCTTGGTAAATCCAGACGTCATCAAATTATTTGCAGCTATTCGCCTTTTGCGGACGTGACAGGAACCACAGTTTTTGTGCATTGGTGCCGTGTGCAGAGACACACAACGTGTACGTGTATGGATTATGTACGGTGCCACGTTTCGCTATGCAAGTTTCCACGCAACGATCGACCAATAAGAAAACGACATTTAAGGTCAGCTTAGGCTATTAACATAATGAGCACCACCCCTAAAACCTCACGTGGACGATTGAACCAAGGCGCTAGATTGGGTCCAACTGATTTGCATAGACATGGTGGCCGCGTGAGGTCACTGCTCGTGCTGTATGTTTAATGCACTGCATGCATAGCGCTAGCGAGGATATCTTTTACCGCGCTACGGCCGCGGGATGAATAACAACTAGCGCCTTGACCAAGGCTATGGAGAGTCAAGAACTTTTTTAAAGTATTTCCTAACACAATTGGAAATGTTTCTCAGTCCCAGACTCATATCTTTTCAACAATTTTGCAATGAATGACCTATACTGAGACGATCTAAGAAGAAAAAAAGTGGCGTCAGGTTGCAGCATTCTTTCCTTCATGAATGCTGAAATAGTATTGGCAGTACCTTTTCAATCCATGGGCAGTAACAATTTAAAGTATCAATTTAGTCAAAAATCAACCATATTTTGTTAACTTCACAAATTATTTCCATTACAAAACCACCTGGGTTAATATAGGTCTGAATATCCATAAATCATATGTACTTGATAACATAAAACCTTGGCAGGGTTGATACATTTTTTTTTGGCTTGGTCAAAAACATTTGGCAACTCTCGACTCTTTCGACCAACGTAATGCTGCAATGAAATGTTGTAAATACGCACAACTTAAAAAGAGTGTAAGTGATTTTACTGGCTACATGGCATTGGTAATAAACTGACAAGCAAAAGCAGATTGTAAAACCTGAAAAGAAAAATCTAAGTACTGGCCTAAAGTATTATGTGGCTATTTTATGTACTGTACATGTAACTAAAATCAAAAGTACTACAGTTTTTCGTGATTTCTGATTCCACTGGAAAACCTTCCCCAGAAAAACCTTAAATATCATGGCACAAGAGATAAAAAAAAGTATCTTCCTATAAGCTATTCCCCCTTCACCAAATGGAATCTCCCACCCAAAATAAAAGTCACCAATTGCCTTTTTTTTTGGTAAAATTTTTCATAAAATTCTTATTGCAATACAAAACGTGGGTGCAACCATTTTGTATCACGTTAAAGTTGAACTATGTACAATTGATAGTATTTACACAAAACTTCCATTTTTTTTTGTACATATATTGTCAACAATTTCATACGTGCATATGTATAAACCGGAATCTTAAAGAGTTTTTGTACAGTAAAACGGAAAAGGAGATTTTTTTGGCATGTTGTCTCAGAAAGACTGCCATAAAGTAATATAAAATGAACTCAACACCTTGATTCTAAAAATGAAAATCCATGCTGTCTAGTTCCCTAACAGTATGGTAAAAAAATAACACTTATTAAGATGGCACAGGTATCTGACTACTCTTTGTACTCTTTTGAAATATTTTGCGATCAAAGACCAATTTCACATTCCTGCTTAACAAAAGATATGTTACGCAAAACTCAGCGGGGAACCAGTAACAAGCAGTATACATTGTACATCCCATTACAATTTGGCTGGTAACCTGGTTTTGTTTAGCAAATTATTCTGTGCTTAGCAGGTTAATGAAATAGAATAAACATTGGACAACTAAACATCAATACAATTTGATTGCAATAAAACTCAACAACATTGACCCTGTAAAATATTGCAAATCTCTCAGGGGTTGACTTAAAACTGTGGCTCCATCTCTAGAGATGGAGCCAAGGCTGGAGACTGAAGCCGCGATTTCGCAACGCCTCGTATCATTTTATAACGAATCAATGAAACAGTTGAAGCATAAATTTATGAAGCAGTGAAGGAATGGGCAGCAGCACGCAAAGTTGCCGTTGATGGCAAAGCAAATTTAAAATGTTGAATCATAAACATATTTTAAGAAAAGCATTTGTCACGCAAGTATATACACGTATGTCATGTATGTATGGCTATATACTTAAATAAAAGTTGCCAATGCTGACATTTTATAGCAAGCAGTAAACGGGCTCAAAAGAGAATATTGCATGGAAAAAAATGGCAGAATAATTCTTGTGAAAATTACATTCAAACAGTGTTGAACATTTTTACAGTAATACTGTCGGAGCAAAGCCACTAAAATTTTAGATGGGAACACAATACTGATAAACGGGAAGTTATCTTTCAATATTCCAGAAGATCATGACAAGTTCTGTCTGGTTCTAGCTGGTTCCGACCAGTTCTGGCTAGTTTAACTAGTTTTGTCCAGTTCATGAAGGAAGATGTACATGTAATATAACATTTTTATCCCCATGCATTTTTTTGTTGGGAGGGAAAAATCATATTTCTTTCGCTGAGGGAAAAATCATATTTCTTTCTCTGTTGGTAATCAATCTCTTGGCATCGCTACTGGACAGAACCAGTTCAAACCAGCCAGATCCAGTCAGAACAGGTTACGGAGCATCCTCAGCTTGTCGTTGCCTTGTTCACATTGATCCCTCTCTGGCTACCTCGGTGCTTGGCATCCCCCGCTCCTTTTTCAACTGCTCCGCCCCTCGTGGTTCGACCCTTCTTTTCAGTGCTCAGTTTTCTCTTGGGCTGGGTCTGCTTCTTGTCTATTGGGGGCGCTGTTGTAATGGTCGGTGATGATGCATTGTGGGTCGTAGAAGGGGAGAGGCGGTCGGGTCTGACGAAGATTCCATGCTTGGGTCTGCAGGTGAAATAGCGGACGCCCTGGACACAGCCATTGTGCTTGCCTAGTTGCAGGAGAAAAAAGGAAATTTTACAACGAACTCAACACAAAAGTGAACTCCCTCAGAAGGCCCAAGACAGAGATAAACTCAAAACTTTTCTAGACCTCTTTTCGAACATCTTGTCGAACATTTAAGTTCAATTAATCTCCAGAATTTTGCCAAATTTACATTAAAATGAGCTATTTGAACTCAACATTAAGGACTTGATCTCCAAAACTTACCTACAGCGCTGTCCAAAGCTACCCCAACCCAAACGCCAGGGCGGAAGGTTGTATTCCCGACAAACTTCACCACCCCATGCCTGGACCCGCCGACCTCAACTCGCTTGCCAACATCCAGCCACGTTGGGGTCTCACTGCCGGTGCTCTTGTAGGACCCGTCCTGCCGGCTGTCGTAAGACCCGAAGCTAAAGGTGTCATCCAAATCGCTGGCGGAGGTCCCCGTCAGGCAGTCGCTGTCCGTCAGCGAGAGCCGAGACGAGGCATCGTCATCCTGTGGTCTAGATGGTGCCTCAACTGGACAGGGAGATGGAGGGAGCTCCTCAGGAGATGCGTGAGCATCTTGAGATGATTTTAGATCATCCCAGGATGTCAACAGGTTATTGTTGTCAGTGTCTTGAAGCAAGAGCTCTGAGGGTCGGTCGAGGGAAGCATGAGTCGCTGAGTCTGAGTGATCAGTTTTTCGCAACAACTGGTGATTGATTGGAATTGGTTTGCTGCCAGTAACCTCCTCAGGTTCCAGATCACTCTGGGCTTGTACAGCTTCTCCGAGAGTGTGGTCTGATGCACTACACTGGATGGCGGATCTCGTATCTAAAGCATCCATCGTTAATTCCATGGGTTCTGGGTCTTGTGTCTCCAGTCTCTCTGACTCATCAGTTTTATCAAGAATTTCTGTGGGTCCCAAGAATACCTGCTCACCTGGCGACAGCAAGGGGTGAACCCTACAGACCTTTGGAGACGTCAAGTGACGTTGAAACTTGGATCCAGAATCAACTTTTTGTCTTGGCGATGCACGATTGATATGGATGCTTTCAGTTTGAACACTGTTTGAAATTTCAGCAGTGGTCACTGAAACCTCTGAGGCTTTATTGGTAGCACTTCTCTCCGAATCATTTGAAGCTTTTTGGGCAGAGATGCCATCGTTCTTGTGACTCTGTTCTGAATTTTCTGGATGCTTTTCATTGCTTTCTAGATTAGAGTGATTTCTTGGGGTTTCATTCACACACAAATTTGATGAGTTCTCAATAAAGTCAGGGACTCTAGGGGTATCTTCTGAGGAGCTCTGAGAATCGTTCTGTTTCTGTGGTGCCTCCAGCTCCTCAAATACGGACCATTCATCGTCAAAGTTTACTACATCATGTTGGAACAAGCTGGGAAGCGACTTGTGCAACTCTTGCTCCTGTGGCAAGAGCAGCGACATTTCTAGATCTTCGGAAAAAGTTCTCCTCTTGAAAGACTCACTCTCTGAATTCAAATTGGCTCCTTGTAAATACTCAGTGGCTTTATTTCGGCAGGGCTGAAAAAGAGTAGAATGGGAGGCAGGATTTGGTTGCAGAAGGGGGATAGACTTTTGGAAGCTAGCGGCAGAGCCTTCTGGAGCTCTCCTCTGAAGTCTTAGTTCGGCAGAGCCTCCAAGATTAAGGCTAAGAAATAATGAATCTTCTGTTAGATTCTTAGGATCCCGAACGAAATCTTGGAGTGGCCGTTGGTCTTGTGTGCTCAACTTAGAAGGGATTGTCGTTGATAGTGGATCTCCAGACACGGATGACGAAGAGACTCTTCTCCGGGGGATTGGATGGTCTTCCAGAGAATCAAGGCGTACAACACCAAGAGGGTCAAAAACAGGCAAAACATCCGATGGGGGTTTGATTTGGTCAGATTTCATGATAACTGAGGCGCCATGATCCTGTGCCCTTTCAAGACTTTCCGACTCTCGGGTTGAATCGTCAAAATTGATAAGGAAATCTGAAATATCTGTCCTTGGTGAGAAGATGTCGGTCCTCTTCGATCCCTTCCTAGGGGTGGATGTTTGGTAAGTCTGAGCCCGTTCTTCGAAAGAACCATCCAGATGGAATCCTTCAGCAGATCCATTATTCATCTGCAACTGCTGGCCGCTCACTCTCACCGGCTCGTTGCCGATGGTGAAGTTCCTGGGGTTGGAGATCTCAGAGGACTCCTCGAAGGACATCCTGAAGACGCCGTCTGCGAGGTCTGCCGAATCTTGATGATCGCTGGGGAGGAGACGAGGGAGGGAATGACGCTGGCGAGGCTGCTGCTGCTGCTGAGAGGAAGACTGCGAGTGGAGCTGACTGGAGTTACCATGGTGATGAAGACTGTCTTCTCCTCGGTCAAGCTGTGGGAAACATTGACATTAAAAATAACAGCAGCAGGACTGTAATGTGCCACAAGGGTGCTCGTGACTAAGTGGCAGATTCTACATTTCGAAGTGGTTTGGCTGTGTTGTTTTGTCAGATTACAGTGATGGCGTATGAGCATTTCAATACCACAATTTACAACAGTTCTCATGGTTGTGCACTGTTAACCTTTTTTAGATATGGTGGACAAATAGGAGGTGCTATTTAGAGAGGGTAAAGCACGTGCCCAATTACAACCATTCCAAATGCTGCCCTTTTGGGGGAGAATTCTTAATTAAACAGACGGTTCCTTGAGGTTACCTTGAGGTAACTCGGAGGTTGGACAGCCATGCATACACGCAATGCATTCATGAATATTCGTCTTGAGTGCTGGGTAAACTTCAGGGCTGCCAACTTTGAGTAAGAGGCGAGGGTATGAATTTGTCGACAGAGATTTATAATAAGACTTGCAAGCGCAGACCGCGAAGCCCTAATGACACTCTGTGGTGCGATCTGAGGGAATTTCTTACCACTCTAATCAATTTTTTTGAGCAAAAGATCATCATTTAAATATTGTTTTCGAGTTTTATTTATTTATTTGACAGTTTGACTAGACACAGTGCTTGCTTGACATTATGATCTGACTGCTGGTGACTAGCCTGCGTTAAAAGTATAGCACGTGTAGTGAATTTGACTGTCCGTCAGCGTAGTGGAGTCACCAACTTCAAGTCCGAGTCCGAGTCTCGAGTCGTAAGCCTTGCGTCCAAGTCTCGAGTCACAAGCATCGAGTCCGAGTCCGAGTCACTTGTTCTTAGTTGTTCACCAAACTAATCAAACATTTTAAAAATTATTTTCCAATCATCCATTCTGTCTTTTCAGTAAACCCCAGTGTATATAGTTTACCTTGTGTGTGTACATGTTGTTTAGACCCAAAATGTGTTTTCCTTTTAATTCCCATCTCTAAAAACCCTCCTCCCATGATACTGGACATTTTTTGGCATGACACCGGGCCCTGGTGCTCCTCGTGCAGGCGCTAGGCGTGCGTGCACGGCCCCTGGACACGATTTTCTGCAGCACCGTGTTTTGTCCATGGAGTAAACAAGATTGCTAGGTTCATCGCACAAATACTACAAATATAGTCACCAAGCTCGAGTCCGAGTCATCATGGTCGAGTCCGAGTCATCATGGTCGAGTCCGAGTCCGAGTCATTTTCCAATGTGACTCGAGTCCGAGTCACGAAAAATGTGACTCGAGTCCGACCCGAGTCCCAGTCCTGGACTCGAGTCCTACAACACTACTGTCCGTGACTGCTTAAATAGCAGGAGGGAATAAAGAGAAACTGTGCGGTACCTAAGAAAATCCTGAGTTACCTCGGGGTTCAACCTCGAGTCAGCCTGTTTAATTAAGAACTCTCCCCTTATTGTGTCCACCGTAACATCTCAAAGAAGACTAACGGTGTGAGGGTTAATAGTAGTTAACCATGAACAATGAACAATTTTATTGCATACTACACCAAAGCTTCAGTATTTTACATTTATATACCAGTTCAAAAACAAAACAACTTTAAACGTGGGTACTTCTATTTTTATACAAAACTCACAATTGATCATCTTCAGCTGCATTTTGCAAGTCCTGCACAAAAATTTCAAACACTACAACCACAAAAAAAAAGGAGCAAAATGTTCCAACAAAGTTCACGACATACCATGGACACACACAGAAGGGTAGATGCTACATGTACAAGCTTCGACGTGCCTGGTGGTGAGTGGTCAAAAAACTGGATGTTAGTACTACAGAATAGAACTTGGGGTTAGCATTAAATTTGCAAAAAAAAATATCAAAAAGGTGAAAAAGCTATCCACACCAATGCAAAACAAGAACAGAGCATGTGCACAAAAAGTACATCAATGCAATACAAGCATGCCAAAAAAGAATTGAATACAGGTCTCAAGATTTGTACAAAATGCTTAGTCCATCATCTGCACTTTCACATTAATTTACATCAATCAAACTCAATTTCTCCTTTTCTTTTTAGTTCTGTTAAAGTTTGCATAAATGGTTTTATTAAGGCAATGCAGAGACAAGAGAGAAGAAATCCCTTCTATTTATTAAAAATAATGTATGTCAAAAAGCAGGTTTTGTTAAATATTTCCAACACCCAGGTTAACTTGCCTTTACGAGTTCAACTTCAACAAATTTCAGAAAAATATATTTTCTCTGATCAATAAAAGAAGAAAGGAATTCAACATTCAAAAACAATTTCATAACATACTGTAAATTTCAGCAACACCAGGTTAGGACACCAAACTTAAAAAAACTCACAATAGCATTCCAATTATTTGGCCGAAAAACCTACCTTTCGTTTACTGGCAGTGTCCATTTCCCTGCTCTGCTCTTCCCGGACAGGCCGCAAGGGCTTGACCACTTTGCTAAAGGGCGAAGGTCGCAATCCCACCGGACTGCTGAGGTAGACGTGGGGAGATAAGCCGGGGCTCTGCGTCGGGCTCATGCCGACGAATTGATGATGCTGAGGACTACTGCCATAGGGGCTACTACTGTAGGAGTACACGTTGTAGACGTCCGGCTGGTACGCCGCGTAGGGGATGTACGTGTTCTGGTCCGTGAGCAGGAGAGAACGTGGTCGGGCTGGCTTGGCGGCAAGGTACTGGACGGGACCCCCCATGGAGCCGGGGGAAGGGTTGGGGCTGAGGTTGCGTAGGCTCTCCGAGCGGATTAACTGTGTGAGAGGGAATCAGGGGGAAGGGGGGGAATTGGGGATTTGGGAAGTCGGTTGGGGGTTATTAATAAAAGAAACCATACAAAGGGATCTGTGGGTGTATACATACACATGCAGTATGGTGCAAGTGTGTATGTGGGGTACCACACATGTACGTCATAACATTCAACACGACATAAATCAAAATTGATGATTTGTTTTGAGGAAAATAAACACATTTTAAAGAAATAAAAATAGCAACAAAATTACAACAATTATGTCATACAGATATTGATACATGTACAATTGCAGGCAATAAGCACAAAATGATTCACAATCGACGCGGCCAGACACAAAATGCAATCAAAATGCACATCGAGAGACAAAAAGTGAAATGATACAAATGTGTTTCCATGGTGACGGTAGAGTGGTATTTTGTTTCCATTTGTTGGGATTGATTGCAAAAAAAGAGAGAAGATAAAGAAGAGAAGAGATGGAAAAAGCGGAATTAGTTAAGGAAGACTCGGCATTCTGGATAAATTAGGGCTTTGATTTTTACTGAGATTTGATTTGTTTCACTTTCCCTCATGTTTTGGACGACTTTTTTCCTTTAAGGTAGGGTAGATCATTTGTAATTTGTGCATTTATTTCGTTTGAAGCAACAAAAGTGCTCAAAATCTAAAGATGGGCGCTTAACAACTAACCTGATGAAGTTTTAGCTCTGTAAATGCTGTATATTCCGAGAAAACAATATTCTAGGATCTCGATTTCAATTCAAAAGTTGCAAGTCATGTTTGGAATTGCGCCTGAAATCGGCGTCCAGGAAACGTTCTCATTCAGCTGATTGCAGCTACGTGATGTCACGCACTGAACCGACGAATAATAGCAACTGCACGCGTGTGCGTCGTGTCAACGATTGTGTGCACCCATTCACAGAATCACCGAATTACAAACCAACTACTAACAGAATTTCCAAAAATGCGTTGCTTGACGCATCTTTGGATATGGACTTCTTTTATTGTTTTCTTCAAAATGACAGCATGCCAGAAAGAATAATTTCACAGGGAGTTTATCGCCATAAACCAAGTAAGCGTTTCAACAGTAATTTCGTCAGTTACTTTTTGGATAGCTGCAAATGATCTACTCTTACTTTAACTTTGTGGCAAAAACAGTATTTGGGAATCAAATCTGATGCCAAAAATTTCTAAATATAAGGTGTGGCTTCAATCATTAAAAAAGTTGGGGGAAAATCGTCATGAAGCGAGTGAAGTTTGTGAAAAATGTTTGACGAACAAAATGTCCATCGACATATGAAGTGAAAGACACTTTTTTTTCATTCAATGCTAAAAAAAACCCCAAAGACACAAAACTTTTAAGAATCTCCATCATGTGTTATTTTATAAAGAAGGGCACCGTGAGGTATGAAATTATGGTTGCTATGGTAACAGCAAACAGAGAGTTATTCAGTGAGACTGCGGCCGAGTCGCCGAAGGGAAGAAAACCGACCGCGGGAGGCGGGAAGGAGGTGAGAGAGGGGGGTCAGGCACGAGGGGCGATTCTGATGATTAGATTATTGATTAGTATTGATTGTTGGAATCACGGGGGACAGAGAGAAAGAAAAAAGAGATGGGTGTTAGCTTTCTCTGTATGTAATACTAATAGCAGATCATGGGTATCAGCCATTTTTGTTTTTACTTACGTTTGCTTTGGGGTTTTCAGTTAACCTTTCTATTAGGGACTTTGTTGCTGTCCATATTTTAATTACACGTAGTAAATTTACAAAGTATTTAGTGATTTACTGAGGAAACAGAGGTAATTGGAAGGCTCTTATCAAAAAAAGTTCTCTTAACTGACCAATTTTAAAATTTCATCTACATAAATTTGGGATAGTTTGGAAGTGCTGATTTTTAGACAGTGTTTGGAGTGCAAACTCATATAAACACCGCAAAAAAAGAATGTCCACACTCATTGGAGGGGTCATAATTTTGAATCCGATCGTCTTATGATGACGTCATTTATATAGACCTTTGGGGAATGTTGTTAGCTACATTTTGATACCCCGTTTGCTACCAAAGACTGTCCAAGATTGACAACGGTTTATGAAAAATGATGCAAATTTAAAGAGTACGCGAGTGGAAAGTGCTGCATGACAATGTTACACTTCCCGAAACGAACGGCAGGGAATATCGAGCGGACAGTGCTTGTATGCATGGAAGCACGTGTAATTGAATAACCTCACGGGAAACATGCTGGTTGTGTTCTTGGGCAAGACACTTTACTACAATTGCCTCTCTCCACCCAGGAGTATAAACGGGTACATGTGAAGGCAGAGACCAGAATGCGCTGATCTCGAACTGCTGCAAAAAAAAACTGGTCTCACGGCCTAATGAACAGGGGTAATAAGCATGAAGCACTTTGAGACCTTTGGTATAAAGCGCTATACATGCACCGTATTATTATTGTTATTAATTTTTGCCCCCCAAAAAATCTGCAGAAGAGTACTAAATATTGAGAGTTTCGGTGCGCTTCAGTACAAAAATTCCTAAGTTAGAACTCACGTAACTAAAAAAATGGGATTTTGCAATCAAGCCATGGGCATCAGCCATTCGATTCTAATTCTACGTTTCGGGGAAATACTTCATGAAAAACGTTGTTGACTGTGACTTTCACAAGGAAGCTGTGAGTGCAGAAAGGCTGTGAATAATATGCTTCTAAATCTACAACTCGGTCACACCCCACAGCGACACTTGCACCAACGGAGGGAGAAACAACGGTTTGAAACGGTCACAGTTCATGCACCAAAAGACTATTGAGGGAAAATGACTTGGCTTATACAATGTAAGGAGGAATTGGGTTTCTTTTGGAAAGTTGATCTTTATTTCAACACATTCTAGAACACATAGACTTGAGGGATAAATTTTAAACCCGCTGCTAATTTAGAACAGTCAAATCAAATAAAGCAATCTTTTATTCGTTTTTTCTTTGTTTCTACAAAAATAGCCAATCTGTTCTAAATTATTTTGTGTCGAGAAGAGAATTGAGAATCTTTTACTCTTAGTGGATTTTTACTTGAAAATTCCTATTTTGGAAAATAGTTGAATGAGTGCGTGAAACAAATGTCTAAGCATAGAATTGTCATGTCAGAATTACTTACCCTGAAATCGTCATCGAGTCCATCCATGGATCTACTGGTATCGATGGAGCGGGACATTGCACCCTAAATTGGAAACGGAAAAAGAAAAAAAACATTATTTGGCTAGTGCTTGCAATTTTAACCACTTTGCCCCGGGATTATTTTTGCCAAAAATTTCGATTTTCGCAAAAGGCAAAATTTTCCAGCCAGCTTCTGGTATACAACCAAACGCCACAAATACTGATTTGCAGGAGTCATTTCACCAGTATTACTTTTTAGTGCGATATTTCTTGCCGAAACCTCATATTTTTCAACACTCCGGGGTGTGCACTGGAGCGTAAATTGTACAATAGGCCGTGCACAGCGACCAATTAAAGATCAACACACGGTCCGCCTCCACAGACTTCACGGACTTGGTGTGTGTGTCTTTGTGTACAAAAGGCACGAGGGATTAGCGTATATAGACGTCACCCGGAGGCGAGTCGAGGCAAACTTGACGTCTTAACCTGTCAGCCGTGCCTGTGCCCAAAAACAGCCAGTGCGTGTCATCACGTCCTCCGACTCGAACTGGTTAACATTCCTCTCCCTTGACTCTTTTTCCCAAATTTCCTGAATTTCCCAAAAAAACCATAAGAACATGTACAAAATTCCAGGGCCTTCCGAAATTTTCCAGACTTAATGCTACATTTGGTAGCTTACAAACTTCCACAGATTTCTCCCCTCAACTCTTTTTCCTGAATTTCCTGAACTTCCCAAAACCTCCATAGCAACATGTACACTATTCCAGGCATTTCTGGGATTTTCCAGACTTACTGATATATTGAGCACGTTTGCAAACTTCCTAAGATTCCTTCCCAACTCTTTCCTAAATTTCCAGGAACTTCCCAAAACCTCCAGAACAACATGTACAATATTCCAGGTATTTCCGGGATTTTCCAGACTTGCTGAAATATTAGGCACGCTTGCTGTCTTCCTAAAATTCCTTCCTAACTCTTTCCTAAATTTCCAGGAATTTCCCAAAACCTCCAAACCAACTTACTCAAATTCACGACCATTACAGGATCTTCCATATTGAGCACACTTGCAGAATTCCTAAGATTCTTTGTCCTATTAACCTTTCCTAAATTTCCCAAAACTTCCCAAAACCTCCATAAGAACACACACAAACTTCCCAGCCATTCCGGGACTTTCCATTACTTACTGATATATTGGGCACGCTGGCCGTTTTCCTAAGATTCCTCCCTCGGGAAGCCAACTTCTCCTTGATGACGACCTCCTGTCGTAGTCTGTCCAAGGCCAGGATGCTCTCCACGGCCGACACGCCCCGTGTGTACTTCTCGATGTACGTCTCGCCGTCGGAGGAGGTCGTGTTTTCTTCCGTTCCGGAGCCGGCCATCAGGGCCAGAGATTCCCGGTCCTCTGGATCCTCTGATGCCTGAAGACGGAAACAAATCCAGTAATTAGCATGAATCAAATTTGTACAATTTTCTTAGACTCGCGCTGAATTGAACGCTTTTGCAATAGGTACAAGATTTAAGTACTTTGTTATGAGTATTGGTACACAAAAGTATTTGAAGATGAGATATAACAACACTGCTAATTTGAAGTTTTTATTTGAGTCTTACCTTTGGAATGTTTGAGACAATTTCGTACGTTACGCCACATGCCTGTACTGAATCCTGTATGGTAAAAAAAGGAAGAAAAAACTGTGTTAGGACATTCATAACGTGATATATAATTACAGGAAAAATTCAATGATCTATTTGACCTTTTCAAAGACACTAATGATTTGACAGACTTAGAATCTCATGCATATTTATGAGGATTTTATTACCTTCCCCAGGCTCAAACAAGACTACTTACCATCTCATGTTTATTCATGAGAAATGTTCAATGACCTAGAACCCATGCCAGGAAAGTCTCCCAAACATGCATATTCATGGCAAATTTTGCATATTCATGGCAAATTTTCAGGCACCTACATGAACAACCGGTGATTTGACAAGTCTTGGAATTAATGCATATTCATGAGCAATATTTAGTGAGCTACAAACTACCAGTAGACAATCATTGAACATACATGTTCATTACCAATATTCAATATTCAACAACTCACCTGTGGACGATTACACCCCTCATGTATATTCATGAGGAAAATTCAACAAGCTCCGCCCATTACTTGAACAATCTCACGATGTCGTGCATATTCATGAGCAATACTCACTAGTCTACGCAATTGGACAAGCCTCAGCACCTCATGCATATTCATTTGGAATATTCAGTAAGCTCCGACCCATGCTTGAACCATCTGACCATATGATGTATATTCATGAGCAATATTCACTATTCTTATTGGACAAGCCTTAGCACCTCATTCATATTCATGAGGAATGTTCAGTGAACTACACATCTCGACATTTTCACCATTCATGCATATTCATGAGCATTATTCAAGGACCCGTGATTGGACAATGTCTTACCATCCGTCCCATCTTCTTCTTGATCGTCGAGGTGAACCCTTGCTTCTTGTAGATGTTGACGCAGATGCGTTTCCGTAGCACTAGCTCCATGGTCGCCGGGTGACTCAGCTGGACCACGGCCTTGACGATTAAGTAGATCCGCTCGTTGGGGCCCGTCACTCGATTGAGGTGTGGCGAGTCGTGGATGGAGGAATCCCAGGATGCAACAGCACACACCTGCGAAAACCAGTAACGACAAGATACGACTAGGGATCAACTTCATTGAGTTGCGCAATAATCTGCTAAGCAGAGAAAGTTTTGGCTGAGCAAATACGGGTTACCAGCCAAAATATCATGCAAAGCACACTGTTTGTGACTGGTTCCCATTTATTCATGCTTTGCACATCAATAATTTCATAATATCAATTTGATTATTGAGTTGCACAATAATCTGCTAAGCAGACAAAGTATTGGCTGAGCAGATACGGGTTACCGACCAAAATATCATGCATAGCACACTGTTTGTGACTGGTTCCCATCTCATTCATGCTTTGCATATAAATTTGTTAAGCACAGTGGATACCGCATTTAACTGGTAAACTGCCGACATTTTCTGAGCGGCTGATAAATTCGCTAAGAATACAAATTTGCTTAACATTCTAAATCTCCCAAACTAAACTGGTTATCAAGAAATGTCATGCAACGGACACTATGCATGTGACTGGTTCATCGTTTAACTTGGCTGAGCAGAAATTAAATGTACTAAGCGGCAATACCTCCTATGAGAGTAGAAAGGGAAGGAGAAAAAAAATGAGAAGCTTTGAAAAATTTGAAGGATGGACTTACGTCTTTCTCACAGTACTTGACTATGGGGAGGTTGAACATCTTGTTCCCATGTTCCTTTGGTAAGATGGAGTTGTATCCAGCAGCGTGCATGCCTTCTAGGCCGCCTGATGTTCCCATGTCATCAGCTTCAAAATAAATTCAACAAAAAAACCAGTAAATATCTTTGCACGATACGTGTACGCTGTTTTTATTACTACGTAGTACTGATTAAAATATATTACATAACCGACATACAGATCCTTGTCATTTGATTGGAACTCACATCACGTGTCATTCGTTATTACTGCCATTCACGCCGGGGCTCAAAAAGTACTATCTGCCCATGGGGAATGGGAAGTACTGTTGAACAGTTAGGATCAGTCTTGTTCCATGACGCGGTATTTGTGTGCAAATGCATGCTGGTGTGCGCGTTCAGCGTTGCGCGTAGCGCGTATTGTACCAAAGAGCCAGCGCTACAGCGTTGGGTTCAAACATTTTCGTGAAGGGGTGGTTTGGGAGAGAGAAATATATTTTTCACCAATTTTGTATTAAAATAAAAGTTCAAATATATCAAATGACAAGGAACTATATGTCAGTTATATAAAACAAATATTGAGTGGCTTTAAATTGTGAAATGGGAGGAATATTATCACTCGGTAAAATCTGGACTTTTCCAGTTCACTCGGCTTCGCCTCGTGAAATGGAAAAGTCCAGATTTTACCTTGCGATAATAATCCTCCCATTCCACGCTGATCCACTCAATATTTGTACATCATTTATTCGAGGTGGTATATCGCTGCACTGTTTACATGATGGGAGGTATGGAGGGCCAAAGCGTGCACAATTTTTCAGAAACTGTAAGCTACAGCAATGTTAAAATCAAGCAAGGGAATGCCAATGATTTTAACCCAATACCGGTATGTCAATTCAGAGCAATACGTAAAATCCTTTAAAACCCTGCAGGTCAGTTTCAGGTGAAGGGATATGAAGTGTTCAAGTAACTGTGTCACACAGAGAGTCACTGCACAAAAAAACTTGACCACGAGAAAGAATTGTGCAGGGATTTGAAGTGTTAACCATACTCCACCGAAGGTTACCTCAAAGGAATTTGAAATGTGGGTGGTATTAAACTCTATGGGCAAAAGTGGTTTTGCAAAACTTGAAGGGCAGTGAAGTGCAGAAGACTAGAAGGGTTATTAAATGTACATACATATGTAAACAAAAAGAAGGCTCAAATGATTCTCGACCTAATCTTCCATTTTCTTAATTTTTTTACCAATTTACCTTGGAGGTCCAGAAACAGCACCGGTATGTGGGTCTCCATGCCGACGGGCGGCCGCCAGTTGGCCGGCGCGCCCGGTATCCCGCTCCCTGGTGCCGGCACCAGGACCGCGTTCCTCTCTTCGGTCAGTGACACCCACTGGTTGATTAGGCTGGCTTCGCGCTCGTAGTCCTTCTGCGACTTACCTAATCAAGAACAAAATATTTTTCGGTCAGAAAACAGAACAGTAATAAGGTGACACTGTTGCTACTGTGAAAAAAATACTGCAAGTAAAACTTGCGCGATCCCCCTAGCATCCTGGCAGTTTGTAAACATGTACAGGCAGTTAGTAAGGACATTTTTCAGTGTACCTAACCGAAAAGGAAATGTGTCATAACTAGGAACAGGGATTAGCACAGAAATGGGTGGGCAGCTGTGCTAGTCCACAACTGTGAAGCTATAAATAGGCTGTTTACTTACGAAGCAATAACTTTCATGACACTAGAAAAACACAGTGACATAACTCATCCATAGACCAAGGCCTGTAGGAGCTCGGTAGCCGCAGTGTCTCTAGCGACCAGTGAGTTGGCCTAGTGTATTTATAAGGACTCTTTTCAGGCATGCAACTGGGAAATCACAAAAAAAAGAGGAAATTCAAATGTTTCCCAGACTTTGTACAGTGTTTTTCTATTTTCAATGGCACACATGGGAATTAAAAAAAGAGGAAATCAGCTGATCCGAGGAAAAGTTGCATGCCTGTCTTTTGCACTGTTTTGTATCCTTGTGGAGTCATTTCTTTGTGTACTAAAATTTTAGAGTTTGAAAGTGTAGTTTCAAAATGCTCCTATTTTAACCAGAATTAATTTCCTGAGCTGAAATTTGGACTTAATATCCCTTACATAAAATACTTCAATTTGCGACGGATCAACACACCTTGGATATTCCTAGTTTTTGAGTAAAATCCATATATCTATTTCGCGATAACCTTGTGGAGACGTATTCACCTATAGCAATTGCTCTGTGGAGACATTTACAACCTTTTGTTCCCTATTATGCACATGTCTCCACAGGGTACCGTGTACCAGGTCGCAATAGCAATATTCCCTGCTGTCTGGCTTGAAACCCACCCTGTTTATCCATTATCCTCTTGATCTGGTCATCCAGGTACTCGTGCCGCCGCTTCAGCGCATTGGACCACCGCGCCCGTAACCGGCTCAGGTCGTCGTCCTGGTAACTGTCCAATCCCTTCTGGAGTTTTGAGCGCCCGCAGATGCTGCCAACAGAGACCGACGTGATGGCCTCGCAGATTATTGGCAGGGTGCCAGAGTTCAGGACAGGCTTCACTCGTATTAGGATTCGTCTTGAGTGCCCCTATGAAAGACAACAAATATTAAAAACAAAGGTTTTTTAAATTTGCAGATTTTTTTCAGATACACAATATGGAGTGATTTTCAGTTGAAGAATGCCGACAGAAATGTTGAAATACAGTGAAATCTCGATAAGTCAAACTCTGATACTCAAAACAACTGTTAAGTCAAACAAAGAATCCATTCCCTTCAGTAGTATAACAATATACAACCCTGCTTAACTCAAAACTCTGCTTAAGTCAAATTTTGAACCTATTCCCTTGAGGTTTGACTTATCTAGATTTCACTGTTAGCTTAGGTACAGAGCTGCAATCAAGTCAATCTCAAGTCAATCACAATTTAATCACAAGTCGATTATAAATTGATTATAAGTCAATTATAGGTCAATGATAAGTCAGTCACAAGTCAATCACAAGCCAATCACAAGTCAGTCACATGTCAATCACAAGTCAATCACAAGTCAATCACAAATCAATGACAAGTCAATCACAAGCCAATCACAAGCCAATCACAAGCCAATCACAAGTCAATTACAAGCCAATCTCAAGTCAATCACAAGTCAATCACAAGTCAATCACAAGTCAGTCACAAGACAAATCACAAGTTACAGAAGATAAACAATGTCAAAGGAACGGCTCTGTCATAGTATATTTGTTACTTGTAACTTAACTTCAGACTAGACGACTTGCGAATAGCTTGTGTGGACGTGTGGTTTGGCTTGTGATCAACTTGTGATTGACCAGTGATGACTTGTGATAACTTTCTAACTCAGCCTAACTAGGTGTTAATTCCCCCCCACAGAAGTGTGGTTGGGGTCTACGAACGAATACTTACCTGTAGAGCAACACTACTTATGCATATTCCCCCTACCGGCAGGTATTTTCGCTAAGAGTTAAATACAATAGCGCCCTCCGGCGCCCTACCCATAACACCCCGCGGCATGCGTGCCTCGTGAGCGTCCTCTTTTCTCGAGCGCTAAGTCGGAATACAACAAAGTACCCAAGGCATCGAGAAGAGTGGGGTAGGAGGGAGGGATGCTCTACAGGTAAGTATTCGTTCGTAGACCCCAACCACACTTCTGTGGGGGGGAGTCTACTTCACTCTACTTACCTGTAGAGCAACACTACTTATGCATAGACTAGCACCGTCAAGGAGGTGGGCCATGCGAGATGCTATTGCTTACTCACAGGGGTATGAAACATGGAATGTAACCCCAGATGGCTCCCACTGTTCCGTCCAAAGGCGGACAGGGGAAAAAACCAAGAACTGTACATGTAAAGGATATTAATTACCCGCACATGTTAATCGAGACGTCAGCCCTCGTTAGGGGGAACGTCTCATAATGTAAAGTATTACATAATAATAAATATAATATATAATACAGTTGAATCCTGCAAAGAAGAGTACTGTTAGTACAAGACACTTCTTAAAGCAAGTTCTAAAACACTTCAAACCAAGCCCATGCACAAGGTAACCTGTATACAAAGAAGGTAACTTGTCCAAGACCAATGACCTTATTACAAGAGTGTTTAGCTATACATTTATACTCAATACAATGTAATGTATAATGTAAATAGTCAGGATGAGGAGACTCACCTATTCTAGGGAAGTCCCGGGTAGGAGAGGATCCTGTGGACCTGATGATGCTCGGCTCGCCGCCTTCAGCACCACTCTCCCGGCTCTGCCTTCCGTCTGGAGGACATCCTTCAAATAGCACTCTGTAAAGGTGTTGGGGGTTTTCCAACACGCTGCCTGTGTGATATCTTTAATAGAAACACCCTTAAAAAAGGCCCAGGAAGTAGAAGCTGCCCTGACCTCATGTGCATGGACTGACCCAACGGAATCTGTTGTTGGTGAGTCTATTGTTGATTTGATGGCCGTAACCAACCAGCGGGAGATTGTATCACGCGAGGCCGGTCGGTATGGTGGAGTCGTTGTTATAAACAGCTGTGAATGGCCGCTTCGGAGCGTTTTAGTTCTATCAACGTACCACTTCAGGGCTCTGACCGGACACCAAAGCCTGTCACCAGAGACAGACGAAAAAGATTTGATGTCCGGCACAAAAATGTCAGGAGGTGAAAATGATTCTGACTGATTTTTGGTCAGAAAACCTGTTTTAGGAACCAGGCGAACACCCCCTGGTTCCCACCGGATGTGACCTGTCTCCACTGTAAGCGAATGTAGCTCGCTACGTCGTCTAGACGTAGCCACTGCTAATAGAAATGACACTTTAACCGACAGCTGCAACAAGGTTGAGCTGCCCATTGGTTCGAACGGGGGTCTCGATAAGGTTGATAAGACAGCAAAGAGATCCCACGATGGTAATAGCCTACGTGTCGGGGGGCGTGACACAAACATCCCCTTGATAAGTTGGCTAAGATTCTGATTATCTGACACCGAGGAGCCGTCAGAGAAACCTCCATGAATAGCCGCTATAGCCGAACGATAATTCTTAACTGTGGCTGTAGCAAGATCACTGTCAAAGAGGCCTACTAGGAAGTCTGCAATCTCTCCTATAGAAGTATCGGGGGGATGCAGAGACCTGGCTCTACACCATTTGTAAAAATGGTGTAATCTACTGTTATAAATTTTCCTGGTAGACTCCCGTCGGCTGCAGGCTGCAATGGCCGCAGCTCGTTCAGAAAGGCCCGCCGTGCGGAAGGATTGTTTGATAATACCCAGCACGTCAGGTGGAGATCCTCCGGGGCCGGGTGAAGAAAACCCGAGCTGGGCTGGAACAGTATGTCTGCCGTCTTCGGAAGAATCACCGGGCGGTGAACCAAGAGCTTGATGAGTCTCGGGAACCAAGGCTGGCGTGGCCAAAAGGGAGCTATGAGGAGGATCTTGCACTCCTCCTGTTCCACTTTGGTCAGTACTCGCGGTATGAGGGAGAACGGGGGAAAGGCGTACGCAAGTAGTCTGTCCCACCGTATTGCCAGCGCGTCTGTCTGCCATGCGCAAGGGTCGTTGTGTCTTGCGCAGTATACCGGTAACTGGTGGTTGTTTCGAGAGGCAAACAGGTCGACATGAGGCCGATCGATCAACAGAAAAAGTGCTTGGACAACCTGCGGACGCAGTGTCCATTCCGTCGGAACGACCCACCCCCTGGAGAGAGCGTCGGCTGTGACGTTCTCCTCGCCTGGGAGATGAGTTGCCACGAGTGTTACTCCGTGGTCCATACACCAGTGGAAGAGATTCCACGTGAGCGCGCATAGTTGGGCGGATCGCGTGCCTCCCTGTCGATTGACGTAGGCCACTACTGTGGCATTGTCGCAACGAATGTTGACTACTTGGTTTGTCACTGATGCTTGAAAACGTTGGAGAGCATTGATGACTGCCAACATCTCCAGCACATTTATGTGTTTTGAGCAATCTGTGGGCCCCCACCGACCCGCTACTTGGCGCGGGTGGAGGGTGGCCCCCCAGCCAAAAAGTGACGCGTCTGTCGTGATGGTCACTGACGGCCTCGGATTGTGAAAAGCGCGCCCCTCCGTGAGATTGGCATTGTCGAGCCACCAACGGAGGTGCGGTATTAGCCAAGGTGTGGTCGGCACCAGATGACGTATGTGATGACGACTGGGCCGATAGAAGGACAGCAGATGTAACTGGATGGGACGCATCCTTAGTCTGCAAAAGTTCACCACATCTACCATACTGGCCATAAGACCGAGCAACCTTAGCCAGGCTTGCGCTGGGGCCATGGTCGTCGGGAGAAACAGAGACACACACTGTTGGAGATTTACAATCCGTTCCTCCGTAGGCCGAACCAATCCCTTCTGGAGATTGAGTGACGCTCCCAGAAAGATTGGGAATTGGGATGGATGTGGATGGGATTTCTCGGCGTTGATAATAAACCCGAGATCCGCCGCTAGACGCCAAGTCAGATTGAGTGCCGCCGATGCGGCCGTCTGAGATTGAGCAATAATGATCCAATCGTCCAGATACATGAAGATCATCACACCTTGTTTTCTTAATGCGGCCCCGATTGTCTTCACCACACGCGTGAAGACCCGGGGTGAGGTGGCTAGACCAAACGGAAGAACCATGAACTCGTACTGGACGTTCTCGTACTGAAAACGAAGAAACTTCCAGTGGTCTGGTCTGACAGGAATGTGTAGATACGCATCTTTCAGATCTAGACTGGCTCCCCACGCAGGAGTACGAATCGATTGGAGTATGATGTTGAGCGTATCCATGCGAAAACGTCTTGGCCGAATAAATTTGTTGAGGGGTTTTAGATTTAAAATCGGGCGCCACATGCCGGCCTCCTTCTTGGGTACCAGGAAGAAGGTCGACATGAAACCCGACCGTGTCTCCCCCGGAGGGAGCGGGCGAATTGCCCGTTTCCCGAGGAGGGAACTGATCTCCCCTTCGAGGGAGAGACGTTTGGTAAGATCGGACGGAACTACCGTCGGTCGAACGATCATGTCTGACGGGGGGGTGCTCGAGAACTCGAGTGCGTAGCCGCACCCGATCGTGTCGAGTACCCACCGGTCGGACGTAATTAAACCCCAGGACCCCGCAAAGTCTCGGAGACGGCCTCCCACGGGTCCGACGGCGGGAGGCCGCCACGAGTCTACTAAGTCACTTGCGCCAGCCCCCGGGATAGCGGGGGGCCGGTGCCCGGAAACCACGACCGGATTGGGGCCGTTGTTGTCCAGAGAACGTGCGGGCCTGCGTGGCGCGCGCACCGGAAGTATTGTCCGTGCGGCCACGAAAACCACCGCGACCAGATTTCAGAGGCTTGCGGCGGGGAATGACAAATGTTTTGCCCTTACCCCGCTGCTGTTTGGGCGCCGGTGCTGGAGGCTTCTTGAAGTTGATTTTCTCTGTAGCCTTCAGACGTTTGGCCTCATCTCGCATCTGTTCTTCGAATTTATCAGCAAACAGATCCGGGCCCGTCAAGGGGAGATTTTCAAGTCTTTTGCGAGCACCCTGCGACGGGAGGAAAAGTGCATCGAGCACGTTACCCCGGCGGGTGGACGTTGCTAGGGTCGACACGCGTGCGAATTGCTCAAGCACAGAGCGTAGACCATGGTCGAGACAATGAAGGGCCGCAGTCAGCATATCTGCTGGAATCGGCGAATCTTCTTCATAGCCCACGGCCAGATATTCCGTGAGAAGAAGCAGGAAAGACGCTGATTTCAAACCGAAGCGTGAAGCTGTATCCATCTTCTTCAAAACATCTTCAAGTTTACCCCGTGTTTTGTCCACAAAGGGCCGCTTGGAAGACGAACCACTCTCATCGGCCGCAAGTTTATCTTTTGCGGCGTCGGGGATGGTAGGCGGAGTGAAGAACTTCACCTGATCTTCAGCCGGGAAACGAAAATAATCCCGTTCTCGATTGAGAAACGGCCGCCATTTATCAGTTGACATGATGCTGTCGATACGTTCCACGCATACCTGATCTAAGGGAAGTACGGGGAATATCTTATCGCTGCTAGATGCGGAGCCCGTCCTTCGCTTGAAAGATTTATGATCAGGCGGAGGGGGCTCATCAGCGGAGGGTAAATGAAGTACTCTTATCATATCCCTCTGTACTAAACGGAGCTCCGTTTCAGAGATAGACAGCCGCTGTAAACGGTCTGGTTCCTCGTCGTCATCGGATGACTCAGCCGATTGTGAGGGCCGAGTTGACTCCGGTGAACGAGCGCCGTCAGGAGGGGCGAGTTGTACCGAACCACGCGGTAGTGGCTGGACAACTTCCTCCGAGTCAAACTGCATAGATGGATGAATACTCAATACAGGCGGGGATCCCAGCGTACGCGGTAGGTCCCGCGGCCTCTGATCCACCCAACCGTGGCCCACGGCCGATGCATGCGAGACGCTCGCTGCAGGCCGGGCCTCCGGTGTACGGTCAACCACGTGCGGTATGTCCCGCTGTGCTTGGGCCACCCAACCGTGACCAACGCACGACGACTGTGAAGCCCTCACCGCAGGCGGGGACGCCGGAGCACGACTAATTGTGTGCGGTATGTCCCTCTGTTCCCGGGTCACCCAAGCGTGACCGGTGACTGAAGACTGTGATGCGGGCCCAGCGACCGATGGCTGTGGGCCGTAATCCACCGCTGCAGGGGGGCCCCCAATAGGGCCCGCCCGGCGGCCTGCCGACATAGCCGATAGCGTATCGGAAATTGACTGAAAAGCCAGCAGGAAATCTGCCCTAGAAACCGCGTCCTCCCCCCGGGAGCGTTTGCCCCGGCGGGACCGGTCAGAGGAGTCGTCAGACCCCGAAGAAGAACGATGTAATCGGCGTGCAGCCTTCTTCTTCTTACTCTTCTTTTTAGAAGAACGGCCCCGAGGTGTGTCCGAGGAAAACTCGGAAGACACCTGGGGCACCGGGACCCCCGAACAACGGAAAAATTCCGATGACGAGAGTAGTCCCTCTGAGCGAGCTAGCACGGGGGCCGTCGGCCCGGGATCCCCCGGGGCGATCGGCTCCGTATCGCTCATAATGCACCCGGCCGACAGCGCCTCAGGCCCCGTGGGCTGAGCGAGCGCTGGACGGACCGGTAGCCCGTGCAATAGCCCATCCCGACAACCAGTGGTGTTCGGCACTGTGTCGGGAGGGCACGGGTGACTAGCGCCCACCGAAGTGTGACGGCTAGTCCCCTCGGGCTGCCCCGTGACCGGGGGAGGGCTAGGTGCCAAAGCGGCGCTCGTTGCCGAGCCACGCTTGCCCTGACGGCCCTTCTTAGGCTTTGCTCCGGCACAGGAGATATGTTTTAGGGGAACCTTGCCGGAGTGTGCCTTTAGTTTGGGTGTTCCGCCCGAGTCGACCGGAGAAGGTGACCGAGGTCCCCTTAACTGATCGGCGGAACTGCCAACTCCCCCAGCCGACTGTGGCTGAGGGTGCCGGACGAGAGACTGCTGCCGCGGTAACGTCGGAGCGTTAACGGCAGAGTCCCCCGAGAACTCGGTCCGTCCCGTGGGAGAGCTATCCCTAACGGTTAATGACAGATCGGCCCTCCCCAAACGCTTCATATTTATGAAATAAATGAAACCCAGAAGATGATGAAACTCTACAAACTAATGTTATTATTAAATCTTTCATTAAATACTTCTCTTCAACGCAAAAAAGGGTAGTAAATGACGAGGCAAACAGCGAGCTATTTCACGCACGTCCTACCCGACCTGCCGCTAAGAGAAAAGAGGACGCTCACGAGGCACGCATGCCGCGGGGTGTTATGGGTAGGGCGCCGGAGGGCGCTATTGTATTTAACTCTTAGCGAAAATACCTGCCGGTAGGGGGAATATGCATAAGTAGTGTTGCTCTACAGGTAAGTAGAGTGAAGTAAACACCAAAGATTTGGATAAAACTTTGCCTTCATTAAAGTCTTCTGCCTACCTGTCTTAGTTGGAAGATCCCGCCAGTCAGAACCTCAGATTTATGTAGACACTCAACTGGTACGTAGTCGCCTTGCTCGTTCAACTCATGGATTTCACAGGACATCTCGATCTTACGGATCAATTCACCCCACCTGGAAAAGGAATGGCAGAATATTTGACCTAATTTCTGAAATAAATAACCTCATCTTTAAAATGCGACATCCAAACAATCAACACCAGTTAAAAGAAATAGTGTAGAGAGATGCATTGGTTTTCCAAATACAAAACATTGATTCTACACTTTACTGCAAGTTTGTTTCTATAAATTTTGTTTGGGCTCTCACCTATCCGCTAACGATCGCGACTTCGCGTTGAGGTTGTCGATTTCCCAGCCCGGTTTGGACGACGTGTTGAAGCCGCTGCTGCGATGTCCCCAGACCTCGATGGCGAGGGAGCCCTCCAGGGCATGCTCAATGAAGTCCTCCGATACGTTGACGGTAAACTCCTGAAAAAAAATATTAAGAGAAATGCTTACGACAACCAGACACGACAGGGGCCATCTTCACGGAACATGACATTAATGTTTGCTATACCTCATACATATTCATGATCGAGAGCCAAATTCTCACTAGTCCATTCGCCATCACGTGCCAGCCACTATTTTTGCTGTTTACCAAGCGCGCACGCAAATTGTATTCACGCACAGGGTAAATACGCATGCGTAGTAAACTACCGCATGGGTTACCCGTGCGACAGTCCACTACGCATGCGCTTTACGAAGCAATTGTGGAAATGTTGCACGGGTGTAGTATGCAGGCACGAACATCGCCCTAACTGTACACATGAAAAGATGGCGACACACATACAAATGTTATTCAGCATTTTCCCAAGCTCAATGATGCCGCACTGGAGAATATTGTGGACAATAACGATGCCTCCTTGACTAAAAAGGTGTCCACAATGCAGTAGAAACTGTTAATGTATTGCAAAAGAACTGAACTTTCCTGAGCTTGAGCAATATTCTTCTGGTTAGCTGGACAAGTTTCTCCACTAATTAAATGCCGAGGTTGCGTACTGCAACAGGAAAATTCGGCAACTGAATATGTAAGAGGTACAGTAAAACAAATACAACATGGTTTGAGGGTGGATAGTCGATATTTGCTCCCCTTGGTATTGGAAGTTGAAGAACTAATCCCCTCGGCTTCGCCTCGGGAACTAGTTTGTCAATTTCCAATACCGGTACCTCGGGGAGCGAATATCGACTATCCACCCTCAAACCATGTTATATTTGTAAAATACTGCTTGCAACTGGTTCTCATCTGCATTTCTGTTTAGTGCATAAATCTGCTTAGCAAATTTGCAAAGACCTTGAAAATTCTTGCCTCAAAAGGTTACCAACCAAATTGACATGGTTTCCATCTGATTTTTTTGTTGGGCAATATTTTCTGAGAAAATTGCTAAGCACAGAAAATATTTGCTTAGCAAAAAACAGGATACCAGCTGAAAATCCATACAATGTACATTGCCTGTGACTAGTTCTCTGCTGATTCATGATTAGCACGTGAATTTGCTAAGCAATATTTTTCTGCTTATCAGCTCCATGTAATTGGGCAGATCGAATGTTGGAAGCGTATACTACCATTTGACAGCTCAAACGCCAACGGCCCTGCAGCTTCCTACGTCTGCTGTAAACAACAGACGAATATTTTCTCTTGCACATCAGCACAGCTAATGCTACCACTAGACACTGGTAGTTAGGCACAGTGCTATTAAGGCCATTCTCTTTTCAGAGGGGCCAATGTGCTTTGTAAGGCATGGTGTTTAACGCTGTTCTCATTACAGAGGACAAGTCTACAATATTAGTCATGTTTACACAAATGCTGTTCTCGCTATGGAGGGGCAATATCAGACATGTTTAAAGGCTGTTCTTATTACAGATGGACCAGGAATACAATATCAGGCATGAGGTTTAGAGGCTGTTCTCATTACAGAAAGACCAGAGATACAATATTGAGCCATGATGTTTAAAGACGGTTCTCATTACAATGAGCAATACCAGGCATGATGTTTTAGGCTGTTCTTTATACGGAGGGGCCAATGTGTATAACTTAAGTCATGTGCTTTCAAGGCTGTTTCAAATACAGAGGGGCCAATGAACAGTAAGCAGGTCCAATGCTTTTTAGGCTGTTCTAAAAACACAGGGCGCCTTGCAACGTGTCAGGGACACTGCTAAAAAAAACTAATCTCAATACAGAGAGTGAAAGAGCAGTTATGTAAGGCCATTCTCAATCCAAAGGGGAAATGTGCATGAATATGCACGGTGCTTTTTAGGCTGTTCATAATTGAGAGCAATTTTACACGTAAGAAAATACTGCTTAGAAAATGTATGCGCTAACCAAAACTCAGCAAAGTACCAGTCAACATCAATAAGCACACTGTGGCAGTTTGGCCGGTAACCTATCTTCTGCTAAGCAATTCTCATCCCCGCTTAGCATACCTTGGTGTGGTTGAACCTCATGCTCCCTTTGCTGCCGTCCATGGGTCTCCCCGGCAGTTCCTCCAGGTCCGGATTGATGAAAGGCGGCACCACGGTGGGGCCGTCAAGACCCCAGAAGGTGTACTGACAGAAGACAAAATGGGCGAGGCTGGGGGGTAGGTCCGTGGCGTCTCGGATCTTGACCTGATGGTCAGAGGGGGGAGAAGATCAGTTGAATATAAATCTTCTCCAGGTGGAAAGAGGCATTGTGGTAAAATGTCTTGCCAAGAAACACAAGCACACGAGTTGGAAACTCCGACCATGGCTCTCCATGGTATATACTGGATATCAAAATATGTTCGGCATGACTTCCTGTCGACATTACCAGACAATGAAGTAAACATAGTAGAGAAATGAAGGAGTATAGAAAAGACTGCCCCAAAAGAGCTACGTACCTTGCACGTGAGCGGTGCCCCCACGGCCAGCCCCCCTTCAGGTTCGTGGTCTTCAAACCCCTCGTATCCGCTTGAGCTCTCGTTGCTGCTCTCTGATTGGCTGTCAAGGGAGTGATCCGAAGCTGGGATGGATCCGCTGATTCGCTGGATCTCAATGTGCAGCTTGCCAGCAACCTAACCAAAAACAGCAATATTGAATTTGAAACGGGGGACTATAAAAACTGTAAAAATCATAAACTCAGTAAACTTGGTAAAGTTTCTCATGAAAGAAGACATTGCCAATTAGAAGACTGCCAACATGGTGCTGGAAAGCTCACATTCTAATCATAATCAATTCATAATCAAGCTCCACCCACTTGAATAAACAAGCTCCGCCCGCTTGAACAATCAAGCTCCACCCGCCTGACTAATCAAGCTCCGCCCGCTTGACTGATCAAGCTCCGACCGCTTGACTAATCAAGCTCCGCCTGCTTGACAAAACAAGCTCCGCCCTCTAGACTAATCAAGCTCCGCCCGCTTGACTAATCAAGCTCCGCCCGCTTGACTAATCAAGCTCCGCCCGCTTGACTAATCAAGCTCCGCCCGCTTGACTAATCAAGCTCCGCCCGCTTGACTAATCAAGCTCCGCCCGCTTGACTAATCAAGCTCCGCCCGCTTGACAAATCAAGCTCCGCCAGCTTGACTAATCAAGCTCCGCCCGCTTGACTAATCAAGCTCCGCCCGCTTGACTAATCAATCTCTGCCCGCTTGACAAATCAAGCTCCGCCCACTTGAATACTAAAGTTCCACCCACCTCCCCCTGCTGGCTGATGACTGGCACGGCGTAGTCCAACCGCACGTCGTGAAAGAGAACCTCCAGGAAGATGTTAGCCACGCCTATCAGGCTGTGGTTCTCCTGCGACTCATAGAAAGGATCCTCACACACGGGGTCTTCAGCTTCCTGCTCAGTGGAGGAGAGAAATGAGAAACAAACACATTGAGGTCAAAGGTCAGGAGGACTGTGTGAATATAGTGGTCAGTGTACATGTACTTTCTTGGGTTTGTTGCCACAAGGAGTGGAGTAGAGAATTGAGAAACAAACACAAGGAGGTCAAAGGTCAGGGAGGATTTAATAACTAATTTTGTTTGTGTTAATTTACTCTCAAGAGTTTATTGCTTCCATAACGTATGCCAGTTTTCCCTGATCTCGGTTTCATCAATGAGGTGTATAGAACATAAAAGGCGTAGCATGTTGTGCCTACAGAGATACAAACGTCTAGACCAGCAGTTGTGTGCATCAAACCGTGATTTGGAAAAGTATGGGCAAAATGGTTGTTGATAGCGCGCGTAACTCCGCGACCCGCGTTCAATGCGAATAGTGTGCAGTGTGCTTACGTAAAAACCTGTATTGTACATGTACATGCGTTGGGGTTTTTTTGGAAAAAGGCTTTACTGCTCAAAATCTGCATGAAAAGTTTGGTACTGCGCTTTTTTAATCTTTTTGAATCAGATTTAGTATACAAGTGATCTTTTGAACTATCGAAAAATAAGTTCATTGAATTTCGTGACTGGAATTCTTTTAAAGAATTCCAGTCCAGTAAATTTCCTATACCGAGAAGGTGATTTGCCCATAGTTTGGATTTTAATCATTTTGAAATACTCGTTTTGAATAGGACCTGCGGTCTATGCGTTTATATGGCAGTGGTTGTGCCACAGTCAAGGAAAGAAGTTCCCAGAATGCATTGTGAGGCTGTGTCTGCATTACGTGGCTATAGACAATTATCATGTTGCGGCCATCTTGATTTTGTTCCCATCCAAATCAAGGCGAGGCTGGAAGGAAAAATAGTCTGGTTCCTTTTTTGCACAAAAATATCATCATTCGGTACTGTTATTGGATACAGGGAACATGACTGAAATGGTGGCAGCATGATAAAGGTCTATATGGCTTACAATTACACATGAGCCTATGGAAGCCACGTCCCACAGAAAAGTGTGTGTTTTTGCTGGTTTTAGCCAAGTTAACTTTGGACACAGCTTAAGTCTCAATGGTCTTAGACTCACATCCAGACTTGCCAAAGCCAGACTCACAAGTCCAAGGCCTTTATGATATCAAAAACAAACTTTGAAGTCTGGAATCAAGTCTATATTGCAGGAAAGGCTGGTATACAAATGGCAGAAATAAACTCTAGTTATTTCAAAATATATGATAATATAAATTGTAAGTTCTCTAACACCAAAGGATTGTACATGTAGATACCAAGTTTGAAGTTCAGAGTTCATCAACCATTGAAATATTAAATTGGGTTAGGAATTCCAAATTATAAAAAGAAAAAGATAAATTGATAGGGAAAAGGGTAGTTACAAATAAAACAAATGAAATAAAAAAAAAAATCAAGAGCAATCTGCTACATGTGCCCAAATAATAAATAAATGCCAACTGAATATACACAAATATAAAATGCCTAAAAAAATTATGTTTTTATTACATTGGAGACACGGATGCATATTCTTTCTACAATTTGCATACTGCATGGTGCGAGGTTGAAATTTTATTGTGGAAGTTTTTTAGAAAGTATGGATTATACACATGAATTTGGTGACGTACAGAAGATATTGAATCTAATGTAACACAAGACATGGCTCAATGCAATGCTTGGTCGATCAATATTTTGTATCATCTCCATGCAACAGTAATGGAGTACCGAAGTGAATATGTCACGCGCACAAAATGTGTGTGAAAGACATTAGCGCGTGCGCGTGATTCAGCCCGTGAACCAACATGCGCGCATACTCCATTCGTTTGCTCTACACTTTCTGGTTCTAAATGACGTCACACTTCGGTACTCCATCGATGCTAAAGCCATATACAAGAACGAAGGATGTGACTTTGCGTTTAATTATGTAAATGTTTAACAAATATTTTAGGAACCGTTTAAACGTTTAGTCATTCACAATGGCTGATACATGCTCATTATGTCTGCAGACCAACAATGGGAGTAAACGAAAACGTATAAACTTAACGACGTGTGCCCCGAAATGATAACATCATTGTGCTATGTACATGTAGGTTTCTTAAAACTTCAAGAAAGACTGCATGAGCGGCGAGCATAGGTCCTTTTTTATAATCAGGGTTTAGTTTAAACGTTTGTGGAAATGTTGTGAAGAAATTTAGAATTGTTTTCATTTTAACGTTTAAACGTGTAAATGTCACATCCTTATTAGCAAACCAACTTGAAAAACATTTACACAATGATATTACTACATCTATCATTACACTGTACAATATGAACAAATACAACTTAAATGTAAATATAAACATATTCAAACACGAACAGACTAATACAGTTACGGGCTCAATTGTGCACAAACTGCACTCCCCTAAATCCATTACGCATACAATGCGTATGCGTTTCATTTTCATGGATGCGGAAAATTCAGTCTGGCTGTACCAGTACGTGTCCCTTTTCATATGTACGTATACCGTACGGTGCGTGTCCGCTGCAATCCTCTGTCAAAATCGCTCAATGGAGCGATTTAAATGGATACACAAAGCATGTGGAACATATGCGTCACGAATAAAAATATGCGCATGTGGTAAAGAGTCTCTACAGTAAAAATATTAAATGCTGCTGCCAATGCAGGGCGCTTTCCTGGTATGCAGTGATTTTTAGTACACGATAATTGCACGCGTGAAGCCAGTGATAATTTCGCTTCTAGACAGGCTCCTGACCTCCTTATGAAGCCTACGACATTGTGGAGAGATTGGGAACAAGCCTACTTTAAAGCGAGGCAAAAAGTTGCGGCCCAGTAAATTTCATCAAATCGTGCCCCCCCCCCCCCCAAAAAAAATGACAGTAGAAAAGAAAAAAACAAGACTAATGACACAATCATGGCTTTGTGCATGCGTCACAAACAAACTTTTGGACAAGTTTCGGACTCCATGCAAATAGAGAAATAGGCAAAGTTGTCACCTTGGACTTATTGGTTGATGGAAGTCCAGGGGGGTGGCGGGGTTTGGGCAAGAAATAATCCTGTGTTCGGATACAACGAGAATAAGTGTCAGTATGAAATGTAAACCGCAAGAACTACTGCAGTTTTCTTTCCGCATACAGTAAACTCCGGCTAGACCGACATTGCACAACTTGTCAAATCGCTGAAGTCGGCCTGCACTGCATGCATTGGTGTCGAAAAAGGGTGTCCTACTGCATACCACTACGCGGCGCTATAGGATCTTTGCTGCATACATGTACATCGCATATGCATCGTGAGCATATCAATACCAGTACCCCCTTTGGGCTGTACGCATGCACTCTATCCATTTTGGGGGTTGTCTTATTGAATGACTAGTGCTGCAGTCAATGCGTGCGTGGTATATACCGGACCACGCCGTTACTGTGCACGTACACATGTATCGTGGTCTCCACTATCAATACCCCAAACGTGATGATACAATTCAAAGATTAATTTGCTGGATTCAACTCGAGCATTAAGGAGATAATCCAGGGTACATCGAAGCCAATTAGTGCAATGAATCATGTGTGCAAAAGATCATGTAAGTCGGCAAAATGACGACTTATAGCATATATCGGCATTCGCGTAAGTCGTCACAAGTTCTCGGGTCCCGAGAGTGCCGGTTTAGCCGGAGTTTACTGTAGATCAAAATGGAACGGTTGTAGAAAATAAACTCACAACTCAGGGACATTTTGGGGGGGAAGGGAAATTCCAGAGGATAAAAAGGCCTCCTTTGTTGAGGACGAAAACACATCATTCAAATCAAGAATGTCAAGTCTATAAACTACTAGCTGTGAATGTGAGCTCTTTTAGCAAGTAAAGCAATGTGCTCTTTGGATATTCATGCTTTTGTCTTGTCAAATGTAAGACCAAACATTTCAAAAAATTGACTGACAATTTACAACATAAGTCTACATACACTACAAAGTTAACATAATGAACTGAAGAAGGTTTTCCAAAAAAAATTAACATTTATGCATGGTCCTCTTGTAAACTGTTCATCAAAAAGCAATTCTTCATCATTTGCTTGGCAACGCGGCCTTACATCCGGCCTGCTCAATTGAAATTATCACGAACCCAAGTTTATAAAAGTGAAACGCCGCTATAACGAACACCGCTATAATGAACATTTGGCTATAACAAGCATCCTCTTTGGTTCCAAAATAGTAAATTATATTATAACGCACAATCACTATAATGAAGAAACAATTTTTATGGACCCAATAGTATTCGTTATAACAGCATTCTACTGTACCTACCCAAACATTTGTAGCCAAAACAAAAAAAATTACTATGGAATGCATTTGATTAATTTTAGTCCAATAATGCCACTTTTTTTTAGAAAATAAATGTGTGGTGGAATACACAATGAGCAGCCATCTTGAATCTTTACAAATAAGATTGTGGAAATCACTTGTTAAGCAGCATGCATATATATATGTGATGTCATTTAACCAGTTCACGTCGGATGACGTGTATACACGCAAAGGTTTTGTGGTATTCGGAATAGATGATGGATAAACATGAACGAGCGAGGCCAGAAATATCTGTCAGCGACCCGCTCGCAGTGCGTGAGGCCAGAAATATTAGGGTGTGCTACTCGGAACCCCTCTGGCATCGAGGTTCGTGAAAAGCAATCCCGCGCCTGTCTCTGGTCAATGTCAAAGTAATCCCGGCGCGAACTGGTTAACATACAAATAATAGACTTGCAAAATGACAATTCCAAATGCTGGTTGTCATGGTAACACAATTAATGTTCCCTTCGCAAAGTTACATCATGCAGACAGTTCAGAAGCCAGGTATTAAACACCAATTTTTTGTAAAAATATTTATGAACTGTTTTATTTTTTTTTTTACAGATTTATTCAACATACTATATAGGACCATGCAGTGCAATGAGGTCACGTGATGTACAAAACAAAGGTCAAAATTTAAGGTCAAAGTTCAAGGGTCACCTGCAGAGATAGAATCCCGGCTAGGAAATCCTGACAAGCGAAATGGGTTAGTGGAGAGAAAGACAAGCGTTAGGTTAGGTTTACTAAGACAGTTACTGATTACATTTGGCTATGAATTAGTATTACAATATACATACACATACATGTATGATAATGGTTCTCACTTGCTTAAGCAGGTTTTAGTAGCAAGAAAAGAAAACTTTTACCATCTCAGCCCCATTTACCAAGATACATGTACATTGTACACAGCCCTATACTATGGCCACGCACTGGAGTAGACTGTGCTGTAGGCCATACAAATGTGAGCACTAATAGTTAAAAAATGATGTCATTTTTTCCATGGAAATATTTCGACTCATATCGGTACTCGGAAAGGGGGTTCACCTACCCATACGTTTCAATATTTCACCAAAAGTAGGACGTCCTCATGCTTCCTTCTGATGAGTAGGACATCCAACAGCCGTTGGGTCAGCAGTACATTATGCATACACAGTACAGTCCATTGACCCGACGGCAATTGGATGTCCTACTCAGCGTAAATAATCGAGGTGCCCAGTGATCGGGTCTTCTGATCGATCCCCGAATGTGATTTATTTTCCCGCATATGATACGGCCATAACCCAGGCATGGCGTACTTCACGTGCATACATTAACGAAAGCGAATTCTTTTGGTCGGGGAACCAGACTAGTTTTACTTCACTCAGCTGGGCGCGCCGTGAACTTCCATTTTGGTGGGCAACTTAAGTTTTAATTTCACCAGAAGGAAGTCCTAGTTTTGGCGAAATATTGAAATGTATGGGTAAGTGAACCTCCTTGCCGAGTATGAGTTCAAAATATTTCCATGAACAAATGACATCAGTTTAACTTAGTTACTCAGTACTCACGTTTGTATGGCCTTCAGCATAGAGTCTACTCCAGTGCGTGGCCATAGAACAGGGCTACATTGTACACTGTAACTTCAAAGTTTTCCATAAATTTAATGCTTATGCCACATCTTGGGGTATACCAGCAGTGCGAATGTTCAAAATAGGGGTGTATGTACATTTACGGGTAGTACAGGAACCGGGTACCGGATTGAGGGGGAAAAATGGTACCCAGGTAGCCGTTAAAACAAACCAATCCCAAAATTCAAATACCAGAAGTTGCTGTTCAGGTTGTTCATAAAGGTCCGCACGATAATACGACCACATCGGTGCTTGAATACAGCAAGATACAAGAGTGTACAGTAAGCATATCTTTATGGTGTTAACTGCAACTTTCGACAATCGTGGAAAATGTTTTGTTTTCCCATTTTGCCTGGTTTTCATTTTGAAAATTCCCCCAAAAATGACATTCAATACCTTTCTTTTTCATTGTCTGAGAAGTTACTAAGTAATTTGTACTTCTGATACACAGCCCCAGTTAAGAAAAAAATGTATGTGGGGTAATGGAGTTACCAACTAATGTGTGACATTTATGGCACTGAAAAGGCAAACTACTGTACGATGCAGAGGCATGCAAGCAAGGAGCAAATGTCAATAAATCATAATGGGGATGATGGGTGCGTTCGAGTAGCTCACCCGGGTCGACTCGGGTAAAGGCAGACGGGGTTAGCCATGACAGCCGGGCTAATGGAACGCTCAACTGCAGGCCATCACGATCCTCATGTGATGCCCGTAGCCGTAGCCACTGACAACACGCCTGTTTCGGATTGGGCCTTAGTTTGAGATTTACTGCTTTTCAGTCAATTGCCGAACTCCAAAAAAAGTCGGGCTGGAATTATAGCCTCAAAATTCGCAGTGAACTCAATAAATGATTACCCTTTAGACTTCAAAGAAAGTGAATTTTTAAGTCCACTTGAGATTTCCGCTGTCCGGCCGCCACATTTGTCCATTGCTTGGAATGAACAAAGCATGCATGTGACGTATTTCCACCAGTGACTCTGCTCATGAGCAGGGTATGTGGTGACTGACCTGGGTGAGCCCCGAGAATGACGTCAGAGCTAATCGAACGGCGTCGACCTGGGTGAGCTAAACAAACGCACCCAATGACATGAAGAAACCACCACGGAAAGGACAAGGAAGGTACATGTAGAAGAACAGACAGTGATGTAAATGGCGATGATGATGAGGATAATGGTTACAATGAGAAGGTGACACAACATGGAGGCGATGTACATGTAGAGAAGGATGACATCAGCAAGTACGGTACAAGGACGGTAACAGAACTGACAATGACGAAAGATACTCATGACAAAAAAGACAAAAGTCCTATGAAAAAGATGTGACGTAGAAGAGGGGATGATGTTGATGATGATGAAGATGACAAAGAAGATGACGTCACTGACATGACGATGGGTAACAATGGCAGGATTGTGACAATGACAAATCAAAAGTGACATTCAGGAGCTGTCATCATGGTTTGAAATTTCTTCTTCATGACATAAGGGACAGATTTTTGACACATGGTGTCATTCGTTAGTCTCAATGTGCAGTGTTAAACACTACTCTAATCTGCCTAACGTGCTGTCAAATAAGTATGGCAAATGAACAGGGGTATACAAGTGCACGGCAGCAAACAGAGACCAAATCTGGCGAACAGCCCCAGGGACAGACAGGGTGACAAATCCCAGAACAAATCACCTGAGACTCAAAAAAGGAGAGCTTGCGAGGCCGCATCGGTCCATCCTGTAAATGAGGAAGGACATGTCATGGAAGGTCACGGAGGTGAAAGATCAGTCGCATGAATTGGGGTCATGGGTCAGGGATCATGAATTCTGGGGGTCATGGGTTCAGGGGTCTTTTAAGCCATGGATCATGAGGTCAGTGATCATGAGTTTAATGGTTCCTGGGGTCAGGAGGTCAGGGGTCATGAGTAAGGAAGTCAATGGAGTCATGGTGGGTCAAGAGGTAAATAGCTCAGTAGATCAGGTCAGGGTCATCAGGTCAGGGTCATGGGGTCAGGAGGTCGAGCTCAGGAAGTCAGGTCATGAGGTCAGGTTGGGAGGTTGAGATGTCAAGTGGTCAGGAAGTCAGGAGATCAGGAAGTCAGGAGATCAGGAAGTCACGAGGTCAGGAGGTTCGGAGGCCAAGTCAGGAGGTTGGAATGTCAGGAGGTCATGAGGTCAGCTGGTCAGGAAGTCAGGTCAGGAGGCCAGGTCTGGAGGTTGGGATGCCAGGAAGTCAGGATTTCAGGAAGTCAGGAGGTCAGGTCAGGAGGTTGGGAGGTTAAGATGTCAGGAGTTCAGGAAGTCAGGAGATCAGGACATCAGGAGGCTAGGTCAGGAGGTTGGGCTGTCAGGAGGTCAGGAGGTCAGGAAGTCAGGAGGTTGGGATGTCAGGAGGCCATGTCAGGAGGTTAGGATGTCAGGAGGCCAGGTCAGGAGGTTGGGATGTCAGGAGGCCAGGTCAGGAGCTTGGGATCTCAGGAGGTCAGGAAGTCAGGAGGCCATGTCAGGAGGTCAGGAAGTCAGGAGATCAGGAGATCAGGAGGTTGGGATGTCAGGAGGTCAGGAGGTCAGGGTCATGAGTTCAAGACTCTTGAGGTCAGAGTTCATTCACTATGAAATCATGGAAAGGGTACATGTCACTCTATTGAATTATCGATCACATGACAAGGGGAATATTTTATGGTTTCAAACAAGGAATTGTGGGATATTAATCACACTCACTCGTGCTGATTAGTCCGATTAGATTAAACATTGATCAAATTTGTATCTAATATGCATGCTAATTTTTCATAATAAAAAACTAGTACTGCTTGCAAAATTATGTATTCTGAGGGGACTATCAAGGCTTCCTAAAAGTACCGACTGCCTTGACTTGTTCCAAGAAATTTGCTAGACACTAAAGAGAATGTTCAGAAAATGAAAGAAAAGATTCAATGCTTTTTTTTTTTTGAATTAATGCCTTCTGAAAGCTTCACAAAGAACTTTGTCCAGGAAACATTTTAAAAATTCAAAGTCTCAAAATTTAAACAAGAGAAGGCCGTCAACTCACTTTGAGTGGTAGACCTTTCTGTACATATGGGCAGGAACATTAGAAGGCCATTAACTTTCTTTGAGTGGTAGACCTTTGTCTATAATGTGGACAGGAACATTAGAAGGCCATCAACTCACTTTGAGCGGTAGACCCTTCTCTTTCCTCTCGTTGTACATCTCCCGCATGTCAATGATCTTGTTCTCCAACTTCTCCACCGACCAGATCTGGGTGCCTCGGTCCTTCCTCTTGACTTGGATGGCCGGCTCGCTGACAATGGCTCCTCGCTGGGAAAAAAAACAAACCACCAAACAATATCAACTTATTTGTAAAGCAGGATATTCTTTCCATTTTTGAAGTCGAGTCCATGGCAGGTCCATCACAAATTTAGGGCTAATTCTGTCAAACAAAATGTAGTGCGTTCATCTTGAAGGATGTTCTTTATAGTGATCCCTGTTAGCTATTTTCTTTGCAGCATTGCTAATGTTGCTAGCATCAGGACTTTGGGCACGATCCCTGGCTACATGGAATGTACATGTTTATGGCTTCTAACTAGCACTCCTTGGACAACAACATTAAACAATTGGGGAAACCTAAACATGGGCTCAATCCTGAGGTCGCAGGTTCAAACCCCGCTCCAGTCAATTTCTCTGTTTGGCTTTGAAAAAAATTATTTGAATTTAGTAACTATGAATGCACCAAATGTCTATTCGTGCCTATCCGAGCTGTGCAAATGCATTGCCCACGTAAGCCCGGTTCATACTTCACGTGAAAGCGAAAGCGAAGCGGAATTCGTGACGTCAACAATACATTCGAAGCGCGTCCACCATTGTTGACGACATGAATTTCGCTTTGCACAAGCTTTCGCGTGAAGTATGAACCGGGCTTAAGATGGCCATTATGCATCAGGTCTATTCTCATGAAGTAAATGAATTCACTCTTTACTTTTCTGTTTGGAGTAAGGTTGCAGGCTGGTATCTGCAACGTGACTCTGAACTCCGTCAGTTTGCCCATCTCCTCGCCCAGGAAGTTGGCTTCTCGGACCAGCGCGTTGGCTTTGACGACTTCCTCCCGTAGCCGGGCTAGACTCTGGCGGAATAGCTCGTCTCTGAACAAACAGAAAAAAACATTGCGAGAGTCCATGCAACTTATCAAAATTCAAAACAGGCTGGTGAAAATTTGTGTCTATATAGGCTCTGTGCGCGAACCCCAGAGGGCGCTTGGAAAAAAAAACTTTGGGGAGTCCCGTGTACGGGACACACCCTGCTTTTGCACATATAGTGCGAAGTATATATGCACGACTTATTCCGTTCTGAATGTGCACAAAACAATAGCGTCCTCGCGTGAGCGTCAGGCGTTGTCAATGCATTCAAATATCACTCTAAGTGGTCTCCCCCAACTCTCCCTTTCTTACCGTTGAGGGGGTACGTGTGCACGGAGCCCATAGACTCTTTGCAAGATCTATGAGCTACACAGTGTGTAAAAAAAAAAAGGACACTTGCTTTTATAATACCTGCACTGGTTTGCGCACGAGAGTGGCATCAATGAGTGCACCGTTACTAGTATGTAGAAAAAGAAAATTACTGCATTTGGGCTGAAATATGAGTGAAAAGTGAAAGTTTAATAAGTTTTGGGATAAATGGGTTAATAAACATTTCCCCCATGACTGAACTTAGAAGTTGTACTCAAATTAATTTATTGGAATGCATGTTTTAATTTCAATGATGAATTAGATTCTTATATTTCACAATGGTGTGATTTGTGGATGATTATAGTACATTTTATGTGTGTAAAAGCTTAACTGATTGGAAAGTCTGGTTCCTGGCAGGCAACATAAACTTGTGAATACAACTAAAACATAGTCACCTGACTGGTGGGGTTTTTCAACACTTTTTATCTAGGCTTTCTAATAATAATACTAATAATACCGAAGTCTTATATAGCGCACGTATCTACCAACAATTAGGTACTCAAGGCGCTGAAAATTATGTCTATTATTAGAGACAGGTAAATGAAGTACATGAGAAATATGAGAACCATTATGTAGGACTTTTATAATGGTTTACAAGGTGCTGCGGCGCATTAAGCAGCCACTGCCAGAAACACCAGGGCAAACCCCTTCTCTTGGCGATAAGTGTTACTGGGTTCTTTAACGTGCATTACACAACACACGGGACCTACGGCTTCACGTTCCATCCAAAGGACGAAGCAATAATGGTAAAGTGCCTTGCTCAGGAGCACAAGCACCATGTTCCCACGGTCAGAATTCAAACCCGTGTACCACGGCACACGAGTCGAACACCGTAACCACTGGACCACAGCACCCCACTAGGACTAGTATTAACGAATGATGACCATAAATAAAATGAAAATATACCCTGTATTAAAATGATTGAGAATTTGGTTCCTCACTTTTAATCTAATGGTTAAGATGAGGATCCAGAAATGGTTGAAACAATGTTATTAACCAGCTAACGCTGGAGGATATGTAAAAAGGATTTGGCAATGTATATTCACAGGGGCGGGTGACACATTACATCATCAAGCTTTCCCTGAGTATCCGGCGTTGGACGTGTATACATGTCAGTGGTTCACATTGCTTTTGTACACACTGCGTTTTGAACTTGAACTTGGCCGCTGTACATGGCCTGTCGTCAAGCAAATAGCGCTCTGTGGCAGGGCCTCAGGGTGTTGCAAAATATGACTTTAAAGTGAGAAGTATCATATAAATATTGTACATATGACTCTCAAGAGTCAGTATATGTGGTGTTCGACTTAATACAAAATTTGGCCAGTACATATTGTCTTTTTTTCAAAAATGGTGTTTTTCGGCCGAAAATTATCCCGGCGGCAAGTGGTTAAGTCTCTCTACTGTTGATTTACGTGTAACAAATTGTGACCCCCTCTCGTGTTTTGCTTTATGGATTTGATTGGTTAATGTTGATCATGTGATACCAGGGGATGGCCATGATGGCGGAAAAAAAGGAAACCTTCTTGACTTACTCAAGCCGGGAAGAGGGAGAGGCATTAATAGGAGAAATACTAGGACTGCAAAAAGAGAAGTTACATGTAGATATTTAAAAGTACTAAAAGAAACTAAAAAGTACTACAACGGACCTGAAACTAATGAATGGCTGAACCGAGGAGTTACAGAACAAAAACGTAAAATTGTTTAACACTTAACTCTTAACAATTTTTTTTAGAACCCTATTACATATACTGACATTTTGAAGGAAAAAAGTCATCTCATTTTCAAACATCTTCCACACATTTTCTAAAATCCCAAACAAATTTCAATTATTTTTTTCAACAAAAAAAAAATGTAAAATTAAAAAGATGGGATTCCAACCCCACAAATTATATTTTTGTTGCAAAGTACTCAAAATTTGTTTCTTAAGATCCCCAAAATATTTTTATATAAACAACTAAAACAAAATTTTCAAGAGAAAGATCTATCAAGCTCAATTATTTTTAAGACCAGAACGATTAATTCTTGACATAATTTGTGATGTACGTTAAACCTTTCAAATTAGGTAACACATTTTTAAGTTGTTAAAGATAGATAAATTGCCAATTTTTGTTTCCCCTTCATACCTTTCCTCAGCCCACTCCTTATACTTCAGGTTCTGTCCCGCATCCATACTGGCCTCGCTACCAGGGCTCTGATCCGAGAAGTAAGCCGTGTCCGTCCTCTCCATGGCTTGCCGCGGCATCAGTTGCTTTCTTAACGTCTCCAGCTCGCGCTCGTACTTCTCGCGTTGCTTCTCGAGGGCGCCCTTCTTGTCCTTCTGGTGCTGCGACTCCAGGAGCTGCATGGCGGCTTGGACGGGATCTGATTGGTCGAAAAAAGGCAAAGGAAATATTTTTATTTGATACCGGATTTTACCCTTCAACGCCATTTTGTTTGACTTTATACATGTACATGTATGCTCACTGCTGACCTACAGCTTGTGAGAAAATTTCACAAAAAAAACAAGCTTTCAGTCGGCAGCGAGTATAAAGAATTTCAAGGTCAGTCAAGGATCGTCACAGGTTGCCATGGTAACCTACCATTTGTCATTTCTTTCATCATGACTTCATTCTGGGCGTAGACGAAGTCGTAGTTGGAATTCTGGGGCTCCACATCTGGCGTTGATGCACCACTCGATCCTACCAAATAATGGACAAGAGTTCAGAGGGTCAAAGGTCGCAACTCACAGGTCAACTTTTTAAGTGCAAAAAATTAAAGACAGAATTTAGCTGTTCAAAAATTAAGAGCAATAGTCCAAAAACAAATGAACAATGGTATTTCAAAAAAAGCAAAACCTAGGACAAATTAAACGACAAATTTGCTAATCTGTATTGAAAGTAAATGCTCAAACGTGCCCTCTACTGACCATTAAGAATAAGCTCAGGAGACCTAATCTGACTACCTACTTCACTGAGAATGTAGCAATTAAAGATTTGAGTTTACGTCTTCATATAAATGTGCAACTTAACTCCTATTTACTTTATAAAAAAATATTAAGGTTGCCTTTAAATTTAGTTTACTCCCCGGTTAATGCCGGTACCCATTTATACTCCTGGGTGGAGCGAGGCAAGTGGGGGTGAAGTGGCTTGCCCAAGGACACAACATATGTCCAGCAGCTGGATTCGAACCCCTGATCCTCTGATCATGAGTCACGAACCCTAATCACTAGGCCTCACTCCCCACCGACACTTTTTGTGGCACTTCAAAATATATTTCAGGGCACTGTTAAAGTCAAACTTTATTTGTTTTGCTTTTCCAAATACCCGTTTTGATTTGAGTTTTTTTTGTTTTGTTTTTAGTGTTTGAGAGTGTCAAATGTTATGAGTTTTAGAATTCTTACCAACTCCTGGAGGCCTGGGGCAGTTGATACGGAAGAAGTGGTAGTTGCCTAGTAGTATCCTGTCGCCATGTCTTAGGCCTGTCCGGTCCGTGATCGCTGAACCGTTCACGCAACATCTGGGAAAGATATAGCAGCGGTTATCGTAATAATACCTTGTGAATGTTGTGACTTGTTTAACTTACTCTAGAAAAATAGCTGTTTTTATGCTGAATATGGAGTGGAAAATTAATTTCAAAGATTATATAAACACCGTGGCTATTGTTACGGCAGTCGACAGTCTGGTTCCCTGACCTGACAATAATCCACATCTGGATATTTTGGTCTCGGAACCAGACTATCAACTGAATGGTTTTCGGACTTTATTTCCTTTAAAAAAAAAGGAAATCCTCCAAAGCCAATGATCACTTTAAAAAAAAAATAAGAAATCTTCTTCAATAAAAAATAGGATTTGATTCATAACATAAAAGTAAAGAAATTTTTCAAAGGGGGGGGGGGGGGGGGGGTGGGGGAATCTCCGAACAATCGGACTCGATTCCGATACCTTTGGCTTGGCATGGTAGTCCAACGTTGACCCAACCGAGCTACCAATGGGCTCTGGTTGGAATTGCAGGTATAAAAGTGATATTGATTCCCAATAGTCTTTTTGCGATACCGTAACGATAGCCATTGAAATTTACGTTATGATTACCATAATTAGAGCCACTACTCTATGTAAAACGGGTTAGCTACGCCATCACCCGAGCTAACTCTAAGATTCTGTGGTGAGAAAGGATTGATCGTGTCTGTCTTTCAGTCAGGCAGACGATCTGTTTGTTGGTCTGTCTCACTTACTTGGCTCCGTCTATGGGTATTAAGTACACGTCCATTTCATTCTCGACGTCGATGATGCAGTGTTGGGGCATGATGCCAAGACCGTTAAGCTGGATGTCTTGTTTCTTGTCTGAGTCGACTCCTCCGACCAATGTGTGCTCCTGTTACAGAAGATAGTAAAAAGAACATCACATTATAGACCAGGGACTGCAAACTGATATATAACAGTGTTTGTGATTGGTTGATGCTGAAACCATTTAGCTGGGTGTCCTGTTCCTTGTCTGAGTCCATCCCACCAACCAATGTGTGCTCTTGATAAAGAAGATGATACAAAATACATTTAATTTTGGAACAGGGAATCCAAACTGACATATAACAGTGTCTGTGATTGGTTGACCCCAAGACCATTCAACTGGATGTCCTGTTCCTTGTTTTAGTCAACCCCATCAACCATTGTGTGCTCCTGTTATAGAAAATGGTCAAGGGTACATTGTATTTCACAATAGGGAATCCAAATGGATATATAACAGAGTCTGTGATTGGTTGATAAAAAAGACCTTTCAGAAACACATGGTTGATTCAAGATTGCAGAAATTGAGTAACCAAAACCAAAAGTTGAACTTATGAGCTGTTAGACTGTAGAAAGTGACTTTTGTAAGAAATGTAAGAACTAATGATCCTGCATCTGTAACACTGAAATGCCTTAATCCTTCAAACTCCAACGGGATGTTTTTGGAAGATTTTGTAGGATTTAGGAATGCTGAGCCCAGCCACTATTACTTTACACAGAGCTGGATGCCCCTTGAAACTTGGTAGGTACAAAGAGTGTGCCATTGGGTTCCTGCACAGTGGAGGATTTTGTAGGATTGAGGAAAGTAGAGTCCAGCCACTATTACTTTACATGGGGCTTGATGCAGCTTGAAACTTGGTTGGTACAAAGAGTGTGCCATTGGGTCCCTGCACAGTGGAGGATTTTGTAGGATTGAGGAAGGTAGAGCCAAGCCACAATTATTTACATCAAATTGATGCCCCTTGAAACTTGGTAGGTACAAAGAGTGTGTCATTGGGATTTCTCGTATGAATGACGGGTTCTTAGGATGAAGAATTTCACCTTAAGGTAGTAGACCAGTAGTTCGTTCAGCGACGGATCGGCGTTTAGGTTGACCAGGAAGCATCTGTTGCGCTCCACTTTGATTCCGGAGGTCTGGACGGAGATTCCCATCTTCTCAAGAGTTTGTTGCCGTTCCTGTAATAAATGAAAAATTTTAGAGCCAAGTTTTGACCACAAAAAATGTAAAACAATGGACGGAAGGTCATTAGTTGACTAGTAGTTGAATTTGAACAGACCGTATTTTGTGCTTGTGTGCTTATATGGCAGTAATTACTTTTAGAACCACCCTATTTTGTTGCCATTAGAACCACCCTATTTTGTTGCCATTGCTTTTTGTACAGAAGTCGACCGAATGGTTCTTGAACTTTACTTCCCTTTAAAAAAAATTGTTTAGTGTCATGAATCAGAAAGAAAAATTTAATCTGGCTTTCACCAACTGTTAAGGCGAGTTCAAAATGTAAGATTGGGTTTTCATTCTCTTAAGCCATGTAAGCACGGTTCATACTTCATGCGAGTGCAAATCGAACTTGTCTTCAAGAAGAAATTGACGCCGCGGAATTTGCTGGAGTTGAAACGTATTCAACTTTTGCGAATTCTCAACACCAAAACTTGCACTGATGTCACAAATTCGCGTTCACGTTCGCTTTCGCGCCTAGCAGAAATTCGCGTTCACGTTCGCTTTCGCGCCTAGCAGAACCGGGCTGGGAAAGGGGTCCTAAAAGTAAGTAATGCCACTAATTTTATGGAGCGAATGTTTCAATGGTCTAAAATTTTATATGCACAGATCATAATAGCTGCAGTTTTTAAGTAACAACGTAGGTTACCTTATGAACGTGTTCCGTCTTGAGTAACTTGTCCTCCCAGCTTAGCGTCATCTCTCTCATCAGCTTCTCCGATTCTGCTAGCCTTTCCTTCAACGTGTCTGCCTTCATACTCTGCAGACAAAACAAGAAAAGAAATGGCACCAATTTCTCCGTTACCTTAATTGTGGCTTTACTTGTGATAAATTAACCAACAACGCTGTTTCAAAGACAGATTTCATTGGCTTTTCCACATAGTTGCAGAAAAGCCTTTGTTTTTGTTCTGATTTTTTTTCTTTCCCTTTTTTTTCTTTTTGTTCTAACCCAAATCCCATAGACTAAAACATCATAATGGGGAAAAGCCCTATGTTCTGTTCATCTAACAGATGTAGATCTAGTTTGTATTTGAAAGCAATGTTAAGTACGTCTGTGAAAATTTTACCCAATAAAGAAAAGCATTTTTTAATTATCATAAATTGTAATACTCAAAGAATAAGCACTTTTTCCAAGGAAATATCTCAGTTTCTGCCAACCTGCGTTGCACAACTTTCTCCAGAATAGTACTCGGTATTTAATAAAAATGGTGTCATAAAATTTACAAACCCTCAGCCAAAATATTTATTAAGGCTATTAACTATAGATATTCACTACAGGAAAAAGGAATTTTAAAACTTACAATGAAATATTATTATGTATGTTGCTTACCACTGCTTCTTTCAGCTGCTTTTTAAGGGAGTCCACTTCTTCCCTAAGTTCCCGGATTATCTGAGGAAAAAAAAAACAAATCAAAGATGATAACTTCTTGGAATGGTTTGTACACCAACCATACGATGGAGGAACTTTTGGCAGAATTTTTTGGCCAGCGTCGATTAAATCAATTGCTATGTCCTCATTTCACCTTACATAGGAAAGTATGATAGCAGAAGATGGCCCAATTTCATAAACCAGCTAAGCGGAAAAATACTGCTTAGCAGCAAAAACAGATTACCAGTCAAAATGTCACACAATGTACATTGCTTGCTACTGGTTCCCGGCTGATTTTGCTCAGCACATCAATTTGCTAAGCGTGGAATGTACTTGCTTAGCAAAAACAGGTTACCAGCCAAAATGTCACACAATGTACATTGTTTGTGGCTGATTCCCGGCTGATTCTTGCTAAGCACAGAAAATTTGCTAAGCCCGGAAAATATTTGCTTAACAAAAACAGGTTACCAGCCAAAATGTATATGTTGAGGTGTATGGTTTGTGGCTGGTTCTCTGCTCATTTATGCTTAGCACATAAAATTGCGGGTAATATTTTCTGCTTAGCAGCATCGTGAAATTGGGCCCTGGTGAGAACCAGTTACATGCAGTATACATTTCATGACAATTTTAGCTGGTTACCAGTTTTTGCTTAAGAAACATTTTATGTGCTTAGCCAAAAACCAAAAATATTCGTGGGCCTGATGTTTCGGAAAATCAAGATGGCCACTCACTCTAGCATTAGGATCTTCATTGATGACAGCGTGGTTGACAATTCTCTTGGCCCTGTCTGCGTATCGTAGCGTCGATAGCGTCTCTTCGTAGTTATCGCTGGAGGGACTGATCGTAGCCACCATGACCGTTTTGCTATTGCCTCCTAAACACTCCTGGAAATATGGAATGTTGTTTTGAAAACTGTCAGTAAGAAAAAATTCAAATTACTTAAAGCCAGAGTCCATCATTTGCAGCTATCCAAAAAGTAACTGGCGTAATTATTGTTGAAAAACATTCTTGGCTGAAAGACAGTAAGGGGACTAAACTCCCTGTGAAATTAATCTTTCTGGCAAGCTGTCATATTGAAGAAATCAACGAAAGAAGGCCTTTCCAACGGTGCGTCTTAAGAAGCACCGTTGGAAATTTCTGTTAGCCGTTCGTTTTTTCATTCGGCGAAGCGCGCGCAAGCGTTGACACTACGCACACGCGCGCGCGGTTGCTATAATTCGTCGGATCGGTGCGCGACATCGCGTAGCTGCAATCGGCTAGTGAGAACGTGTCTCGGACGCTGAATTCAGGCCCAATTCAAAACATGATTCAGCAACTTTTGATTTGAAATCAAGATCCTAGAAAGTTGTTTTTCTCGAAATATACAGCTGAAAATGAGCTAAAATTTCATCAGGTTAGTTGTTCAGCACCCTTCTTTAGATTTTGAGCACTTTTGTTGCTTCAAACGAACAAAATGCACAAATTATAAATGATGGACTATACCTTTAAGTTGACTGTTATTTGTAATAAGTTGATGGTTTATTCCAAGAATTTTTCTCGGTTGTGAGACGTTTTCCTTACCTTCAGTAACCACGTGAGTACCGAGTCCCGATAAGGCACAAATGTGTTCTTCTTCTTCCCTTTCATGGGTACTGACTGGTCGGCTAGCGCAGATATAACAAGACCTAGCGTTGTGAGCGACCTGAAAACATAAGCAATAAACTTTTGAAACATACATCCTTCATAATAGATGGGTTGAAAAAAAATCAGTTAGGAGTTATTTTGCACGTCCAAAATGTGTTTTCAACAACTGTTAGTTTTGAAATGACTTATTATGTTGACATTATGCCTTGGCATGAATATTTAAATAGAGAGTAAGTTTGGGCATGAACTATAGTTAACTTTGGTTCGACTAACTGCTTGAGGAAGGATGGTTGGACTGCTCTAGTCCACTATTTGGAACTGGAGCATCATATTGCACAGGAGGGCCAGGAGGGCACAATTGCAGAATACCCCGCCACTCCATACACTTCGTAGCCGGCTACGGAGTCACAGTTGACTGCCCTCAATAAACCTTCTCAGAGCTACATGCATGTACTACGCGTCATGCTCCACTGCACTCCCACTCCGTATCCCCGTAGCCGGCAACAGGGTAGTTAGTTTGGACTTAGAATTTTTTCAGCAACTCCCATTACTTTTGTGTTGCTTCGTTCTCAAGGGGACCTCCACTCCGTGTCCGCGTAGCTGGCAACAATTGGTTTGGACTAGAATTGTTTCTTTTCCAGCGATTCCAACCACGTAGCCGGATGATTATAGGGGTGTATTTCCGAGTGGCGGGGTATTCTGCAATTACTCCCACAGGAGGGAGCCAGCATCAAGAACTTTCTTGACATTTTGAAAATCAATTGACTAGAGGCGTTCGCACGTTGCTATGAGTGCGCAGGCGTAAGTGACATCACACATCAACCACTAGTCGACTAATGGTCCTAGCCCGAACTTTCACTGAGTTTGACCACTACGTCACTGGTCATAAGACCAACCTAGATCTCATTGTCGAAATTCCCATCTGCTATCATGAGAGATTTTGAGGCTGTGTTGCATGTGTGTCTTCTTTCTGATTTTTCTTATTATAAGAATTGGCAAGAACTGAACTTTACTGTACTTTATGAACTTACTTGTTAATATTGCCCCCTTCCCTTAGCCTGTCCCCCGTGGAGCCAGTCTTCTGAACGCGCTCGCTGCCGGCCAGATCCACTAGGCTGATTTTGCTGACTTTCTCCCCAGAAACCTGGTCAGAAGAAGAAAAAATAGAGAACAAAATAAATTAAGTAAGTTTTTTGATAGTGTCTACGTTTAATATGCATGTACATGTAACTGTAGTAACAAAATCGTCAATCCATTGCAAATTCAGCATTGTGGCTCTGAAACCTGGAAACAAAACTGTAAAGAGAAATAAACAAAAATGAATTTGATTTTTGGGGATGGAAGAAAATTCCGACAGCTATCCCATGAAAACCCACGAGATAAGGTGTAAAAAGAAAGCCAAATTCTTCGTCGACCAAGATTGGACTTGAACCTCAGTCACAGAGGTGAAAGGCTAGGAAAAATACCCATGTTGGTTTCGAACCCTGGTGACAAGAAAGACAAGCAGGGATAATGACAGACTGGGCTATGGGAATCGAACCCAGTCCACAAACGTGGAAGGCCAGGAAATATTGTGTCCAAACCCCGGTCACGGAAAGGAAAAGCACAGAAAATGACCACTGCAAGACTAGAACCCAAGGCCACAAAGGTGAAAAAAATCTAAAACTGTGGGATTTGAACCCAAGTCACAATGGTGATACCGGTAGGCAAGGAAAAATTTCACTTTTCTAATAATTCTAATAATAATAACAGATAATTTATAAGGCGCACAGCATCTGGAGAACCATTCAAAGGCGCCGATCACTAGCAAATCACTAATAAATGATAGATTGAAAAGATGAGTCTTAAGATAGCGTTTGAATGATGACATATCAGTTGTGTCCCTTAACTCGTCTGGCAAGGAATTCCAGAGACGCGGTGCAAAGCTGGAAAAGGCCCGGTCCCCGTAGCTTGCCAGGCGAGTTTTGGGAAGAGAAAGTATCTGTGATGAAGAAGATCCGAGGCCTGGTCGCATGTTGCGAAGTTGTAACAGGTCTCGTATGTAGGATGGAGCTAATCCATGAAGGGCTTTGAATGTAAGGAGCAGGATTTTGAATTGTATTCTGTATTTAACAGGAAGCCAATGAAGATTGTATAATATAGGTGTTATGTGCTCGTATGATCTTGTTCTGGTCAGTAAGCGGGCAGAAGCATTTTGGACTCTCTGGAGGCATTTTAATGATTGCTGAGGTAGTCCTGTAAGTAAACTGTTGCAGAAGTCTAGTCTGGATGAGATGAATGCATGGATGAGTTTTGGCACTAAAATGAATTGGCCTAACGAAATAATCTGAATATGGAAACAACACATGAATTTCTCATGGTAATCACACATACATTGTAAAGGCATTTCTGTCTTTTTTTTTCAGATTGACCATCTAATATTTTTTACCTTTTTTCAAACATGCAGCCAATTGAATTTTAAATAGTAATTCATAAATACCTAAGACAGTTTACCCATTCCTATTGGTCGAGAGCCCGTCATGTGGCCGGTTTTAAACGGTTGATAAAGACATGGATTGCTGGTCTTAAACACTTTTCCAGTGTCACATGAAATTTGGACTCCTATATATGAAATCCGATGCCTTGTTTTGACTTTTGGACAGAAAAGTTTTGAATTTTTTTGACCGAAAAGGTATTTATGAATTGGAATAAATATGTGCTTGGTCGGTATTAAACACTATGTTTAAGACCGGTAGGAGTCTAGAATCCTGGCCAAATCTCGCTGGGCCCCCAACCCCCCGGCCCCCGTTCAATGTTGTCTCTCATTGCACGGTGTGTGCTCCATCAGCTGGAGAGAACAACACTGACCAGGGAGCAGGGGAGTGGGTGACCGTGGCAGGCTCAGGAAGTGTCCCAACCGTTTTGGCCGGGATTGTAGATAATTACCTTCGCATCAGCATCCAGACTCCAATTGGTCTTAAGTGTTTAAAACCTCCAAAGCACACATTTATTCCCTTATTCTCAAAAGGGATTAACATAAACATGGTTAATTTACTTATTTTTTTTATATTACCCGAGGGATTAAAATAGATACATGTACATATACCTATTTTTCTTTCATCTCATTCAAATGTTATTATTCAAACATCTTTCTCAAATTTATTTTATCAAATTTCTGACTCAATATATTTAAATTTTTAATAATAATAATAACCGTATTTATATAGCGCCTTTTCCAAAAGGATACAAAGTGCTGGGGGAGAATGCAACCAAAAACAGGCAAATGAAGTATATGAACATATGAGACCAATTATGTAGCACCTTTTTGCTAGTGCTGCGGCGCACATTGCTGCCACTGCCAGAAACACCGGGGCAAACCCCTTCTCTTAGCAACAAGTGTATACTGGGATCTTTAACGTGCATATTACACAACACACGGGGCCTACGGCTTTACGCCCCATCCGAAGGACGAGGCAATAATGGTAAAGTGCCTTGCTCAAGAGCACAAGCACCATGTTCCCACAGTCAGGATTTGAACCCATGTACCACGTACGGCACACGAGTCGAACACCCTAACCATTGGACCACAGCGCCCCACGTTTTCAAATTCCATGGCAGAAATAGTTACTTGGAGAAACACAAATTCCAAACTTAAAACCTTACATTACTTCAGCATGTTCGAAATAATAACAACCTGTGACGGTAACTGTTCCCTGAACCAAAAAAAAATCAATTAAGTCTGTCAGAAACGTCAAACTATCGGACTGAAAATCCTTTTGTAACTGAGCTCCTTCGACACATTCATGTCATTTTTTCGGGCCGATCACGTTACAAAACTCAACTGTCGTGCCGCTGTTTTTTTGCTTTCTTCTATTTTTTTTCTTCCCCAAAAAATATGAAACCAATCCTTCTGAATTTCAAGCAAGTCCGATGGGACTTGATCTGAATGTAATCCGGTACGTCACCCACGCATGGTTTGCCTGTTGGCTCAATACAAATACTCAACAAAAAAATCACAGCACAACTTCGTCCTTGCTATACTTTTGCCAATCAAAGAAAAAAATCACCATGGTTACACAAGATGGCGGACAACTAAAAGCCATTATGATTTGCGGTTAAGTTGTCTGCTAGACATGCTAGATCATCTAAAATGCCTTAATAAAATCTGATGACAAATGATAGCATCAGGATACCCTTAACTTGCTGACCACTCAAAGAAATAAAATATTGCCATAGTTACACAAGATGGCCGACAACTAAAAGCCATTATTATGATTTGCGGTTAAGTTGTCTGCTAGACATGCTAGATCATCTCAAATGTCTTAATAAAATCTGATGACAAATGATAGCATCAGGATAACCTTACCCTGCTTACCACACAAAGAAATAAAATATTGCCATGGTTACACAAGATGGCCGACAACTAAAAACCATTATTATGATTTGCGATTAAGTTGTCTGCTAGACATGCTAGATCATCTCAAATGCTTTAATAAAATCTGATGACAAATGATAGCATCAGGATACCCTTACCCTGCTTACCACACAAAGAAATAAAATATTGCCATGGTTACACAAAATGGCTGACAGCTTAAAGCAATTATGATATGCATCAAGTACTATCTATCATCTCAAATGCTGACATGAATTCTTCAGACAACTGACAGCATTAGTATAGTTAGGATATCTGCCCTACTTTGCCAATTTAACTTAAATTTATCTGCTTGAAAAGTAATATCTATTTAGGCTTGTCAATCAACCAAAGTGTCTATTTCTGAATCATTTTCTCCCTCTTTTTTAGACTAGCACAATGGCCAGTAAAAAAAAAAATGTTGTTTCCATCAAGGTCTGTGACAGAAATGATGTTAATTGGAAAGAGCATTTAAAAGTAGGATATAAACGTCCACACAACCATCCTTTAAAAAATGGGCTTTTTTGAGTTATTCTTGCGAGAACGAATTTCGGAGGTCAAATTTTGACTCTCGAAAATCGAGCTGTTGGGTGCTAGTTGTGAATCCTGCCGCACATGTTCCACCAGTGTATCGCATTCTGCGGACGTGCGAAAAACAACATTTGTGTATTGGTGCTGTTTGTATTGTGTCATACACACAACGTGTACCATACATTGCATGAATATGGCTGGTAATATGTATCAAAATGTCCGCCGCGTCCGTTGTAAAAAAAGGGGGTTTTTTTCCATCTTTTCTCAGGAACTGTAAGACATTAGGTTAGTTTCCTTCCAACCAGACCCTTGAAATAGGATAAGTAAACAATCCAAAACATAAAATTTTCGGGGATTTCAGGCCGTATAATATTCCTTTAATTCCTCTATCGCACAACACTGGCGATTTGGCAGTCATAATTATCAGGTCACATGATCGCATTACCTCACGGCCAATAGAGGGCGCTTTCGACTTATTCATTACATCCTGGGCAGTTAAAAGGGTTGAGGGCAGTATCATTGATAAACAAGCAAGTCCAAAACAAGTAGGAAGTGATGGGCCCAAGAACCATCGCTTTCAATTCACGTGGCCAAGAGTGACAACAGAAAAACAATCAAAATCCTAGACCAAAGTCTGGACTCTCGACACTCGATGACAAATTCTTTCGCCGCACTACTTCGCAAACACCAAGGATTTCCCCCTTTGAACTTGACTGGTTGACAGACAACTTGCAAATCTGTCATTCAAACTCGTACCAACAAACATGTAACCAGCACCACAACTCGGCAATTGCACAGAAAACTGCCCCCCCCCCCCATAAAAAAAAGGCGATTGTGTAGTGTAGGGCCCCTGTTTTGTTTCGATCAAATTAGAATCAAGAATGTTTTATTACTAAAAAATGACATTGTCAACCTAAAGCAGACTTCTTTCAATGTAATGACACCTTTTTGGTAATTTTTGAACGGTTTCTTTGGGTAGAAATTACAATTTTCCTGCGTGGTTTACGGGCTGGTTGGTGCCGTGCAGCGCAACTTGCGTGCTCACGGTACATCGCGCGGTGATCGCCATCTTTATTTTCGTGTTGCGTTTTGTCGTTGTCATCGTCGTTTTACCCCCAACTTTCCCTCAAAAATTCAAAACCCTGCCCTTTATCTTTGACATACATATGTTCTTAATGTCGCAAACTAATTTGGTAGGTCAAATAATTTAAAAGTGGATTTTG